AAGCCATTGGAGATAGTTGTTGGAAGACGCTAATAATCCTTGTGAAGCGTTTAGTACAATACCTAAAGGGTCCACAGAATACAGAGTGTTGGTGTTCATAGGGGGCACCAACACACCCACATGGCCAAGATTTGGGGTCCGAAACGTTTACATCGAAACAATCACCCTAAACCAACCGAAAAAGGACTGAATAGGAATAAGCGTGGATATGGTATGGCAAATCCAAAGTTTGTACCACTCTATAGCGGGGACCAAAGGAACCATGAACCATGTTTTCGCCGACCACTTTACCAACTCGCGAGATGTAACCACCTGTATGGATAAGAATAATAAACATGCATATAACCAGTCCCTCTGCATGCCGTGTAATTGCATGCTGTGTTCCTTAAAAATATACCTGCACTATCCAGGATCCCTAGACTAGACTACATAAGTTGCCCATGTAAGCATAGAGGATCGTCTGATTGTCCGGCTGTTTCACACTCCGTTGTTTCACTTCTGTTTTTAGAAACACCACGCGGTTGACAGGGATTAGAGCTTGTCCCTACCCACCCCACACCCCCATTATGCACTCTGCTCTTCTCGGGCTTAGGGCCGCGGCTGGTATGTCCTATTACGAATAGCACAAGAGGCTCAATTGTTGGGATCGGCTAGTGGTCGAGTTGGTTTGGCGTCAACGACAGACTAAATTAGAATCTTGATCGGTTTTTTTCTTTTTTTTTAACTTTTCTACTGCATCTGGGATGTCTTGCCGTTTCCTTTATGGTTTATTCTTAGACCTGTTATGGTTTTGGTAATAAACTACGAAACTGGAGAAATACCAACGTCTGGGGATAATATTTGCCACTCCATTTCTGACCGCATGGTGATCTGAGCACATCGAAGTAAATATTGAAGTATAAAATAGGGTTGTCAGAGTTGGCAGTTCCATGGTTTTGAGTTAAGGACCCACGGTACCCGGAGTCCGATTGATGTTCTTTTTTTTGATTCTTGGCCTTTACTAAACATCAACGCATTGGGCATCTCATTCCTACAAAATCCGCAGAGGTAACATTGAAGCCGATGAGCCTCTTACTTTAATTTAATTTACATATGGCGGGCCAAAAGAGGAAGGAACAAAGTCTTCGGGGTCGCCGGGTCAGCCTCCTTTTAGGCATGCACGTTATATGTACCTGTCGTCCACGGGTAAGGCCAAAATGCTATCCAACGTCTCTAAGTGGTCATCCAGGCCCAATGCCATGGCGATGGCTGGAGTGGGGGAGCTCTTGGCTACCCTAATCATCCTCGAAAAAAAAGGAAAAGCCTGGAATGTCAGATTCAATGCTTGGCTTAATTACTTGTGTTTCAGTATTTCAGTGGAAATATCCAACATGTTGGGGGCCAAAAGCGGAAGGGCAAATTCGGCGAGCAATTGGGTCGAATAGCATTCCTCCATCACACGTGTGAAAAATTGATAGTGTGAATCAGCGATCATTTTTCAATGCTGACTCTGGGTAATGCGCTTGAAGACGTTTTAGGTTTAATCTTTGGGCTTGTATTTGACGTGGACGTTGAGGATGAACAATCCAGACAGTTACATGCTACATATGATATAACTTTCTAGCCATTCACCATTCAAATAATTATGGTTAATAGAAGTTAGCGTCATCTGCAATTATTGATCCATTGCCCGGGTACGTACAGATGTCAAAACCTGGGCGTAAGGCAGAGGCCGACCGCCAGTTTAACTAGGCCAAGGTTTTCGCACCCACAATACCAGGGCAAAAGACTCGGTCAAGCATAGGACACGGGCCGGAAATGACTTCATTCCCCCAGTTTAACACACATGATCTAGGATTTAGACTGTGCATACTCCCTACTCCATAGACTAGTTGCAACTCGAATTGGGATAGAGCCTTCCTTCCCCCACTATTGTATCCACGGGGTTTTAGCACCGGGATCGCCGATAAATACGAACTACCCCAGTCAGCGGTGTAATTTATGCAACTGCGCCTTGATTTCAGGGATGTGGACCAACCATTTCCCTGTGCTGTTTGGCGATGTGACAAATTCCAAGAACGCCTATTTTCGCTTATGATTGGAACAGACAGGCGTGGATCTCTGTGGCTTAGCGTATATGTGGCGCTAGTTGTCTCTCCGTGCATCAGTGCTTCTTACCACGGCGGAGACCCCGAATGACAGCTCGCACTGCTCTCCCATATCGGTACCCCTGTACCAGCAAGGGCCATATGGCGTAATTAGTGTCGAAAATCTCGATGATCTCAACGGATGTGGTCAATGGGCAATACATAATGTCTATAAGGGGAAGGAGGTTTCTCTGATTTGATTGGGTATTCAATCATATTTAACAATGCCGTTCTCTTCTATACGATATAAGCAATAAAGGGTAATAATATTAATCAGCAATTGAATATCTGGCCGAAAAATGAGATAATGGAGAAATGTTACTTTATCTCCATGCGTCCCGAGAAAAAAATTGATTGACATTCTTTCTCCATTTTGGGTTGACCCACTATTGGTTTTCCCTGTTCGGAGATGTAACTCCGAGTGATCAAGGGATGTACGATGTATCTATAGACATATAGCATATGCCGTAGATAAATTAATAGTATTTTATAGACAGTTTAATAGTATTTCATGGGTAAGTCTAATGTGGAGGTAAAAAACTACTTCCCCTATTTCCTCCTTCGGAAATAACGTAAAAGGCAACCAAGAGAACCAGGCCGAATCGCAATGACCAAAAGTATGCGGCTCTTGCACGGTAGCCAAACACAACTCTGGAAGCCATAACCAGGCAAAGGAGAAAAACCTTGATACATCACACTGTAATGATCGCCTGTCATGACTACCAATAAGGAATACTTTAGCGGGTGAAACAGACATGAACCCACCAAGCCGACCCCCTAAAGAAAGCCCATCGAGCGCTCGGAAGGCCTTTCAAGGCCCTGATTGGGGAGGAGTTGCGAGTTCCTCATTTCATTTTTCATCGGGCTGTGACGATAGATGAGCCAATCACTCTTCCGTGCACGCGGTTGGCCTGCCGAATTATGGAGCGGATGCTAAGTGGATGAATGGGTTCCCGTCAAAGATCGACCGAACTCATGGAATTCCGATTTGGTTTTTTTTTTCTAAGCTGTATTGTCTTATATATGCGGAGTACTCCGTAGTGCGTAGTGATATCCTTTTTTTTTGTCTTACATTCTTATACTCACCTTTTTCCTTTTTCGCACCCTTGTTTTCCCAGAAAAAGGGTACATCCCCAGTGTTGGGTCTATTATACTTTCTCCCTGGCTTACTTTATGCTTCGGCATTCCCTAGCCCGCTTTTCTGCCGTCATTTGGTAAAAAAGAAAGTTGGACCAGTAGTTTGACCCGGACTGGTGGAATAGACTATTTTTTGCAGACAACATACAACATAAACATGTTCTCTTAAGATTCTGAGTAGCATGGTACCTTGATAAGCGAGATCACAAGTATGTTGTATATGCATGCCGAGGTGACAAGGCTAAAAGGGTGATTCTGGGGGAAAAAGGGGCCATGGCGCCAAGACCACGCCCGAGAGAGCCCTACTATGCAGAACGGAGAGGCCGATGACGACAAAATAACAATTAATCATCTACTCCGTACTCCGTATATATTATTTTTGTGCAACGGTTGATATTCTGACAGGAGGCTTCTCTCCCCGTCAAAAATCTAATTTATCGTGCAGGGGTTTCGAAGCAAAAGGACTACTCTGCATAATATTTGCTTTTGATATCAAATGCACCCTCAATTCGGTTCCTATGAGCGAGCACGATGGATCTACCTTCTCTATGCAGGTACTTTGTAAAAATCAATATTTACCTTCCACCGGAAATACCTCCGGGACAAGATATTCGAGGATCATACCTGTAGGGCAGAAAGAGCCAAAAGTGGAGAAAGGTAGGCGAGCTGTCAGAACCCAGAACTACTCTATAGTGGGCTATTGACTATTGACGGGATAGTACTCCGTAGACATTGGGGGCCTTACAAAGGCTGAGCTGATAACCTAGTCAAGTGTTGTGCATACTATAGTAAAGAATAGTGTGTACAGCAGTTTGAGTACTATATTATTCCAAATGAGTGTGGTAAATAGAAGAATATTACTAATTGATAGTAATTACTCCATACGGAGTATACGAGAATAATATACCATTGAGTCCCATGTGCAGATAATAATAACCCGAGGGTCCCAAATTTAACTGCATGGGCGCTAAGTTTCCCTGTCCCTGTTCACAGCCCCCAACACGTTCAAGTTCGTGCCAAAAATACCGTATGTAATATATATTTTTTATTTTTTATTTTTATTTTGCTTTTTTACTATGTAGATTTTCATATTATTTTTTATTATTTTCAATTCAATTTTTCTTTTTTCTTTTTCCGTAATTTTTTTTTTTTTAAAAAAAATAAAAAATATAATTCTAGACACAAGACTATAACTGACTACTGTAGGGCGGGCCCATCGTCACCATTTAACAATGCTTCCTCCTCTTTGACATCTATAATATCCTCTTCTCCCTCCCTCCCCAGAGTAATGAATTTAAATCGACTCGACTCATGATCCAGTATCTCTTCGATTTCGGGAATACGCTTGACTAACATTAGTCTCGACTCTTTTACTGTCGATCGACATTGCTTCCATACTCGTATTTGTGGAGTTGCAATTTGAAAAACCTCCCTTGGAACATCGCAGTATACCTCCTTACTTCATTGCCCGAAAACCTACGCCGTCAATTGCGCACGTTACCTCATTCTTGTGGGTTGCATGTTTGGTTAGCCGAGCGGGCCGCGATCTTACCCAGAAACCTTATCACCGGTAAGTCCATGAGTCGCATTGGAATCCTCTAGGTCTCTTAAGATGGTATGTACTGACCTATTTTCTGCTAGGATCGCCATCGCGCATTGCATTTCCCAATCACAGATATGACTACTTTTGAATCAAACCCCGATTTTACTCTCTTCCCTTTCCACTCCCGATCCAAGATGATGGCCGTGGAAGCTGCCAGGGCTAAACAACTCCCATACCTCGATCCTATGACCATGGATCCCTCCATGTATTTCCCTGTCGAGGGTCTCCCCCATTACACACAGGGTCATGATATGTCGCACGCTCATTCCTACTACGATACCCACCCTTTGTTGGAGTCTGCAGATCTGCAAAATCCTACCTATTTCTCCTCTATACCCGCTACACCCCCTTCAATCTCTGCATCTCACTCCGCAGAGCAGTATATCCCTACTGGGTCTGCTACCTCAGGGCAATCCATTGCGAGCGCATCTTCTTCAGCCATGGGGTCACCATACTCGGGCACTGCCCATGCGTTCCCGGAGAACTGGGTGAATACGAACCATGGATTGGGTCTACCGGCCGCAGTGATGAACGATATTTTCTCTCAGGATTACATGGGGAGCACATTGGACATGGAAATGCCTTTTCAAGAAAAGTTCCCGGACCCTTTCGTCGGTATGTTTTGAATCAATCGCAAAAGCCATCTGGTATACTAACAATGATACCAGATCCCTCATTGATTCAACCGTCGCAACAAGGCCCTGGAATTACCCCAACTATCTCATACCCCGACCAACACACCTCCTACTCAACCGTGCCACCCAATTACATTCCTCGCTCTCCCGCCGGATCACCTCACCCATATAATGACGTCGCAGAGCACCACACCTCGCCCCGCTCACACCCAATACAACAGACTGGGCCATCTCCCCTCATGGTCCCGCACAGGTCGCATTCGCGACCACTTTCAATCTATGATCGACGATCGTCAATTTCCTCAATTCATTCCCGACGCTCGCAACATAGCCCGGCGCTGAGCAGCATTGAACCAGATGAAGACACCAAAGAAAAAGGCCGCTGCCCACACCCCGACTGTGGGCGAGTCTTTAAGGACCTGAAAGCCCACATGTTGACTCACCAGTCAGAGCGACCAGAGAAGTGCCCGATCTTGAACTGCGAGTACCACATCAAGGGATTCGCGCGCAAGTATGACAAGAACCGCCACACCCTCACCCACTACAAAGGAACAATGGTCTGCGGTTTCTGCCCAGGCTCCGGCTCCCCCGCGGAAAAGAGCTTCAACCGCGCTGACGTCTTCAAGCGCCACCTGACCTCCGTCCACGGCGTGGAACAAACCCCGCCAAACTGCCGGAAGCGCAGCCCTGGATTAGCCATGAAGGGCACCAACTACAGCTCTGATGCAACAGGAAAGTGCTCAACCTGCTCATCGACCTTCAGCAACGCGCAGGACTTCTACGAGCATCTGGATGACTGCGTTCTCCGTGTGGTGCAACAAGAAGAGCCCTCGGAGGCAATCAACCAGCAGCACATGGCAGAGGTCGCTTCAGATGATGATGTCAAGAAGACCATGGAGAGACATCAACTACTCGACGTGGCTGGCCCGGTCGAACAATTTGACGATTATGAAGACCAAGACGACGACGATACCCACGACCCCTCCAACTGGCGCGGCCTGAAGACTAAGGCCAGATCCTCAAAGGGAAACATCCCTGCCTCCCGCCCTATTATTGGATCCGGCAATGCTGTCTCCAAGAATTCGTCAAAGCCCGCACGTGCTGTCGCAACCCGCCGTCGCAATAACCGTGGCAACTACCCGAACTCTTGGGGCTGTCCCAGTAGCACCATGAAGACCAAGAAGCGTGTGCTATGTGTCTTTGATGGCCAGCGTCGTCTGTGGAAAGACGAAATGATGCTCAACAACGAGTTCGAGGTCCGTCTCCGACTCCCCGGTGGTGCGGGCGATGGCACCAACCGCGATGCCTATGTTACCGATCTAGATGTCGAGACATTGAAGCGCGCTGAAGGTGTGATCAATGCCACCGAGGAGGAGCGTGGTCCTTGGTTGAATGGTCCTTCGCCTCATATCATGGGTCAGCCGGCTATGTTAATGCCAGAACTGTGCCAGCCCCATGATGATGAGCTTTCGATCAATGAATTAATGGCTTAACGATCTTCCTTTTGTCTTTTTCCTTTTCCTCCCTACTCCATATTCCCCTTCTCCCCTTTGGAGACTTTTGTCTATTTCTTCTTTTATTCCGTACAGCAGCGTCTTGACGAGCGATTTGTCTGATTATGGATGATACCTTGGGATACGTTATGACTTTTGTCTGTTTTGTCTCGAGGCTCTTGCCCAGGGCTGCCGGATCCTGCTGGCTGGGATCTAATTAATTGGAGACTAAAAAATGAGTGTCTAATTACCAATATAAAACAAAAAACATTCTATTTTCAAATTTGGAGAAATCTGTATTGTCCGTAGAAACGACCAAGACTTTCCGCCCATCTCCACCCCCGTGTTCTGCCGTCTTCCCCGGTGTTTCTCCATTCAACCTCCACGATGCAATTAGGACTCAAGGAAAATCTCCCCGCGCTGGTCGCAAGACGCTTTACAGCCGCCCGAGATTCTGGCCATCTTGTGTTTTCCTCTACCCATCTGTCGATCATCAATGCCGCAGGGATATCCGTGAGTGACGCTGAGACTCCGACCACGGCGGTTCTAACCTCCAAATCCAGTACCAATTGCGGTACTGCCCTGCACTCGCAAAGAAACCCTCAAATTTAAAGCCTGACAATGTCCCGAAAACACCAAAGCCCGATCCTTTCGAGAATCCATCTCCAGATCTTCTGATCGCCCAGTTCCCACCCGAGAACCCCGCTTACAACCTCATCCTCAACAAATTCCCCGTCATCCCGAACCATTTCCTCCTCGTGACAAGAGACTGGCAAGCGCAGACGGATATCCTCCGCAAGGCAGACCTAGAAGCTACATACGAGTGTCTAAAAGCCTGGAACACCGACAGCGATGGATCTCAATCCACAAACGGCTCATCTCCGAAGAGCCTCTTCGCCTTCTTCAACTCCGGCGACGACAGCGGCGCAAGTCAACCCCACCGTCACCTCCAATTCCTCCCCGTCGAAGCAATGCGCCAACCAGGCTCTGAGTCCTGGCACCCACTGATCGACCTCCTCACCTCCCAACCGACTTCTCCTTCCCCAACACCAAAGTTCCACCACCTATCAGGTCTCCCCTTCGCCCACTTCGCTCTCTCAATCCCGCCAAACCCCTCCGCTGAAACACTGCACGCAATCTACCTATCCCTCTACAAGGCCGCAGCGGCAGCGACGCGCGGACAGACACCGAGCCAGGATACCGAGTCTATCCCCACGCAAGGACCGGCGGCCATAAGCTACAACTTGGCCATGACCCGCTCGACGATGATGATCTGTCCGCGCAAACAGGAGACGGCGCTTGTCCCGGTTGACAGCGCGGCGACACGCGATATCGTTGACCCAGGTCTGCTCTCGCTGAATGGAACCATCCTTGCTGCGACACTGATGGTTAAAGCTGAGGCCGAGTGGGATGCTTTGCGTGAGAATCCGAAGTATTTGACGAAAGTTCTTTCTACAATTGGGTATCCTCGTACGGATTCTCGCGGGCCTTCGCTGTGAATAGCTGGGGTGGTAGACTGGCATCCAGGATGAAGTACCCATGGAATTGCTGGAACTGTACAAATTGAATCATTACCATGTACTTCATCTACAAGATACTGAAAAGAATCCCATCTTGATTCCCCAGTAGAACATACGCCTTGTTCTTATATGTACTGACGGTGACAGAAGTCACAAGATGAGAATTTGGATTCGGAATATAGAGTATGGACAGATATAGATCATAAAGGACGAGATCTTACATCGCTGGTCACATACCCGAGGCATCTGGTACCCTGTCGAATCTTCCTTGATGATACCAGTAATGTGTCTGCTAAGAATCAGATACGGAGCTCATCATAAGGCTCTTCGGCAACCATGTTGGTCACATGAACGAGAGTATTTATCCCCGAAGATATTCGTCCACTCATTCATCGAGAGATTAGGGAGATATTTAGCAACACCGATTGCTGCGCGAATAACGACGAAGCCAACCAAAGCCAAATCACAAGCGATTGTACTAGCCAGACAGAAGCTTCCTAAATATAGTCTATCCGTTAATCGTGACTCCATATCAATCAGTAACAAAGGTACCAGGCAAACATAGAGCCATTCCAAACAGCCCTAGAGGGAAAACGGAGCGATGATAGTCTCATTTTCAGTCCTGGCCTGTTTGATGGCGTGAATTATGAGTGAGGCTCATGTAAGTCACAAGTGAGAGAAGCAAGCATGGAAATAGTAAATTTAGGCAGAAGTTCGATGCGAAAACAAAGACACCGCCAAAGGACAGACATCTTCCTAGATAGGAAGACGCTGGCAGAGTCGCACGTGACACTGTGAACCCCAATTCCCGGGCTCAATTTGATGGTAGAGGTCGAATCGAGTTCGTAAAATCAGAGGGTATTCCTACCAGTATACAATCCTGATACTCACATTCTCAGCGTGGCAGATACAGCTTTTTCCGAGGGTATTCTCGAGGTGGATCTGATCAAAGGCCATAGTAAGGCTCGGTATCATGAGACAGACAGCCTTCCTTGGCAGTAAGGTGTTATGACTCGTCGTTGGCACCCAGGATCTTGTTCGTATTCTGCAGGTCGGTGGCGCTAATGATTCTCGAGGTCTTTTTTGGCTGGAATCGTGGGAGGGAGTGGTGATTTCATTGGTTGGCGGGTCTGTTCGTCTTGGCTGTTGGGCCGGAGATGTTGTAGATCTGGATGGTATAGAGCTTCTGTAGTGGTCAGCATGAACTCTGGTAAAAAGCAAGTCTTGTAAACGCGCTCGTAGAAGAGGAGTGATGGCCGGGCTAGAAGCCTAGCAGTGAACTTCCGTCACTAGTGATGACGGTGATAGTACTTAGAACTATCTAAGACAATGGGTCCGGGATCTTATACTAACTAGGACTAGTATATGCGAGCCTGTACTTTCATCTGATAAATATTTGTACCCCATGAACTCCTGCCATTTGCACGTTAACTTCTACTTCTCTGGTCATTATCTAACCCGTATTAGGTTTACTTTGAGTATCAACAATGAAACCACATTGATATAGGACTTGATATATTCATGTTCGATCGTCTCCATTATAGAAAATCAAACAAGTCAATAATTGCCAAGAGGCTAAAGTAAAACACTTCGCTAGCGAGATGCATGACACTTCAATATTAATTTCTCGTGACTCATTCCTTAGAGCCTCCAATTTATCTATTGTCGCTAAAGCTAACTCGAGGGCCGGCCGGGCAGTGTCCCGGGCGCAGACTAGGGCCGAATTGATATAAAAAAACCATCATGATTGGGCAGTTCTTGATCTAATTTCCGTAGCTTGAATTTAGCCTCTTTCATTAAGCTTGTGGGCTCCGTTCTAACCCGTTTATGGCGATCAAGCCTCTGACTGCCCTTGATATCTCATGTTCCTTGTGATTTTTTTCCGGCCCCCTATTTGACTGCATTAATATTTAAGTACAGCCGCCTTGCACTTATTGATATCTGATTTTTACAACCTATCAAACTACAGACGACTTCCCGCAATGGAGCACACCAAAGAGTCAACAGTGCCAAACCCGGCAGCCACGGCTGCCGAGCCAGCTGCAGATTCCACTGTGAAAACAACAATTGTACCAAAGACAGCGCCTACGGATGCCATACCGTCGCCCACGGCCTTGCCCACGATGCCTGAAGCAACTCCGACACCACAACCAACTACAACTACAACAAGCACATTCCCGGTAACCGAACCGATGGCGATCATTCCCGCCGCGAGTGGGCCTCCTCCACAATACGATGAGTATGCATTCCGAACTAAAGAAAACCAACTCAAGCTAACAAAAGCAGACACAAGAAAGACACAATAACAACCCCTGCACCGGCAGTCACGTTACCACAAACCGAGAAAGCTATACCAACTGGCGTACAAGTCCCTGTTGCGCAAAGAGTTATCCCACTGGCCCAGCTTGGTGAAGATCCCGGCTGGATCTGTTGTCCCTTCTGCTTCCACGAAGTTCAGACCAGAGTGAACAAAGAGAGTACCAGCGATACATCGTAAGTATTGATCTATTCTCACTTCGCCGCTGGCCGAGTCTCACTTCTGACAATGCTAATCCTTTATAGAATGGCGGCCATCTGCTGTTGTTTCTTCGGCGGAATTTGCTGTGCATTCCTCCCATATTGTATGGAAATGTGCCACGATTCACACCACTTCTGTACAAACTGCGGGGTGCAAGTAGCCATTCATCCGCATGAAGGCCCGGTGCAGACGTTTGGACCTGACTCTCCCGGTGCAATTATTCAGGCACCGGGGCGTGTTGAACCTCCACAGGCTGTTATGAAGAAGTAAGATGTACTTACAATGTCATAGGTAGTAATGTATATAAACTGTTTATATTGGTTGACTTGATATATTTTCATTCATCTCTTAGATCTACCTTATCTTCCTATAAGTATCTACTGAGCTTACTATTATCTAATGGAGTATGAGAAGGAAGTTAAATTTCATTCATAAGAACCCTGACCCATGCCGCTGACCAGACGGCATGGGCCAGGGTTCCAAACACAGCCGAGACGTCCCCTCGTCAGGGGATGCGCCCCTCGTTATTGGGCATTGTGCCGATCAACCGGTGGTAGAAGTTGACCAGCATGGCGGCGCTTCGGGCGTCCCCGAAGCGCCGGATCTGCTGGGCAAGCTCCACCCGGGTCTCCCAGATGTGGGTGCTCAAGTCCTCGAACTCATCGAGGTTGACCGGGGGCGAGCTTGCCAGGATCTCCCGGTGGTCGATACAGTCCCGGAGATTGATGATTGCCTGCTCAAGGACCTGGCGAGCAGTAATCCAGTTGTTGGCCTGGTTGCCACTCATGCTATTTATCAAAGAGGGTTAGCATATATTCAATTGGGTGGAGATTTTTGATAGGCAGGTGGATAAATTGGTGTATACTTACATTGCCGTGGCACCAGGCGTGGTGAAGGACGAAGGAGGGTTGAGGTATGATGGTTGGCGTGGAGTATCGCACGCGACCGAAGCTGAGCAGCAGCTGGGGTGCAGATTGCTAGGACGAGGAAGCAATTGCTATGATGAGACAAAAAAGGACGAGTGTCTTAGTCGAAGCTAGGTAGCTTGGATGACAGTCTGGAACGAGCGGGATGAAATTTGCATTACGAGATGATAAAAGACGGGATGGATAGCACACGGAGGGAAGAAGAAAAGAGGTTTTGAGGATGGAATCCGAATAAATACTTTCCCATTGCGGCTGCGCGCGCGACGAGGGGACCTAAGTCGAAGACCGTACAAAGGCGGGCGTCGAGGGCGTCGACGACGCCGAGCTTCTCAATGACATGGGGAAAAGGTTCATTCACACCACATCTAAAGCTTTGATCCTGTCGCTTTCGCAAGTAGGTGCATATTCACAGGCGTGACAGCCTTTCCAGTCTGATAGAAAGAAAGGATATTGTCCATACCCAACCTCTCAAACCCGATATGTGAGTCCACCGAAGCACCAGCATTATGAGACATCATTTCAACGTTCTTCATAGCAGCAAGTTCCGGGCTAACATTTGGCTCATCATAGTGCACATCTAAACCAGCAGCAGCGAGCTTTCCGCTCCGGAGTGCATCAACAAGAGCTTTCTCGTCTAGCAGCTTACCACGGGCGATGTTAATGAGTCGAGCACCAGTCTTCATCTTGGCCAGAAGCGATGCATTGAGAAGAGTCTCCCCACTAAATGGTGTGGCGACCATGACACAGTCTGAAACAGCGAGGAGGCTATCCATGCTCTTATGGTATGTTGCTTTCGAGATGGCTTCTAGGTGTGCAGGCATTTGCACGATGTCATGATAATGAATCTTCATATTCATGGCCAGGAAGGCTTTCTCAGCTGTGCGCCGTCCGATCTGACCAAATCCAATGATACCAAGCGTGTGTCCATTGGGATTGTGTGACACCATTGCCAGATTGCGATTCGCATCAACAAATGCATCTGCGTCCAGTGTACGTGCGGCGATGTGGGACCAAGAGAACAGACGGAATGTTGAGATTATGAGCCAGATAGCGGCATCGGCAACAGATTCTGTGCAGGCTGCTGCAGCATTGCAGTAAATAACCCCTTTGTGGTTCAGAAACGTTAGTGACTTCATTGGCTTAGATTTTCGGGGTTGGTATATGCTAGTTCATACATACCCTTTTTCGCCAAAGCTGCAGTATCAACCCAATCAAACCCAGCGCCCGCACTGGCATAGATCTTGCAGGAATTTGGTAGTAGCGAGACAAGCTCCTCATCCCAGTTTCCCATCTCACCGCCTGTATTCCAAAATGGGCGGTAGATGGCAAAGAAATCACCGAATTGACGCTCTTTCAGGGCTCGGATAAACTCTGGCCGAGACATGCTGTAGGACCGGCGGATGTCAAAGGCGTCTTGGAACTTCTTGTATTGATCATGATTCCAGCGGATGTCATCACCCAGGTGAAGGACAATTGGTTTGGCCATTTTGGACTTTGTATACTTCGAATTGATAGTTGGAATAGGGTTTCGGGGTATGTGAGTGATAATGGCCACCTGGTAACTTATACGAAGAAGAAGACTGTATAATTTGCTATGACAATTTTATTTCTAAACTGGCAAGATGGAATAAGTTAAATATTTGGTTGCACTCTCTTATGCTTATTGCGGGCGGCTATTGTTTCTACGTCAACGGCTATTGAGTTATCCGGGTATCGATCTCCCGGTTAATGAAATCCGAAACGTCAACCACCGAGGTAATTATGAACATGTATCTACTAGATGAAAGGCTAGAAAGAGAGGGTAAATAGTTGTGTTTTTTTTTTAAAAGAGAAGAGCTCTACGCATAAAATAACTTGTTGGCTTGACTACTATAAAAAGTAAGATGATGGGATGATCAACCCTTTATCGGGGTTGAACCTTTCTAAAGTAAGCGAAAGGGATAGAAGCCATAAATTAAGCTACTTGAAGAGGGGCAAAGGAAATCCATTCGCGGCGTGGGTGGCCCTTCATAGGACTCCCGCGTAAGAGCTCAGTCTTGCGCATTTGGGGTTCATACTTGACAGAATTCACCGTACCCCCCAACAATGCCCGCCGAAAAATGCCTCGGTGTCCTCGTCGAGCCCCGTTGAGACATGAAATAAAAGCAAATAAGTAAGACTGATAAAGCTAATAGAGCAAACGTAAAAGATCGCAAGTAACAGGTGAGATATTCAACGGGGAACAAATAGAACGTCGTCCTCATTGACCAGAGAGTTTGGCAACATGTCAGCCTTATCGCCCTCATCCACAGATAGGCGCACCTTGTCGAGAGCCCGGTAAAGGACTCGCTTATGCCAAACAAGTCTGTTCTCAAGGCGGGTGAGGGCGGCCTCCATCACGTCAGCGTATTCTTCTTTACCGTTCTCTAGCTCATCTCTCATTCTAAGAATTGCCTACTGTTAGCACAAGGGTCAGATGTTGGACGTGTAGCTCGAAGGTATCTCAAGCCACAACGATGTCGTCGAGGTATGCGCGGTAGAAGTCTGCGAAATCCTTGAGGAGGAGGTTCATCTTTGAGTGGCAAGGATGGATGGTTGTTAGTCGTCCTCGGCCGGCTTGAACGGACAACATCTGGTCCAGGGAAAGAGTTGTGATTGCGAGCAGACTTCTTTCCCCTGAGCATGAACCTCTCTGGAATATATTGAGGAACTCTCGAATGGGGAAATAGTGTGGATTGCCCTTGTGATCGGGGAAGACGAGAAAAGGGAACTGGTTATAATCGATCTTGTGTATCTGTCCCGGGCATCAAAGTCGCAGATATCCAGGCAACCAGCATCCTCCAGAGCTTGCCTTGCTCCTTCAAGTTTATCCAGTTTGTGCTGTGAAACTACGATTAGTCCCGGAATTGCTCTCAGATTGATTTATGCTATTCCTAACATCTTGACAAAGATGTTCGAACCTTCTTCGGTGGGTGCCTAAATAAGTTTGCCGGTCCGTTGCTTTCGACTTCCATCACACCGTCTCAAGGTCAGCTGGGATAGTCTCAACGAGAATAGCGAAAAGTGTTGTGAAGACGTGCCGAAGTGTTCCATCTGGTTCTTCGAAAATTTGTTTTTCAATTGGAGACCTTTGCTCCTCGATTGAGGCACAGAGCTCTTCAAACTACTCTAGATCTGGCTGACTATCAGTAGCCAGAATATGGCAGCGATGAATATCCTGTCTGAGTTCTATCACATCGCACACAATGTGTTCCACTTCAGCTTAACTTGTGCGGTCTGTGGCCGAGCAGTTCTATCACTGTTGTTTGGCATGTTGATGCGTCTGTGCTTCTCTTTGATTGTGGAAGTAGTTGAATATGTGTAAAGAGCTGGTAAAGAATTTGAAGATGGTAGCAAGGTGAAGGATGAAGTCAGACGATGCAAGTGAGGAGGTGGGAAGTGTAAGACGATAAATAAAATAGTGAGATTTATACGCCTGGAGTTCAAGACTGAGGGATTAGTTGGTGATAAGAAGGGGTTCAATATTTATATGAGAACAATAGATATTTTTGATTACTTTCAAATGAGTCAAAGTGATTTAGATATGAAATTAAGCTGAAGGCATCGAATGAAAAGAACAAAGGCTTTCGACTATTATAGTGTCATGTCCTGCACTATATATATATCGGAGCCTGGAATATCTGAGCATAATGATAATGCTCAGATATAGTGGTCTTTTGGCCTGGTGCGTAACTCGCCAGTCCAGGGGCAGGTTGTAACAGGAATTTTATGATAGGTAAGTGATAGGTGAGTGAGAAATCCCCATTGTTAGGTAGCTACATCTGACATTCTTCATGTTTGATACAATATATCTCAGGCTTAAGAGTATCAAAAGGCAATTGCAGTGATATTTTCCCGTCGTTATACATCCTAGCCTTATAGAAACTACTCTTGCCCCGAGACTACTATGTATTTATACCACGTATCCCTTTTACTCCCTGCATCCTCATACAACTCCCCAATCCACCCAAAGTCCGGAAAGCTGACTACCAAGGTCTTCCTGACTCGCCAGCTGCTCAAATACACCACCTCTTTACGACTCAGACAAATCGGTGAGCTATCCTTGGCCTCGGAGGATATATCGACCTCTCACAATGAAGTCCCATTCGACTACGATCTCTACTTTCAATCCAGCCTCCTCTTGTTCCTCTTCCTCCTCTACCTTAGTTTCTTCCAACTCGTCTACAACCCTGGTCTCTTCCAAAACCTCATCCTCCTCCGACTCTGCCTCGTTCTCATTCTCGTATGAGACTATGGCAATGCACACCAGCGAGTGCGACTCGCCACTCCAAAGCATTGCTCCTCTACGACAGGAGACCGCGGAGATGGAAATCCTCGCTGGGATCACCCAGCTGGCGGTCATGCTTGACCGCAAAGATGGTCTGGACGAGGCCCACCAAGAAGAGAGAGACAGACTTGCGTCTGGAATCGAAGATGCCAAGGTACTACTTGGGCTACATCTCTGTCGCATTGAGAACGACGTTACAAGACAGGTTCTACTGGACACTTTCTTGCGCCACCTTGGACCAACAGATGCGCCGTGGATGCTCGGTCCGCTTCTTGCGCGTATTGCTAGTGGGATTTAAATGATAGGCCGATTAGCTTCTTCTGATGTGTCCTTCGCGTTGTTGTTGCTTACGGTTCCCGTCAGTTCAGCCTCGCTTTCACGAGATGAGGTCTAAGGGAGCAGATTCCTTGCAGATAGAAATGAAGTCACCCATTTACCATCTGTCACATTTGATATAGGCCATTACATAGCAAGGTAATATTAATTATGCAATTAAAACATTAGATTCCAATATCCAAACAAGTAATCGAGAAAGTAGTACACAGATAACGCTAGATGGACTCAGACTCGCTGAATAAGAGAAAAAGATGACTAGATATATTGCATATCAAAAAAAAAGAGACCAAAGCAACCAACCCAACCCAACCCTGCTGTAGAAAAGACTAACCCAAGGATCAATCAAACGGTGATGTTGTTGATCTCGCACCACTTCTTCTTGCATGTGGCATTACCAAAATGGTAAGACCCCCCATTATCCCAGATATGTTCAGCAACCGTCTTCCAGGATACCTTCGGTGGCTCATTCATGTGAATGTTCATACTGGTCATCGAGTGGTAGGCGCCGTGTGTTTCGGCGTGAATGCAGACGGCTTGGCAAAGCAGTTGGATCTAAACATTCGATTATGTTAATCTACTCATCTCTAAGCAAGAGATGAACTGTGTAACTCACATCCTTATCCTGCCATTTGGGCTTTCGCACTCGCTGCTCCTTAGACTTGGTAAGAGTGCGGTATCGACCTCGCAGTGTAGACTCCGCCTCCTTGAATCCACCAACACGCTTGATGTCTTTGTATGATAGCCCGCGACGCTTGCAATCAATCAGGAATTTGTTTCGCTCGTCGCTATAGTGTAGACTGGTTTCAATGCCACTTTGTTCTTCTCCGCTCTGTTGTGAGGATCGGTCCTCGTTGGTTGAGACAGAAGAGGGGGAACCGAGAATATTGGCTGTTCTATGGCCTGGGGATCCAGATCCTGTGTTTGGCGAAACCGGCTGCGAGCTTGGAGGGTATGTTGGCTGTGGCGTGGGGTGATACCGAGGAGGAGCCTCAAAGGTGGATACATAGGGTGCATAAGTTGGCATATAGGGCTGGTGGCTGATAGGTGCAGATGAGACCAAAGGGACAGGTGCATGGCCAAAAGATGGCATGGGTGGTCCACTGCTCATCCCATAGACGTGGCTTGCAGGTTGATTGCATTCCGTGGGACAAGCATATGCATTGTTGTGAGGCCAGGGCGCACTGCATGCGTTGTGGGCGTGCCAGCCACTGTCCTCTGATGAACCGTTGAGATCACGGGTAGGAAACCAGATATCAGTCGTATTGGATGGTTGGCAGACAGGCCATGAGATATGCTCCTCATAATTCACGGCCTTTGCGTCTTGAGGAATGATTGATGGTGCGAGATGTGTGTTTTGCGGGTGAGGATTGAAAGGTATGCCCATAGGGTAATTGGCGATGTTTGGATTTGCCACACCGAACTGAGAGTTGGACAATGATTGTTCATCCCGTGGAAGGTTTGATACTCCAGAGAATGAATGAGACGATGTCTCCTCAGTGCTTGAAAGGAAGGAGTTGCTAGGCAACGTGAGCATGTTGCTGCGTGGTGTTGGGTGAACTAGGCCAGCGTGTGTTTCCATTGTGCAAGCACTGATAGGCTCATCAAAATGATCAAGCGACTCGATGTCAGAGTCACAGTAAGTGCTTCCGTTGCTTGAAAGAGTGCTGTTGAGGTCAAGACGCGTTGTGGATGGAGACACGCTCTGTGAATAGCCAGTCAGGCGTGGATCTTCCGCTCGGAGGGGTGTAAAGCGCCCGCCGTCCTCCATAAGAGGCATGGGAGGTCCTGGCAGGCGATTTTGATTCATCATGACTGGGGCAGATTCTCGAGGATGTTGTGCGTCGATTGTTGGGGAAGGGTGATGCAGCAGGTGGAAGTCTGAGCGAGAATTTGATGTGGAAGGGTAAAGGATAGAATACCAATCTTGGGAAGAGGAGACTGGTTTATCAAGAGCATCTGGACTCCAGAGTTGCGACGCATAGGCGTACATAATATCGGTCAGTCCAGTATACTCCTTTGGATGTGCCATCCATGACTTCGGTGCCCCAGGAATAGCCAACACGTCCATATTGACCACAGAGAAAACAAAAATAGAATTATTATAAAACTATACCGAGCAAGCACGTATTATTCTCTTGCTTCACCGCAATTACTGGCGAGTGTTGTACGCGGGTTGTCGCTGGGTGTACACGACCGCTATCCCGGAGGTTTCCTCTTTGTTGGCCAGTACACACGGGATATAGTGTGGAGATTCGAGGAGACCTGCAGGGCTGACCGTTATGAGATGTTAGTGCTTTGTTATATATGGAGAGGTTTCACCAGAACGGCCAGGGCTAATTGGGCACCACTTACCGTATGAATATGATAGCACACAGTTGACTACCAGAGGATGATGCCACAAGTGACGAGGACTGCGAAAGCCTCTTTATATAACTGTAATGAGTGTAGACAGGTCTCTCTAGATTCCCAAATAGCAGCTATCCTTCGGAATAGAACGGCTGTACGGCTTTTGAGAGAATGATCCTAGTAGGGATTGGGCTGTAAGTCGAGCCGTTGAATGCAATGCGGTCTCAGATATGTCGGCAACTCAGCCGTTAGGAGAAAGGGGGCAAAGCGCTGGATTGCTGTAAGGGTGATATGCCAGATTGCAGGGTGCCAGCACGGAGATATTGTTTGAGAGACAGTATAAAAGTTGGAAGTCGAGGATGGGGGATGGAATCCTATCAAATTTATATCAATGTGCTAGGAGCAGAGCGAGGGCAAGGAGGGATACCGTCTGGGCCTTTTAATAGATAACATGAATTGATCGAACCAGACACATGAACCATGTCTATCATTCCGCCAACTCATTTCAGCTCCTCGGCCCGTTTAATCTCAATCGAGGCCCGTGCGATTTCCAGATGAGCAGGAAGGATCTCGGCCTGTTCCAGGCGTCTAGAGGCACAGGGAGAAACAAAGGAAAATATAGACATGGGTTGTTGGTACTCCAGGGCATCTGAACCCTAGCCAGGTCAGAAACCCCAACTCTAGAAATACCCTAAACCCCGGTCGTATGCCCATGATCCACTTTCCGAGCGTTTCAGGTACTTTCTCTATTGTCTAGCGTTAGGTCTCGAATTAGCCTCGATTCTGTGCGATGCGAATGTATGTCTAGAAAGGAGGTGAAACGAGAGCGAATAGTGGACGGGTTGTATTCTCGACGGCTTCCTGAAGAAGATCGTCTCCCCGGCCGTTAAGCCCTAGTCAATATATCTCCGTTCAATATTTCATTTGCTTTTCTCCTTAGCCACATTTTATTCCATACTCAGTGCTGGGTGAACTGGCCCCGGAACTGCATCCCCGTTGGCAATGGTCCCAGCATAGTATGCCGCTGATCCACCATGTACAACCCTGACAGTGGGGATATGCATCCGGCTGCACGTCTACCTGATCGACAAACTGGCTAATGCTCCATGACTTGGCAGTGGCTCCGTCAGTTTTGGAATGTTCCATCCTGATCGGGTAGCCGCAGAGAGCTTCTGGGGAAGGCTAAGTGGCATCCGGGCCAATCAGGCCAATGGGACCGATCCAACCTGCTTTAGAAAAAGCAATTTGACTAGGATAGCGGTAAAAGAAATTTCCTGACAGGAGGCTGGCTGGAGAGGGTTTTGCCGACGGACGTGATCTATCTAGTCTTTTGGGGCTCCAGGGTCCAATACAAGAGTTCCTCGTTCCAACAGGAGTGCATCAAAGGCCCTATGAGATTAAGTGTTGAAGATCGACAAGATCCTAGCCAAAACAAGAATATTCTAGAATAGAGTAAATCCCATTTGAGCAGATGGAGTGATCAAAACAAACTGGCTCAACGTCTACAACTGCCGAGAAAAATATAAATAAACATCAACCTTAACAAGGAAAAACCTCCGGGCCCCTTTCCCCGGATCTCCACCGTTCTAAAAACAGTCCTATTCAAAAAAGCTTCTTAACGACCGCTGGGATGGCCTAGGTGGCGTTGAAACCGGAAAGATCGAAAAGGAGCCTGCAGCAGCACGAACGCGCAAAGGTTCCGTCCAATCCCCTAGCCAGGGGAAAAATCTCAATTCCTAGTGTGAAAGAGCTCCGCGAAAATTTCATTTCTTTGAAGCAATGTTCTGTTGGTGTTACATGTCTGTGGAGTTGCCTTGGGTTTAGGATTTGCCTTTTTTAGGTGCTCGATCGACCGCTAGACTTCATTTCCCGCATATGCGAAGCATATTTGCGGATCTTATTATTGTTTATTATGATACCACTACCCGATGATTTTCGTATGTCAGACAGCAAGACCTAGATAAAATGTGAAACAAATCTGGGGAATGGGTGGGATGGAAAGCGTTGATACGAACAGGGACCTAGGGATGATCAGTGGAGAATCAAATCAAGCTAGAAAAAAAAATCTGTTGGAAAAGCAAGAAGAGGTTGGTGTTGTTTAATTTGAAAGAAGTCTCTCGGCAGCCTCCTTGGTTCTCCGTTGGTTGTATGGTGGTTATTGATTGGTTGAATTAGGGCTCGCGGATCCCGGATACCAGGGTGGTGGGTAGGTACTTTAGTGTGCTTTTGGTGTAGTTATTTCTGATTTTTAGCAAATATGCCAAATCATCAAAATAGAGCGCATTTGGTCACTGCTAAAAACAGAAACAAAACCCCTGCGATAATTTGGACTTGAGACATAGAAGCTGAAGGATTCTTCTTCGCCAACAACTAGAGACTCGGCTCCTTCCTAACAGAGATAGATCTTACTTGTCGCAGACCAGAAATACGGTTTCTAAATGAGACATGAGACTCAAAGAGATGGGAGGAAAATCTACCCTACTACATTCCAGATCATGGCTTGCTGGCATGTAGCTATGCACTGTGGCGGTTACTGCGCTAACAACTCCCAGTAAAAATGACATATTGTGACACAAAGTTGGTTTTCATTTCACAAGATTTTACCTCCCACCGAAGGTTTCGGGAAATATGCGGCATTTTTAGAGCTGGAGGCTTTGAATCATGGCGCCTAGAGACGGGAATATTTCATCTAGTCTTCCATGGAGTGCTGGGGAGATACGATTCATTAATTGAAACTTCAACAGCTGGCAAGGCTATTAGGTTCCAGCTGTCAACCGGGTAAGTAGAATAGTTGTTTTATTATTGACTTTCATAAGGAGCACATAGTATAAACTAATTCCTACTAGAATAGAAAGCCGGGGAAATGACACAGATATATCGAGGCCATGGAATAAGAAACTGTCCATGTACTCAATCAAGTACCCCTATAGAGCCCACATTGATGCTATTTCTAGGACTTGCACTAGAGTTTACTGGCGGCCATCCCCGGCGCAGAGGCCAGACGTTTGAACTCCCTGTTGCGTTCCCGTTTCCGTCGGCCAGCTGCGTTGTCCCTGGATATCAACCAGTCAAAGGGCAGATCAACAAGGAGGAGTGTGAATAAAATTAGGTTATGGATAACGTAAAGAATGACCAATTCTAAGTCTCACAGTCAGTGGGGGCCATATTGTCGGGGAGATAATGGAAGAGTGCGGAATACAGAGTAGGTAGCTGGAAAACCTGACAAGCGCAATGGGCGGATAGAGGATATGAAACGAACTCATGCGCAGGCTATACATTTCGGTTGTCGGCAGATTAGGAGAGACTGAGAGCAGGAATATAGAACATCTCGCAATGTGGGGAACCAAAGGTTGTACATAGAAAGGTCGTCTGCGCAAGCCCTTTTCCCTCCTTTTTCGCCGTTGACCTATCCAATCAAAATCATGTCTGAGAATACTACTAAAGGGACCTCCGAAAGGACTACTGGAAAGACATTACAAGGCCGCTTATGCAACCCACTATTCTTGTATCTATACATAGCAATCCAATCACCTTGATATATATTGAGAATGTAGTGAATGCGAAGCACAAGGGTCCCCGTTTTTATTTGATCTCTACACTGTTTAGTTGTCCCTTAGACCCTTTGCTTACACAGGGACGACACAGTATTAATGCCCCTGTATCTCTGAACTAATAAATACAGTTGTAGATAGGATATTTTGCGGCTCAAGTCCCTTGTATCTGCCAAACAGAGAACTATACTTGGCATCCTGTGTTTCATAGATAGGGATGGTGATACCGTACTAACGTGGAGAAATAGAACAATGCACTGCATGGCAAAGACCAGTATTTCATATACTAGGCATTACTCTGAAGACTCAACTCCATAGCTGCCGCCATGAAGACATATAGATGATCAGGGGTAAATGGCTGAAAGCTCTAGATGTATTTGCGAATTCGAATCATCTAAAGGTCGGAAGGCCGAAGTGAAGGACTTCCAGGGGGGTTGGTTTCACGCTGGAAGGTATGTAGCAGTTGTCGAAAGACTACTGTGTAGAGGTTATAATAGAAAGGTTTTAGATAGTTTATCCGGTATTTGCGACGATCCCCTCTTTTATGCTACATAAAGGTATGGGTTATTAGAAATGTTAGCTCTTCTGCGAGAAAGACGAAAGCCCTGTGAAGTGAGATATTGGTAAAGTACACATTAGGAAAAAACCGTAAGCAAACGACCTGGTGATCCCGGCCGGCCGCACCGTCTTGTTGATGATTCAAGTGGCCAAATTAGCCATCGCTCCAATGACGAGCAGCACAAGTTCCACGCGGACGTTGAGGTGGGTGCAAGAACCCCGATAGCGGTTCACATGTCAACTCGAGGATGAACGGGCTGGCTTATTAGAAGAGCTGACTAGTTGGAGGATGGCTGACACACTGCGTATGTTCAGCAATACTGAGGCGTCTGGTATTAGAAGTTGAATGTTGTGTGTAAGCTGTCCACGTGAGAAGGCTTATAGCACGACGATGATAGAGCGAGCCTTTCAGGATGAAGATGTAGAGATAGACGATCGTAAATTGGGAACTCCATCATCAGGCCGCGATAGTGACCGAATGTATACATTTTCTTGTGCCATACGAATGGAAATATAGAAGTTAGACATGAGTTGTGTAATGGCATACTATCTAGTCTGTATGAAGCGATACCTTCCCAACCTGTTCTGGGCTAAGGGTGATTTCATGACGTCGGTCTTATTCGGCGGTGCAAGCGGTGTGAATCTCAATCATACCGATTGTCTCTGGGGGTTTTGGACATTCGACCTTGGAAGTATTCAATAGATTCGTCGTAGAGACCAAAGAGTTCTTTCCGGTCGCCACCTCTGCTCTTCTTCAGATGCACACAGGGCAAATGATGTCAGCCGGGGTATTGAAAAACTCCATAACGTCGAGGGAATATGTCGCAGAGGCTAATGGACAAATCACTATGGAGGCCGTACTCGAGGGCGAGTTGGAAAGCGATTTTGCTCGGCTTGGCGTGCAATCTGACTTTCTTGACTATCGGCGACGTTGATGAACAAGACATTGGACTTGGCCTCATATTGTCTTATACCGAACTCTTCAAACCGCTGCACGTAATTCTCAGGTCAAGAATTTCCAAAGATTGCCAACGATGCTCGTTGTACCTGGCAATTTGAGAGTGGACACGCAATATAATGTGCAAATCCCAGAAGAAGGCAAGGAGCCTAAGGGTAGGTAAATTGAGGTAGATGAAGAGATATGGAGGGAGAAGTAGGGAGATGAGAATGGGAATATAATACAGAACTCGTTGATTGGGTATCAAAAGAAACAAGAATGACTCCACAACAAAGGGAATCGAGTTACCGGTGAATCTGGGCTCCAAACTTGGCAGGTACGTACAATGTGAAAGTAAACTACGAAGAATCCTCGAAGCTGGAATCAGACGAATCCGCCATCGACGAATCTCTTATCGGCATAGACACAGGTGCACCAATACTTTCCAATCCTCGGGGCTTTTCCAGAGCTCCACTGGAAGCATCGAGCTTTGGAGTAACACCAGCTTCTTTCTTGAGTCGCTCGTAGTTATCGCCAGCTTCTTTGATCATCGCCTGGATCTCCACTTCACGAATTGCGATATCTGCCTTCTCCTTTCGCAATTCCTCCATCCGGCTGATCATCTTTGTTTTCGCGTCTTCCATGGATGCCAAAGACATGCGCAATCTTTCGAAACTGCTAGCCAGCCGTGGAAGAGATGTCACCTTTGGAGGCGTCTTCGGACGATCAATATCACTTGACTTGCCACGACCCATCGCCGCATGAACCTGAGCAGCTTCATAGGCAGCCTTTTCCTCCAAGTCAGAATCATCTTCATCGGAGATACCCTCCGCATCGTCAATGAGGTCACGCATTGCTTCGCGGTCCTTTCGCTTCTTCTCGCGCTCCGCCTTTCGTCCAAGCGCCATCTTGCCATCCTCTGTGAAGACCTCGAACCCTTCCGCAAAGTCCTCATCGTCACGAATCAGTCTTGTATTCTCGGCTTCTTGAATGTCTTTATCTCCCCGTACAACGGCATCCCAGTCATCAACGTGGGCCGCACCGTTGGCGTCCAATGAAATGAAACCGTCATCCTCCGCACCTTGTTCCATAGCTAGACGTGCTCGTCGGGCCTTTTTCTCCCGAATCTCAGCTTCGCTGGGAATGTGTGCCTGTCCTGGCACAGTCATAATCTCGCCAAACTTAGCCGCGACGTCCACAGCCTTGCTGGATTCGTCATCGGTAGTGGTTTTCGGTGTGGAGGGAGTGGAATCCCGAAGTTCCTTCAAGTAGTCATGGCTGTATGTAGGCCGGTCTGGGTCTTGGCCAACTGTGGGGATTTGAGCGGCGCTTCGTTCCATTGCTTTTCGTCCTAGACCGTGGCGTTTCGGTAGGACCACTTCGCTCTCTTGGTCGTCGGTCATAGACGTCTCGGCGCCAAAGGAGAGCTGCAATTTAGATTTCTGTTTCGGCTTAAAGGCGACTGGGCGCTTAACGACTGGCTCTGCAAACCTTAACGTCAGCTTCAAGCTCAGTAGGCCAATATGTAGAGTAGAAAAAAAAGTGACCATAGCCGACATACCTGATGGAGCGCCTCCATCGTCCTCCTCGTCATCCCCGCCAACCTTGCGGGGCTTTCTGCGATTGGCAAATCTAGAGCTCATATTTTGATGTATACAATAATCAAATATGACAAAAACAAAGTGATGCAAGTTGGTGGCGTGAACGTTTGAGCTTCACAGGCACAGTGGGCAGCTCTTATCTCGTATCTCATATCCGGAACATCATTCCTCCGATCCAGCTTGCACCAAACTCCCAAAGCCACTGCGGTTACTTGAATCTTGCCAAACTCCAAGATACCCAACCAACTCGCCCAATATGCCTCAAGCTCAGCCTGAATTGAAGAAGGTTAGTGCCCTTCCCAAATTGTGCGCTCTTTTTGTCCCGGGATCCCAGCTAACGTCGTGTCTTTTCTGCAGTACATGGAGAAGCGGGTCTTCTGCCAACTGAATGGCAACCGCAAAGTCATTGGTATCCTTCGTGGATACGATGTATGTCTACGCCCTTTAACCCAGCTTTTGTGATGTTGGGGTACCTACTGCGTTACCATGAAAGACGGGAGGAAGATGGTACCAATCCAGCGCGAAATAACTAACACTTCCGCGCAGGTCTTCATGAACATTGTCCTGGATGAGGCATTCGAGGAGAAGGAAGGCGGAGAGAAGGCTGCCATTGGCATGATCGTACGTTAAATCACTACCGATGGGTATCGAGAACACTCCTAACGGATATTCCAGGTCATCCGCGGTAACTCCGTCGTGATGCTCGAGGCCCTCGAGCGCATAACCGATAAATAAGCCACACATCTACGCACACCATCTACGACGTTTCTTTTGATTGAAGGGGCACGCACATAGGCATCGCTCCATGGCCAAGTGCTGGGAAAAGATCTAATGCTACTGGGAGTTTCTGGGTCGGTTTCTCTTATGGGAACAATCAAAACCTTTTTTCTGTTCTATTTTTTTCTGCTCGTTTGCCAGGGCGCAGGTTAGACTACTATGGCTACCCCCAATGACTTTTTGACTGGCTACACCTACGCTGCAAATTTACCAGGTGGGATGAACATAAGACATAGCTGGTATTGAAATCGAAAGATAAAGCTGAATCGATATCGCGCCGAGGAGCAATGCTTGGGGGTCCATCCTCCTGCCTGAGTTAATGGCGAAGAGCACAAATAATAAAGAGATAATGGTAAAATACATGTGATATTCGAAGGAACAAAGTGGGATATTCATGTTGGTCGACCACCAAACTTGAGCTTTAGCTTGGGGGTAGATGAGGCCGGAGTCTTGGAGATTGCGCCTGGCGCCGGCGATGGTCTTGGAATGTGGATTTTGGGAAGATGATTAGGAGTTGGAGTTCCTGGGACCAGGCCAGTCTTGGTCTGCTTGAACGTGATACGGGGGGTTGATGAGGGTTGATCCTCGCGCTTGCGCTTGGAAGACGGACCCATGCGGGGTTTGTTAGATCGATAGAAACGTAACTTGCCGTGACCTTCATTTTGCACACTCCAATATCGAGGAAGTTTCATCCGTACGAGCTTAGATGTGACTGGGTCATACAGTGTACGGCAGAGGTCAGTGAGCTCGGAAAGCTCCAAGAGGCCCATGCACGGCGAGTTGCATGCTGCCCACATGCATTCCTTCATAGATGTGTCGCCGGAAAGCTCTCGTTTGAGGGCTTCAATGGCGCCGGGAATGGTTTGGCGTCGTGCGATGTCGTCTCGTCGGATTTGGGTGGAGGATTCTTGTTCGATGATCAACCCATCATGTTGGAAAGCTTCGGTTTGTTGAGGACGACCAAAAGCAATTTGTGCTAGGGTCTGACCGAGCAGACGTAAAGATTGGTGGCGTATCCAGGGAGATGAATCCGCTGACAATGTGAACATGAGCCATCGAAGAAGCTCCGGGCTCTGAGAAATATCCAGGTCGACCAAGCATTGAAAGGCTTGCATCCGGAGAAGATCATAGGTTCCTGCTCGCGTATATGGGATGAAACGCATCAAATCCAGGTCCATCATCTTGGCTTGCATTAATTGCGCCTGGCATTGAAGTGCAGCTCTGGAATAGAGATTCTGGAAAGAGCTGGACCATTCGTCCATTCGTCGGTAGCGGTCAAACTCGGCCATGGCATCTTTGTCCAGTTGCTCCTCGGCCTGAGCCTCAATGACATGCTCCATATCGAAATTATCTAATTCCTCATCTGTCCGCGCCTCGCCCTTGCCAAGCATCGCATGGCATAGTGACTTCATTAAAGAAGCGACATAGAAGTTGTCTGAGTACTCGTTGTTCGAGTTGTCATTGAACTTCAGTTTATCGAAGAGGAATCTCTTCACTCTCAGTGGCGTTTTGCCGCTGTTGTCACGGACCTTAGAGATTGCCTCGGGGATGACTTGTTGGAGGATGTAGGCCGCTCGATCGGAGAAGTCATTCGAGCGAGTCATGGGCGATCCGGGGAGACAGAAAAGCTCCTGGAACGCCTTCTCAAGATGGAACAGCCCAACCCAATCAACCTCATCCTTGGCATGTTTTACCAAGGCACGTGCAGCTGTGGTACGTATTCCATGGAAGTATCGGTTATCCATGAGTGTCCGAACGAAGATTGTGGAAATGAGAGGATGCTCTCGCTGAGCAGCCATGTATTGCAAAGACTGGGAAGGTTAGTATCATGCGTCAATTATTCAAAAACGGCAATATAACTCACCTCGAGCTGGGCCACAACATCTCGATCTTGCTGAAGTTGGGAGAGATACATGTACCCTGGCATACCGAGAGACAGTTTACAGACCCATTCAAAGTCTGCATCCATTCGAATCCACTCATAAGATTCCTGCCCCATTCGCTCTTCGTCCTCTTTCGTCCAGTCAGCCAAACGCCAAGCCTGTGTCTCTTCTTCGCTCTGTAGCACATCTCCCAGGCAGTAGAGTAGAACCTCTTCCTGGACCTCAGCATCGCCCGAGGCGACGGCTCGTTCTCTCTGCTTTTTGTTTCTTTTGAGCCTTTTGTACTTGGTGTTGTATGGAATATCGAACTTCGTCACCCCCTCCTTGATTTCAACGATGTGTTCGTATGGGGTTCCATCTGCTTCGTGGATCCGAAGCGTCATCGAACCCGTGAAGACCGGCTGAACTGCGCCCGCGTAGACGTGCCGGACCTCTTCCTTCACATCACGCAAGAAGGAATCCTTGTCGAGATCGCGGGGGGGCTGTGGTTCAGATTGGACCTGTCTGATCATCATTTCAACGACGAGCTTCTTCTTGTTAAATCGCTGAGTCGCTTGGAATCGTGGGCATCCCGCGCCGTATACCCATTGTTGGAAGAAGACATCTAATTTAGCGTGACCCAGTCGCTCGCAGGTCTTTTGGAACAGGGACGTAGTGACAGCTCCATTGGGTATATCGCCCATGCGAGAGTTGAGGAAAAGTCGAGAAATAATGCGTGACATCGTGGCCTTGCCACTCGCCTTGGTAAGTCGTCGGTCAAGAATGAACAAGACCAAAGGCGCTTTTAACGCAACGAAGCGATATTCGGATGGGTCAACCTTGAGAATGTTACCCATGTCGTATATGGACGGGCGCTCGAAATCCAAGTCGCAGACTTGGTCAGATGCCTGCTTCAGTCTGAAACGGTATTCGTTGTTTCCGCAAAGTTTTCTCATGAACGTATCTGTAATGTACCACGCCACACCGACAGTCACCCACGTGTCTGACGGCTCGCTAGGAATAATGTTGATCCCAGTCCACTGACACGCCAGACCGTGGACTTGAGCCCGGGTAGAGTCATACATGGGGTCGATCATTTCGGCTGGGAAAAGCAGATGACTGCTACAAACTGACATGCACGCAGTGGGAAGAGTATCAGTTGGGAGATCGTCGACAAAACAAATCTTGTAACTGCCGAATGGATATGACCCGTACGACAAGGAGAAGAAGTCAATCGCCTGAGCCATGGGAAAACTGCTATTTTGCACTTCGTCGGCTCTACCTGGAAGACAGAATGCGTGCAAAGGAATGGCATTTTGGCCAAGTTGTTCATCCTGGTCACTTTCACGGAAGTCGGCTAGGTTGACATACTCGAACGGGCCAATAGCGAAGCCAATTTGCAAGGCTCCCAATGGTGAATATGCTGCGAATGAAACTGTTTTGCGGGTATGGTCTTTAGGGTCGACAATGTCGTCAGTCAACTCGCCGGAGCACACCACGGACATATCGAGGCCCTCATCTTCCGCAGAAAGTTGGCGGTTCGGCGCATTTTCTTGGGACGGGGTTGTTGCACCGGAAGCATCTTGGGTCTTGCGTTTGAAAACATCGCCAAGGGAGCTAGGGCAGGTGATGGAAACCTCCCAGGTACATCGCGAGGACATGTCATCCACGCATGGGAATAAGGGACAACCGATACCAGATTCGAGTGAGTTGGTTGTGTAGGCATGAGGGTACCGTTGATCTCCATTTTCGACACCGACAAATTGTAAGCCATCCCGAATATGATCAATAACAAATTCGATGTTGACTGTTAGAGCCGTGAATCGCGGAAGGTTTGCCTCAGGCGCTCTGGCGCTAGAAGGGCCATCCACATTCTCGACGGTAGATTGAAGGGCGATTTGATCCTGTGCTTCGGCTGAAGATGGATCTAGTTCATCGATGCGGACGCCCTTTGGAATCGTGATGGGGAGGGTAGGTCTCGGAGGAGTTTGTAGGAGGGTGTCGATCTTTGGTGTCAATCTTTCGTGATACTGTACGCCGTACAGTTGTAGCGATTCGTATTGATCAGTGTATTTTGTTGTCGCAGGCTTTCCATTAACACTCAGTTGCTTGACCTCGCCTTGTCGAAAATTCAACCAGATTGTCCCTAGATCTCTGCGACGAGGATGAATTGTGATTTCGGTCTTTCCTTTGAGACTTTTGGAGGCTAGATCGATCTCAAGTTCGACTTTCTGATGTCCCACGTTGAATCCCAGATCAAACGGGCGTGCCGCGGCACCAACGGGGTCGACAACACCCGGCATCGTGAAGATTCCTCAGTGACGAGATGCGCGGGGAGCGCTTTGAAGACCATCCACCGTCATGTCCAACCAGACTCGATAAATGATTGTAGTGTCAAAGCCGGAATGAAATCGAAGAGCAGTTCGCGTGGCGCAGATTCGAGCTCTAGATGACGGTGAAATGCGAGATGGGAGATTACGCGATTATGGATCACGGTCGAGTATCGCAAGGTGTGGAGGTATGATGTAGGTTGAAGACTCAAGTGAAGCGCAAATCACAAGTTCGAGTGCGACAATTAGCGACAATGGGACTGAGTCTGAACAATGCAGCAAATATCTGCCTAGTCTATTGTCAAGCTTCCCTTGTTCGCGTTCCCGATGCGGAGCAAGGCACGTGATTTCGACCTAAAAATCCGTCCTGGACGATTCCCACTCCTCCTTTTCTCCACGTATTCTCGAGTGTCGACATTTGTTTTTAAAGGCATGATTTGATTTGCTGTGCATTTGTCCATTTTACCCACTTGTTTGCCGACCTCGCTATGAACTGAGGTGCTGGTGTTTACCCCGACTATACTACAACTCCGCGCGTGACAGCCCAATCTCCAAAATGGAAGCAATCTACCGAATGGTCCAAGGTTAGTGATGTGAAGTCTGTGATCGGTATATATATTCCAATTCAATTGCTAATTCAACCGTTCAACTGCTATAGAGACCCAAGATGGCCTCTCCGATGAGGCTCTCCTACCCCTTAAGTCCTACAAGTATTCGAGTGTCGACAAGTCCTTCATCTCTCGGTATATCTTGTGTCACTACGTATGACAATCAACCTTACACGATTTACCCCTGGAACAAAGAATTGACTCCCTGCTTAGTGGAATGCCTTCGTCGAGGTTGTGCCCATGTGGATGGCCCCCAACATGGTGACCCTTCTTGGGTTCATGTGGATTGTTGCCAACGTCTTTATTATTCAAATTTTCGTGCCAGATATGGTGGGACCCGTAAGTGTTCCTGTTCCTTGTTCCCAACTTGATATTTTATTGGAAGTGGCGAGTTAACCAGACTATTCAGGGCCCCGCTTGGATTTACTACAGTTTTGCTCTTGGCATGTGGATGTGAGTGACTATCCCCTCCATCTTTACGATTTCAACTAACCAAATAGGTACTCTACCCTTGACAATGTGGATGGTAAACAAGCACGTCGTACTGGAACGTCCAGCGGACTCGGAGAACTTTTTGAGTTTGTACCATTCCCCGAAAAGCCATGGGTGGATCACTAATCAGGTACAGTCACGGTATCGACTCTCTGAACTGCACCCTTGCCAGTCTGCTGTCAACGGCCGCAATGGGCTTCGGAGCCACCCACCTTGGTGTCTGGACCGCAATTGTGCCTTGCCTAGCTATGTACTTTTCGACATGGGAGACCTTCCACACCCACACCCTTTACCTCGGCTACTTCAATGGCCCGACTGAGGGTCTCCTCATAGCCATTTCTATCATGATTGCTTCCGGAATTTGGGGCCCCGGAATGTGGTCTCAGCCCATTGTTGGGTTCCTTAACTTCCCCCAGATCTTCGGCACTAGCTCGATCAAGGACCTCTGGGTGCCTATCCTCCTGGGTGGCTTCTTCCTCGGTCATCTCCCCGGATGTGTTATGAATGTGGCTGAAGCCCGCAAGAAGCAGGGCCTGGCATTCACCCCGTTGCTTAAGGAGTGGGTGCCTATGATCGCCTTCACCTTCTGCAACATTGCCTGGCTGTTCTCGCCTTATTCGGCTATCCTTTCCGACAACCACCTTATTTTGTTCTGCTGGGTTATTGCATTCGTCTTCGGACGCATGACCACCATGATCATTTTGGCCCATCTTCTGAGACAGCCCTTCCCCTTCTGGACTGTGATGCAGGCTCCCCTCATTGGTGGCGCCGTCCTCATCAACTTGCCTATGATCGGCTTCCCCACTATTGCCCCATGGTTGGAACTGCTGTACCTCCGACTGTACTTCATCTTCGCTCTTGTTATCTACATGCACTGGGCGGTTCTCGTCATCAACCGCATTACCACTTTCCTCGGCATCAACTGCCTCACTATCCGAAAGGATAGAGGTGCTGCCAGAGATAGAGCCTATCGCAACCTCGGTGAATCGTCCCACTTAGATCAGTCTCGCGCTTCGACTGACACATCAAAGACCCATTGAATTAGTACTCGCCACGCCATCGCCATGGAAAAATCGACTACCGACGCTAGATGAATGGGGTTTCCCCAGTGGCATTGCCACAAAAGCACCAGAGCGGTGCATCGTTTAAATGTTCAACCTTGTAATTATGAACATGTCTGTCCTTCTACATATGATTCATTATCTTGATCTGATGAGAGATATAACAAATCCCAGGGGGATTTTGATGAAACCAAGCATGGAAATTGTATCCTGCTGCATATCTGTACTTACGAGAATATTAATATTTGTGAATAGATCAAAATGAGAATGAAGTTGAAATTCATTAATTTTCGTGAAGTCGATAAATAGTACAGGAAATTAGAAAGGTACAGACATCATCAAAACAATCAACGCTGGCAAAAAGAAACAGATAAAATCACAAGCATTGAAGTTCGTTAAGCTTTTCATTTCTTTCCAAGTCCAAGAGCGTCAGTCAAACCGCCCAGACCAAGTCCATTGATCAACTTATCCAATCCAAGACTACCAAGAAGACCATTCAACAATCCACCAAGACCAAGACCATCAAGCAGACGGCCAACCAGTCCAAGCACACCGGTAAGCAACAAGCCAACGGCAGCGATGATCTGGAACAGAGGCTCAGAGAGCAGACCCCAGAGGGGGTTCAACTTCTTCTTGGCATGAGGCATGTCAGCGATACGTCTCTTGCCGTTGTCAATACACTTGACGACAGTCTCAGTGAGCTCCTTGATCATGTCGGCAAGCTGATACTCCTCAGGAGTAGCATCGCGAGCAGCAGCGCGGGCCTTAGCCGTGGCAGCAATACGTCCATCGGGATCAAGTCCACGGATGGCACCATTGCACTCTTGCAGAATGCGACCACCTTCTTCAAGGAGCGGCTTGACAGTTTGAACAAGTTTCTCCTCGTCAAGCTCATCCTTGGGCGTGCGATCGGCTTTGTCGCAGGCATCGGTGATCTGCTTGCAAATAGGCTTGACGTTGTCGAGAGTCTGGCCGAGGATGGAGATCATCTTCTGCGCGAGTTGGCGGTCGGATTCGGCCTTTGCCGCAGCCTCCTGCTCTTCGGCCGTGGGTCCCTCCTCTTCCTCCTCCTCGGGCTCTTCGGGCTCAGGCTCGGGAATGTTCTCGAGCAAGGTGCATTCGCCAATCTTGTTGCCGTCGTTGTCAACAACATAACCGTTGTCGTCGATGGACTTGCCGGCCAGAGTGGCGAGGTTACCCGATGTCAGCTTGCCAATGAGGTTGCCGTCCGCATCGCGGACTTCGCCCTCCTTATTGACCTTGCGTCCAGACATGGGGTTGACGTCGCGCTTCTTCTCTTCGGGCTCCCAGCGCTCGGCCTTGCCGATAGTGTTGCCGTTCTTGTCGGAGACATCACCGTCTTCGTCGACCTTGCGGCCGAGAAGGCGCTTGGCGTCGCCTTCGATCAGACGTCCGATAATCTTGTCGCCGTCTTGCACGACTCCATCCTTGCCGACGACAGCGTTGTCAAAGCCGTAGAATGGTCCTTCGGCCTTGTGTTGCTCGGCGCCGGGGATGAGCTCGGCGCGACCAACAACCTTGCCGTTGTCACCCCAGATCTGGCCCTTGCCGTCGACCTTGCATCCAGCGAGACGCTTGTCACCTTCAACAATGCGTCCGACGACAGCACCAGTGGCGGGGTCAACAACGTTGCCAGCCTTGTTAACGACCTTGCCCTCGAGGATAGACAGGTCCTCCTCGGCAGGTTCCTCCTCCTGGGGAGGCTCGTAAGGCTCAGCACGGCCCTTGACATTGCCGTACTTGTCTGTGATCTCGCCATCCTCGTCGACAGCGCGACCACGCAGCTTCTTGGCATCACCTTCAACAAGCTTACCAACAATGGATCCTTCATCATCCTCGACGAATCCATCCTTGGTGACAAACAGGCTCTCCATGCCAGCGAAGGGACCCTCAGGTTTGCTCTCAAGCTCATCCTCAGGAATCAGCTCGACACGACCAACAACCTTCTTCCCGTCGTAGATCTCGCCGTCCTCGATCTTCTTACCAGCAAGTTCCTTAGGGTTGCCCTCGACAACACGAGCAATGGGGTATCCATCAGGTCCGATGACATACCCAGCCTTGTTGCAGGTGAGACTATTGACAGCAGAGAAATCAGGTCCAGCCTCCTCCTCCTCCGGCTCTTCCTCCTCGGGCTCGAGACGCTCAGCACGTCCAATGACATTACCCTTTCGGTCGAGGATCTCGCCATCCTCGTCAACGCCACGACCGCTCAGTTTCTTCGCGTCGCCTTCAATGAGACGACCCACGCGGTTGGAGTTCTCGTCTTCGATGAAGCCGTCTTCGTTGACGACAAGGCCTTCAAGACCAGAGAAGGGGCCTTCTTCTTCGTCCTCCTCCACTGGGAGTGCCTTGGCTTTGCCGATCACGTTGCCGCGGTTGTCCCAGAACTGGCCTTTGTCGTCAAGTGTTGCGCCGAGCTTGGATAGTTTCTTGGGATCGCCTTCGGTGAGTTCGCCGACGGGCTTTCCGGTCGCTTGGTCGATGATGTAGCCGCGCTTGTTGCAGGTCATGCCTTCGAGGGTCTTAATGTCGGGAATCCGTGCCTCGATATCGGAGGCGGCATCCTCGGCAGTCTCCTCGGCGTCTTCGGCCGCGTCTTCGGCGGTGTCCTTGGCCTCTTCGGTGGTGTCTTCGGCGGTGGCCTTGGCGTCGTCCACATCACCGTCGGCGGCATCAGTAGCGTCTTCGGCGTCGGAGGCGGCATCTTCAGCGGTAGACTTGGCATCTTCGACATTGTCTTCGAGGTCAATCTTGCTCTTGCCATCATCGGCGGTGGACTTAGCATTGTCGACAGCGTCGTCCACAGCATCGGTATCGTCCTCGGCCTCGGAGGCAGCATCTTCAGCAGTCGACTTGGCCTTGTCGACAGTTCCTTCGACATCGGAAACATCCTCCTCCTTATCAGCCGCACCATCAACGGTGCTCTTAGCTCGCTGGGTAGAAACGCCATCCTGAGCATCTTCGTATTGATCCTCAAGATCCTCCTTGTCTTCACCCTTAGAAGCAGCATCACCAGCACCTTCAATAGCCTTCTTCTGCTCCTCGACAGGAACCAAATCAACACGGCCAATGGCATCACCGTCTTCATCGACGATCTCACCATCCTCATTGAGGGTATACCCAATAAGATCTTCTGGGTCACCCTCAACAATACGGCCGACGATCTGACCAGCAGCGTTCTTAATAACACCACCATCAGAAACAGGAAGACCGTCAAGCTGCGCGAGATCCGTAACAACGTTATCCAGATCAACATCTCCGTTCTGAGCATCCTCGGCGGCGTGCTTAGCCTGATCGGCGACTTCGTGTAGGATATCAACACGACCAATCAGATCACCGTCTTCGTCGACAATCTCCCCGTCATCGCCGACAGTCTGTCCGACGAGATCCTCCGCATCGCCTTCCACGACCTTGCCAATAGGGTTTCCATCTTGTCCGAGGATGTCACCGCCCTCGGCGACCTCAAGACCCTTCAATGCGGAAAGGTCGAACGGCACGGGGAGGTTGTTCTTCCCATTCTGGACGGAACCTTCCTGCACAGTCTCCTTTGTCTTGCTAGCGACGCTCTTAGCCTTGTCGGAGATGCCGGAGGCAGCACGGCCGAGTGGAGCTGCGGAGCCAGAGGCGGAAGGCGCCTGTGAGGCATCGGGGGAGACGGGGCGACGCTGTTCGCGCTTCTTTGATTTCGGGGAGGGTGTTTCGGGGACGGATTGCTCTTCGATATCGTCGTCGAGTGGTTCGGGGGCTTTCTGGGAGAGTTTGCGGGGGGTGGCTTTCTTTGCGGTCTTGCTCGTTGTGCTGGGCTTGCTGGCTGCGCTGGAACCGGAGGCTTTGCGGGCTTTGGCGGGGGTTCCGGCCTTAGAGCCTAGCTTGGGGGGTGCTTTGTTCACGGTGGACATTGTTGCTTTGGTTTGGATGTTTGTAGAGAATCAAAAATGCAGGGAATTGCGAATTGATAATGCGTGTGTGTTAAGTTTGGGGTATACTTCGTAAAAACGTAGTGGAATGGTAATATACAAGTCCCGAGAATTGGTATAGTTCGGGATGGTAGTTTCTAGTTGAAATAGAATTCGTTTGAATAAGATAATAATTTCAGGAACATCTAGAGATTTTTTTGGAGTTTATATAAACAGTTTTATGATTCTGATATCATCGAACCAAGTCTCCTAGTACATTGTAACCAGGAACGATACCTGCAGAGGCTACTACGTCATAAACCGTTGATATCATGACCGTTTGCTTTTATTTTTAAAATCCCTGTTCGGGGTGATCGTCATAAGAGTTAATCTGTATAATCTGTGCACGGTGCAGGGGCTGGAGCATGGTAGGGCGTAGCATCGGCATCATTGAGTGGAGTCAACTGAAAGACTTCCTGGAGAGATTTGTCTGGAAAATGGTTGATCCATATAGTATTGCAGGGTGGATGAACGAATCAGAGAACCGGACTGGGATATGGTAATGTGTGGCTGAATCGGGGAGTAGAAGGAGTTGGAGCTCTGTGCTGCTTCACGGGACTTTGTACGACTCAGATCAATATTCTGTAATATGCCATTGTTGCTTGAATACATTCACATTTGATTACAATGGCTTCTTCTCTGCGCAGAACTGTGATATTGAATTGTTCTATGTTATGTTCCTGTATGTCAAGTTGCGGGAGTCTAGACTAACCGGAGAATTAAAATGCAAAAAGCAATCTGATTGGTCAAATATCAGTACACTTCCATGGATACTTTTTTAAATCCACGCTATAATAAACGTGGAAAAAGGTGGGCGAACAAATCAGAGATGTATCAGACATCCACTCTGCAATTTGCCTCCTGTCACTTGTCAATGTCCCTGTTTGAAAAAGAAAACTCTGCTATATGCACTCCGAATCATCATTACATCAGAATTTATATCAAAAACTCATGAACAGTGCAACAATCCATGAACTTCGTGTTTCTCCACGTAAACAGTTAGTACAAAATCATTTACCCCAAGCCATAGGTATCTTTTCTAACATATGACGATTTTCTCCAATATTGGTATTCATAAGTATTCACATCTTGAAACAGTAAGCAAAACAGGGCGGGGTCTCAGACATACTATGGGAGTCGACCATATGAGATCATTTTAATCTATTTGAGTGGAGAGTTCAGCCACACAAGTCATTGGCTGATATCATCCAATTTCAAGTTATTTCTTTTATTATCCTTCAAATAGTAATTCGAGTTACAATCTATATGTACACTGTAGTTTATTGTAAGTAATGCAATGGCTACACAATGGAAATTCTCCGATTAACTTCCGAAATCAAGATTTGTCTCGTCTTGGCGTGCAATTATTCTTCTTGGATCGGCTCTATATCGTATGATATTACAAGATTATATAGTAGAGACTTGGAAATATATATTGCAATGATAAAAAATGTGTTTGTCCAAACTTGACACTCTGCCTTTATATATATTTGCCCAGGTGGACCTTGTGAGATATAATACATTGACAGTATTTGCTCATTGAATATCGGAATTAACCCTAGATTCCACTTCCGATCGAGATCGATCGGTAATCAGCAAGACTTTGGTGATGTTCGCCACCATGCGCTATTACCCAAACCGGATAGGATCGTCTACAACGTATAGAGTACGAAATAACTACATTTTGAAGTTTATTAATTGATACATGTTAATTGATACCGCTAGATAACAATAAAATAAATTCTCAAGTCATTATGAAGTACATATCACTTGGTCTCGTCCACTTCCTCTTCCATATCTATCTCCATCTCTCCTCGCTCCAGTGTTGTCCATTGTAGAATCAATTTTTCCACCTCCCGATCCACGGGCTTAAATTCGTCGGATACCGGTCGCTGATAGCACGCCATCTGACTTGAAGGCTCGTGTTGTGCGGGCCAGCTCTCTTCGGTTCCGGCTGCTGTGACCTCTCTGTTGAGGAAAGAAGCGCGTTTCAAAAGGCGGAATTGCCGTCTGTATCCCTTATCGGGTCTAGGAACACAAACCTCTCTAAATTTGAAGAAAGGATCATCGAGGATCCGAGTCATGGAGTGCCCGTAGGTCGCTTGGAAAAGAGGAACTTCCACTGAGTGCACATTGGCGACACCATTCCTAATCCGGAGTACCAATTGTCGATCTCGCTGAGCAGTCCTCGGACCAGAGAGGTATACTCTTTGACCTCTGTTGGAGTGGCAGCCTCCAGGGCTGAAGAGGAGGAGGTGGATGTTGCTGTATTGTTTAACGTCAAGGACAAAGGAGCGAACCTCTCGCCTCGAATTAAAGAGCGAGGGGCCGGATCTATACTCCAAGCTCTCGGAGACTCTTGAGGGGGTTCATCTGCTTTCAATGTGACCGTAGGCGTAGGTCGACTTAATTGGTCAAATGTAGTATCATTCTCTTTCTTTTCTTCGAGAAGTTGATGGATTAGGTTTTGTTGATCCGTGAGCGTAGCTTTCAAGTCTCTCCTATTATTGTTAGTATATGTATGCACTACCCACCCAGGTCCAACATCCTTGCGAATCTGCCCCGCGTACATAAGGACATTTAGCATCAATAACATGGTAGACTTTAACCTCTCCAGATTACTTTTCAACAAGTCCAGATCTGGCCCTTGGAACCCCAATGTGAATTTTTGAGCCCCACGAAGACGTCGATTCGTTCCTTTTTCCTGCTCACGCTTCTCAATTCCACTGTCGATTTTCTCAAAGACTTCCCTGCATTCTTTCAAGATATCCTGGGTAGTGCTGAAAGCCCCAGACGAGCAAATTTTCGTGTCGGAGTCCTGCTCGAGAGCTTTACCAAGTTCGTGGAGCACACTGCAAGTAAGAGACACATCATTAGAGAGACTTCGCATAGAATTGTTGGCATTTTTCACAGTGCGGTAGAAAGAGCAAAGGTTGACTGATATTTTGGCACCGAGGTCTGCGACTTGAACTATGCTAGCGACGATTCCGACAATCTCGAGACCGGACATCGTGTGAAGGTAGGGATTCAAATATTGGTATAATTCATGTCGCAATCGTAGGGTGGTTAAATCAATGAAGCGCAGAGCCTCCAGCTGACAGCGGGATATCGCCTGGGCGTAGTCTGGGGCTTAGCGCGAGGCAGTGCATTACTTTTGCCCATCCCTTGGTTAGACACACAAATTAAATATCGAGCGGAAAGAGATGGACTGAATAAGATATTTGAGGTCAGCGACCTACTATTCAAGACATAGAATCAAGAATCAGTATCAACTAAACCTGAATAATAGACTGGTAGGTGTGGACATGACCTTCGGTTTTTTAGTTTGTCCACCGACGGGTTCACCCGCCCCCCGCCCCCTGGGCCCCGGGGCCGGTTGTGAAAGTTATATAATCAGGGTCTATGCGCCACCCCCCCCCCCACCCGCCGGCCCAAGTCCCGCGGTAGGGAGACCACTTTGTTGTCTGTTATGTTTCTAGAGTGTAATCAGAATTTCAGAAGATCAGCGTGCACTGCCACATAATAGCAGAAGACAGGACACCAGCATCTCAGGATTCTGCCGCTATAGATAGATATGGGCGCAAAAATAGATCAAATGTTTCTAACCCGTATTCAGCTCCACACATGTCCTGCAATGCATGTCGAATGCGGGTTGTTACCGAACTACAGCATACATAAATATATAGTAAAAGTCCAAGATCGGCAGTTGTTCCTGTGATCTCTGTCAAGTGGCCTTTATGAGAGCTAGCTCCGAGGCAAGAGGTGCCTTGATACTCTGGACTTGGGCCAGTCGCCTAAACATAAAACTTCCTGGTACTATATACACCTCCACAATATGGCGTACAAATATCTCTAATTAAACTGGACTTGATCCCGAGGTCGCCAAGATCTGCAAGCTATTTGTCTGTCTTGGCGGCTCCACTTCTACTGCGGGCTCCGCTTTGTTGATACAGCGGATCTAAAGCTGGCCCTCCGTACGGAGGATAGATTGCGGGGATTTGTAGAATAGTTGCCTGTTGCTGAGTTTTAATTTGCAATTTCCGGCCGAAACTTACTGCAGCTGCACCTTTAGTGGAACTCTAAATTAGAAATATACAACATAGAAGCGAAGAAATGCATGGTGGATGGGATAGTAAATTGAAAACAGTTGGGCAATTTTAGTGCTGAGAAAAATATCTAATAGAAACAAAATCCCAAATACGTGAATGTTATAAAGTAGAAGTGAAGGCGAAACCATGACTTGAATAATCTAGAGAGACAGGCAGGAAAAAAGATCGATTCGAGGGAGTATCGGGCTGAGATAGGAAGAGCCGGTTAAGATTGCCAAAATTGGATATGTGCATCAAAGAGAGAAAAAGAGGAAACAGCTTGTGAGCTATCGTATATCTGCCCTGGTTTTTAAGTCAACCGAAGACTTCCAAGGTTCTTTGTTACACCACGTCAAGGGCTTGGCAAATTTCCCTTACTTCCTTGCTAGAATGGATCTAGACCTAGATGTCCGTGTGCTTGTTAATAGTAAACTTTGACAGTACTTCGCAAGAGTGAAATTTGCCGACTGCTCTGCTCATAGTTCCGCATACACACTCTACGATAAAGGCCACATGACGAGTCCTAAATGTGTATTGATAGTACCATTGAATGGTGCGCCAGTATGCAGGTCTTCAGATCTGATATCTAATATTCAGCCCTGGGCTATTGGTTTTATCTGCAATGTACGCGATAGATCGTACGGATGATAGTGGGTGAGAATAAATCCCGAATCCCCCCACAACCCGCTGTCGAATCACGAATTCATCGCCACACCTCTCACCGCCACTTTTGTCTGATCTATACCTATTCATGCAGCGCAGGTGTGGCTTATCACATCGCACGAGCCTACTAATCCAAAATCATGCCTGACCTCTTACAATACCTGCATGTGTCCATGTCTATCACATCGTGGCGTCTGCAGGATGATAAAGAAAGTAGAGATAACTCAATTGCATACTTCGAACGCCACCTTTATGTTCAGCCCAAAGTCACTAACTCAACTAATAAATTATCTATTGTACCTTCGCCTGATACCTTTTAGACGAGGCGCACCATTTCAGGTGCGTGTCGGCAAAGGCTAGAACTGTAGTCTCAAGTATCCCCTCTTCGGAATGACCCCGTGAAAGTTGTAGTCCTTCATGCACCTCCACTGCAGCCGAGAGACAAAGATTGTGGATCTCGCATACATCCTGAATAGTCTTCGGCAATATCATATTCATGTGATCCACATCTGTTCCCGCTTGTTCCTTCAAGGATACCAAGACTGCATTCATGGTCTCGCCATTTCGACGATCTTTCTCCAGGCCAACAAGGTCGTTTTGTAGCCCTAGAACCAAACTAACCCGCTTCTGGAGATCTCGTAGTCCAGAGAGATATTCCGCATCGATCGGTTTGTGTAGTGTGCGGATCAAAGTGAAAAATGGATGGATTCCCATTGTCTTACCGCGGAATTGCAGATATGTTTTCAGGTTGTTAGACAATAGGCCTCGTCGGAATAGGAGCTCGTCTAGTAAGCCCTGACACATATCGCATATATCATCGCTGAGTTCGCGGGCGATGCTCTCACTGAGGTCGAGTTGCTGGATGCAATATTCGAGGAAGAAGCAAAGGATTGACGCGACCTTGTTTATCGGGGAGACTATTCATAGACATGAGCTGCAAGCCTTTCAAAACGCATTTGAACTACGTACCCTCTGTCTTCTTTCCCCGGAGCTTCAAAATCGCCTCTTTCAAAGCAAGTGTGGCGGCAGCTGGTGGCATAGTCTCAAGTATGTCATCCGCCGCGCAGTTTGCAGCCAGCCACGCTGTCATGCATATGCGGATTCTCTCCGATCGTACATCAGGGAAAAAGAGGTTAATTGCAGCGGCTTCTGCAAAGCATCTTTCATAAAAGTCCTTGGTATCTCCGGCTTTTTCCGGTTGGATGGAAGCCTTGAAGTTAGCGTGTGAATAAATCACAGCCGATGGAGGGGCGGAATTCATAGCCACTATGTTGTAGTGGGGAATTCTGAGCTGAATTCAACATATTCAGTCGATGTTTCATGAAGACATAGGTGTAGTTCGACTTACCTTGAGGCATACATCGCGTATTCCCAGTGCAATTTCACATGACCTGATCACAGGCCGGTCGTTTAGACGCGTATAGTCGGGTATATGGCCAGTCACATCAACCGGAAGATAAATTCGACCCGTAGGAGGGACAATCCCATGGTGCAGAGAAACGGTATAATCGCATGTGGCCATTTTCAATGTGGAATTTTGAACAAGAAACACCTCACCATTGCTACGGTTTATATATCCACTCGAATCCAGCGGGGATACGGAAAAAACGGATAACTTTGAGAGACAGTGAATCCTTCTACCGGCCAAGGGGCATTCTTTGTTTATGACGTTAATATGGTTTTGAGTGTGCACGTGGAAAAATTCGCTCATCTATTTCTTGTAGTATGATAGGTCATATTATCGACTAGTTCGTCTTGGTTAGAGCTAACGGGATCCTGGGGACAAGCTATAGACGCATTAATCCTCCTATGCATCCCCTGCGAAGAAAATCTTCCCGGTGGATGCAACTAGCTCTTCTAGGTAGAAGGCTACACCGCATAGAACATCAAGGTGCGGGGCGCTTGGTATGCGTCCATGCATACACATTCATACGTGGCAAGAGGGGATCGCGGGTTTGGTCGGATGTTTTCCCCACTTGTGTGGGCCATTCCATATGAAGGAAGAGATACATTGGATATTTACGCTGGTATGCATCGATTTATGAGTCGCTGTCAGGGTTCTTCTAGAAGTTCAGGGATTATCTCCAGGGATTATCTTCAGGGATTATGAGAGCAGCCAGTCCAAGCGCCGGTCATACGACGCCGATGTAACCGCATATGTCTATACAAGCCTGCTGATCAATAGAGATAAAACTTGGAATTGGTCCCGAGCGGGAGTGTGGAGGACCGTTCACCTACGGAAGGATTTGCGTTTCGAGGTGGGAATGCTCGAGCTTCCTATTGATAAAGCAAGCTATTCATTTTTAAGAGATAGCTATAGTTTGTGACCAATAGAAGATGAGACATGATAGTGTTCGAAGATTACTTTGTATAGATATACAAGATACGACTCAGATTATAGATTACACTCGGCCAGAGATGATTAATATGAAACATGTGCTTGGACTATTAGAGACCCATCGGGGCCCGAATCTCCAAGGAGATCAGATTTGGTGATTATGAAGCATAGTATTTGCATAATATTTCTGCGATTAGTTACGAGGCTATGCATGCATATTTGCCTTGCATTACTGTTTATATGGGCTTTTTGTTCTAGGGGAAACAAGCCCTTTCCTAAAACTTGCTTGGCTATCAAATATTTTCCCCAGTATAATCTTTCCATGAAAAGCCGGAGTCTTATTAGGTAGTAGTATTACGTAAATAGAAGAAATTCAACAGTGGACAAGTTCTCAATGTTCGAGGAACTGGATGCCGTTGCCTCAATTTAACCTTCGTCACACCGCAGCAGGTTCATGCATAAACTAACTGGTTGGTCTGCATGTTTGCCTCAGAAGACAGGCTCTGAATTATAATTAGTTACGAAGACGCATCTTTGATATGAACCCAATCTTCTTCTAGATCTATATCTTGAAGTTTTCGTTCAATGAGACTATTTAATGCATGAAACTAAAATATTTTCCTCGTTACCCCTCCAACGATTTTACCCCCGCTTTGGCGGTTCTAGGCAGTCGTGAATATATATACTCCATTCTATTTCGCCCAACGCCACTTTTGGATTGTTGGGTAGCACCACCCAATAATATGCCTTTCCGTAGGGGACCCGTAGAAAAGTATGTTGAGTAAAACATATATTAGGAGTGAAAATATACGTAATAATCGACACAGGCTATCTCTATATTAAAGAAAACCGCTCAGTTACTATCATAGAGTTAGAACCCCCAGCAAAGGATTTCTCCTAAACTCTACTCTAAAAACTAACTATCTGTAACATAAGCCCCTTTAAATTTATACCCAAGACAAAAGAACCGTGAACTAGCTTTCTTTCCTAGGTAACACAGTTGAGATGCAAGGGGTTTAGCTAAGTTACCCTTTATCTATATCGATATACAATGTACTATGATTAGGGTGGTGCGGCCCCAAACGCCACCAAGGGGGTAGGGGCCAAGTGCCGGGATCTAACTCCTTTAAGCTGCCCCAAGTGGATCTCAAGACTCCCTCCAGCGATTCGGAGAGTTTTGACTTGAGTCGTCACTTTGGCCCCAGCCGTTGAAATTAGACCTTCGGCTTATGTTTCCAGATTTGATATCCCCAGATATACGGGATATCGCGAGAGTTTGGGGAAGTGTCATGTGCCTGAGATGACCTTGATTCTCTTATTCGTCCGTCTCAGTCTCTTTTTCCCTTGGCAAGAGTTGGTTTGTATCAACGATGAGTGAGCATATACGCACTAAATGTGGCAATAAACACTAAATATTTACCACTACACCGTGACAAAGACCAAGGTACTTGCTTAGGGCCTTGCAGGGCCATACAGATAATCCCATCCAGGTGATCTAGAATGGTGGCAGCCGAGTGACAAGTGCATCCATACTTGGTAGAAAGCTCAACATCAATATATTTATAGAGAGATCATGTTGGTTAGGGAAGGAGAGCGATAGAAAACAATCCGGTCTGATATTATTCTTACTTAGAATCGGACGCTAACAAAATGAAAAAAGGGAGCCAGGTGACAAAGAAGATACAGTACTTTGTTTTAGAATAGAGCAGTTTTGCCAAACATCAACTAGTCTATTAATAGCTATTAATAGCCCTTTCTAGGATGATCATATGGGACCTATATCCAAGGCAATGAATGGTTACTGGGGCATTAAAGAAATAGGTGCCTCAGGTGACAAGGAAGATATATCCTTTACACTGTGAGTCGCCAGGCCGGGACATTGGGAATCTTTGCATGCTTACTGGGCGTAGAGCTGGGCAAGAAGGGGGAGAGGACCTCCCAAAAGACGCCTAAAAAGACACCCAAAAAGACATATTGCGTCGACATATTAGAAAAGGTACGACGATCCAAACCGACGGAGAAAGCTACACTAGACAAGTCCCGCAAAAAGTTCAAGTGGCATAATATTTGAAGTAAAAAAGAAAAAGTTCACGCGCAACGCTAAAAAAAAAAGCCATGCCTGGGGATACCACTGGAATATTCAATCCAAATTGGGGACCATGTGAAAGGTGAGATGCATCATCTACATAAAGCTATTTGACTAGCAACTTGTTCCAGACGGGAAAGAATGTTGAGTAATACCAATCAATTGCCCAAGACAGCCCGGCACTTGATCACCTCGCGAAGCTCGCCTCGCAATTTCGGTCTTCTCTGCAAGAAGGTTGCCAAGGCATTCTGAAGTTCCTGGTCATTGTCGAAATTGAGCTCAGCTTTACCAGGCACAGCGTAACTCAGCAGGTTCTCCACGTCTTGTAGATCGACGGCTTGCTTAGCACCCTGTCGCTGGTATTGCGACAGGATCTTCTCCCGGATGATCCATTCAGCACTAAACATCTTGACAGGATATCCGCTGACTTTCTGCGTCACTCTTGTAGCTGATCGGAAATCGTATTCCGGTCGGTTGGGCCAGGATTGGAAGTCGAATATCTCGAGCTCGATGAGGCGCGTCACTCCACTATCAAGTTCGAGTTTGTAACCCGGAATGATGTGGCCGAACTGACTGACCGGGCCAAATTCAGAGGGGAAAGAAGTCAAGAGTTTGTTGGTAAGGAGATCGGCTGTGATGGATCGATGGTCGACACGGATCACAAGATCGACATCTTCAGTGGCTCGCTGGGGATCAGGTGCCATAAGGCATACTGCACCGCCACCCATGATAGCATAGTCGATCTCCAACGAGTCTAGCCGTTGGGCAATGGTTGCGACGACCTGCTCTAACTGTGTTTGTCGGAGCACAGGCATATTGAAAGCTTTGTCTAATATTCCGGCTGTAGGTTTCAGAGCTTCAGAGTAGTAGAGGGAGGAAGGTGAAGCTTATTACCTTTGAAACTGAGAAATCAGAGCAGTTAATGCCGAAATGATACCAGTAAATGACGTGAGTACAGATCAGGAGGTTGTGTGAAGGAAAAAACGTAAGATTGAGAGATGAGAGGTAATGAAGAGGAAAAGGAAAAGAAAAGAGAGGAAAGAAGAGATGTGAGTTAATAAAGAGGAATAGGAAGAGAGAAGAAAGGAGAAAAGGAGAGACTGAAGACAACCAGAGGCATCCGCCTTCGGCATGAAGGCTGCCTCGGAACGTTTCTAGGCAAAACCAGTGACCTTAGAGCCTCACCTTGACCAGCTGATCATATAACTACATGCATGCTTAAAACATTGATATGAATTTAGATACTGATAGTGGGCCCGTGCGTTGGGCCGAGAACGTGGAAAAGACTTCTATAGCGCTCGGGCATATATTCCAGCCAATACTGTATTGCTTTAAGTGCGTTATCATTTTAGATCACTGCATTTTAAATGGGCACTAAACGGCCATTTGTAGCATTAAAAGTCAGGGGATGAGAAGAAAGATTTATTCATGACTCTCTGGCCGTCGCTATGTACTAGCTCTCCACATCTTTCTAATCAATCTCATTCTCTCTATTTTTACCTGCGGTGGTGGCGGCTACAGAGTGGTGAACATGGGCTCAACGCCCTGAACATTGATAACAAACAACTCACTTAGGTTTAATTGGTTACCGGTATAAAAGATCTTGGCTAGTGTTGAGGAATCTTATGAATTTATAGATTGTAAGCATGTTCAGAACCAAAATGAAATTGATCATCTGCTATAGGTTTAGCAGGTAATTGCAAATGATTATGTCGCTTATCGCCAACACAAACAGACTACAACATTTCAGAGGATTTAGTAGACTATACAGAGCACAGAGTACATGTACATGTAGATAATGGGCGACTTTAGATCCACTGGATAGCGGAGCTCACGGCACAAGTTGACTCATCCATTGTTGTACATCTGTGGATATTTCTAAGGTTCGTACACAGAGATGTACGCAGATCTCTCTCGAGGTCCTGATTTCCCGGCGTCTGTTAATATACCAGTGCATACTAAGCTTTCCGATTGCGCTCTCTAGAAAATAAACAAACCACAAAGTGGTCCCCCTCCCCCGGGGAACCGGGGACAAACTAATTCATGTACCTACCAGTATATTATTCAGGTTCAATTGCTACTGGTTCTTGATTCTATGTCTTTCTGAGATTGTGATTGGTCATTTCTTTCAAGGTTCATTAGGAGTACATCGATATTCATGAAACGGAAAGGAGCTGCTTTAGTATGCTTCACGCTTCGCCGCCGGGTATTGTACAGAGAAAGTCAAGGTTCAAAGACCTCACTCAGCCAACGGATTACCTCTCATATCCACAGGCATTTCTTTTCCAGACCCCAGTCGCTTCGAAACACGTCTGTCCCAGGGGCCGAACTTTTCCTCGTGTATTCGCCCATAGTTCACACTGAACCATTCAACTGCACGCTCATCTGAACAACTGTCCAGAATGTCATTGTCAATCTCAAGATATGACACCATCATAGCTACCCAGGTACTCAATGAATCTCCCCAAATCGAAGTGGGGCAATCTTCATCATCTTCATCCTTAAGAACACCCTTTGCAAAACTCTCAACCAACGTGTGTTCAAGTGGGTGAGAGATGTTGCCATATATGTCGTAATCCTTGGTAGAGAGAGAATTGGGCGTCGATTCGTCAGTCACACCTGGTGTCGGAAGATTTGCGAAGGAGTTTGGAACAACAATCAACTTGAGGCCTCCGGCTAGGTGGTGGTCGACTGGGTAGTCAAACAATGTTGTTGATTTATCAAGACGTTCATATTTTTTGTTGACCTTTTTCATAACCTTATCCGGATCTGGGAGCCTTTCCAACAACTCGGGGGCAGGCCTGCGGTCAGGGACTGCTACGCGAAACTCATTGTCCTGCAGTCTCTGGCATGCTGTCTGATAGTCATCATCGTGAACAGCGATCATAGCAGTCTGGAATCTTTCCATTAGCGGGTGCTGCAATACCAGATCAGCCATAACTCAACTTACGCCTAGTACAATAGGAACACCCAAGTAGTTCATCGCAAGCGGTCCCCATGGAAAGATAACTAGGGGCGCAAGTATCTCGCCAACCTCCAAGGTTATGGGGTCAGGCTGGGTTTCTCGTGGGCGTCTAAACATTTTGGTGGGGCCTGACAGGAGGGAATTGATTCGAAGTCGGCCTTTGTGAGATGCGAAAGACAAAGTGATGTAAAAGAAAGTGTGGGGCTCAATGATCTTCAAACACGTGATTCGGGTTGTTGCCGCGAAAGTGGGGCCTGGATGTGGGGACGGGGAGTTTTGTAGAACAAAAAGCAACAAAATAGAGCAATGCGACTGTAGAATATTTTGAAGAGATTGAGGAAATAAGGGAAGAACTAGGAGAAGTACTGATTTATAAATCTCTGCGCAAATAAAGTCATGTGACTCTAGGTTCAGGGATTCGAGCATGTACGATTGAGACATCGTTTAACAACTAACATTCCCGTCTTTTACTTAAAGCTATGGGACCTCGAAGCCACTTCCATACATGACGAACGCAGCGATCTCAGAGAATCTCAACTCCTTGATTGCTGAAATTCCATTAGCATTTGAGCATCTACACATTCCCAAAAAATGTTCCATAAATTCGTCATAGGAGTACAATTTATCCACCAAGTTTGGTAAATATGCCTTTCTAGGTCCAAGCCTTATGGAAGTCCGGCAACCATTGCAGCGAATTTCATTCTGAATGACACCGCTTTGAAGATCGAGAAAGGGTAATGCGGTAGTCACCATATAACGTAGTGGATATATTCCCTTCGACCGCGTCGCCGTCACTTTCATGATCTATACCCGAGGATAATGTACTAAGAAAGTCTGTGGGTATGATATGGATTCCCTTCGGATCTTTACCCCGGTGGGTTGAATATCTTCCATCCAATGACGTCACCGTCGGCACCAAGCTGGATAGGGAACTCAAGCATTTACGTCTTGGATAGACACTAACTCGTGAGATGGAGGAAAGGCGGTCCGGTCATTTGAACACAGTTAAAACAGCATCTCATAAATGAAGGGAGAAAGATAAAGCCGCCGAAAGAGCCACAGACCTGACAGTCCCTCGTGCAGAGCACTTTGAACAAGTCAGACATTGTGAACCAATATGCAATATTCGTGTTGAGTATAACCCAAATAGCTTCAATAGCATGAGTAATTGCCGGTTCGTAGTCACCGGTTTGTCTGACGATTTGTTGTGCACAGCGGTTCACTTGACGAAAGTTGAATGAAGATCGAATATCAAGTAGGGAGCATATCTCATAGGTAATCTCAAGAGGTGGGAGCTGAAGGTCTCCAAGAGTGGAGGTAGCGCTAATGGTTCGAAGCAGTGAGCTGCGTATCTCAGCATGACCAGAAGCATAGTCTTTGGCAACTATTACTCATGCCGATGGTATGAACCAATGCGCATGAAATCTGATTTGTGCACTTCCTCGGACTCGCGAGATATCGCTGGCTTACCTAGTTCCATAGCTGGACACAAGGTTAGGGTGTAGTTTATGGCACTAGAGCGTTGTGCAGTGTTGAAAGCTTAATCCGGACATTTGGATCATCGACCATTGTTGGAAAGGCGAGGGATTCTGGTGATCTATTGTTATAGTCAACCTTACATTTTGTTTCCATTCCGTCATCATTCCTCATAGACAGTTAAAGCAAGGATATTTCTCAACCCGGAATGTAAGAGACAGCTTCAGAAGAGGGGCTGATGGAAAAGGAAGTCAATGGCCGCATGCAGTTAGCTTCCTTAGATAGAGGAATAAAGAGAGAAGAGGAAGATCGAATGAGGTAGGGAGCAAGGGCCTATTTGCCTAAGGCAGGAACGGTCTCAAAAGATGTGCTGACCCAGTGCCAATCTAACCTTAGAATACCCAAGGTACTCTACTCTTAGACAGCCATGCAATTATCTTTTCACGTGCTACGATCAGACAGTGCTAGATATTGTTGGCAATGAATAAGGATTTGCTTGATGAGCGTATATATCTAGCTAGATACTAAAGAAGTGCATTCATGATAACGAAGGATCCATTAATAATCAAATATACTTCTAGGTGCCTCATCCACCGAGTAGTAAATATATCGATTCCCTGTGGGTAGGTAATAGGGCTGGGACTTGCATAAATCCTGCATACCACCAGTAAGAAGTACGCAGTAGACCCAAAACAATAGGCACATCAAAGGGACCTTTTAGTCACAATCGACAGAGTTGTTGTAGGTCTCGACGGTACACCTGTTACCATCCTTGGTGCACTATCAAAGATCGTGATATCTAGCACATATGCAAGTCAGTTGCCAATTTATATTGGAGATACGTACCCTCTTCATAGCAATCTTAGAAGGCCACTTGATGTATGTGGGCCTTTTGGCATCGTTTATGTATCTGCACTCATTCTTCGATCTAGTGCATTTCTGAAGTTTGATTTGTATTGATAAACTGCGAGTCACAGGGGAGTACCCAAGACAAAGAATATTCATAGTAAAAGTAGGGCGAGGGACTCAGCTCTGACATCGAGGCCATTTGCTTGGGACTCAATGGGGATGGCTACCGCGCCCATTGCAACGGGGTGCCAAAAGGGAACTGTGGTAAATTGCATGGTGGGAATGGTTATATATATCTTCCCCCAGGGGCCCAGGTGAACTGTACGAGGCCAATTTTCACTAGAAACGCCAAAATCATAGTTCATTCCACGTGTCGCACCTAGGGCTTGGCATTGACTCTAGACAGTCTCCGTAGGGCTTTGCCAAGGCCTTGCCGAGGCGTTAAAGGCTTGGCTGTAAGCCTTCAGGGGGGCAACGTGACATTCCCCTCTGCTTTTAGCCATTTGGACTTCTGCTATAATTCTACGGATTTCCACTATGAATCAAACAGATGACTTCAATAATTCAGAGAAGGATGGGAACGATTGCATTCCTTTCGAAAGTGTATGTCCAACTATAGTGGATAGATACACTCGACATGTTCCGAGTCCGAGACCAAGCCCCCACCCGAACCTCAAATAGGGGCCAAAATTACAAGAGAATAATTTTCAATCACAGCATGAGTAGAGCAGCTGCAAGTGCTGCGCCACCAAGCATGCCCTGTCCAGTAGCAATAGGCATAGCCGGGTTAGAGGTCGGGGTTGGGGTCGAAGACTGCGAGCCCGCACCAGAGCTAGTTGAAGAAGCCGTAGTACGGGTGACCTGGCTCGTGGTGGTGACCTCACTTGCTACAATAGCCGTGGGCGTAGCCTCAGCTTTGCTCGCCGCGGACGAGACCTGGGCTGAGTAGTCGGTGGCGGTGAAGCGGACCTCAGCGATGCAAGAATTCTCGAGTGTGGACCAATCAGTCTCACTCGTCGTCGTTGCGGTAGCATAGAGCTTTGCTGTGTCGGTAAGGGCTTCTTTGTAAGGTCTCATGTCGTAGACGCAGCAGTACGCGCCTTCTTCGTCGATGACCATGTTGCCAGAGCAGCATTTTGTGCCGTGGAAGGTGTTTGGGAGCCAACCTGCTGGGCATTCGGTTTCCGCGGCCGTCGACACGATCGATAGAGCTGTTGCCAGGAGAAGTGTCTTGAGGAATGTCATTTTGATGGTAGGAAATTGCCGTTGAAAACAGTGGATGCGTAGAGAGTTGTTGGGAACAAAGGAGTGTAGGCAGCTTGGGATGAAGGCTGCAATGATTCGTACGTCTTTGAATGACAGGCGTGTCGTCTCAAGCCTCAAGTACCCTAGCGTATAAATGACAAAAGGAAATGGTCTTATAGGTCGATCTGCCGAGCGCCCGGAAAATGGCCCCCAAAGAAGCTGATTCCACAAATCACGTTAACAAATAAACAGCCTCATAAAGTGGATAGGGTGGATCCTCGCGTATCTTGGCGTGGATGGCAATATGCCGATAAAGAAGTGAAAGGAGGCAGTGCTTCTCGGTTCGATGATGTTTCGACAGAGACGGAATTGGTTCACCCAGCTTGCTACAGCCGCCAACTGGACGGTCCAGTAATGTAGGGGTCGAGGGGCCAACTAATGAGAGTAGAAAACGCCGAAGGCAATTCAGCGCATCACGGAGATTCTTCCTGTTATTTTATGAATGTTAGATGACCTGTAAGGCAGCTGGGCTTCCAGACAGAGATAGCACGAGGTCAGCAAAATTGACAGTTTGCCCAGGTACAGAACAAATTATTTCTACATATTCTTCATCGAAATATTCGTTATTCAATATTTGACTTAAATTCCCTCCTTAGCAAGAACCCCTTAACGTCTCCGTACACTTATGTTTAACGCGATGCATGTATGTCTTGTCTTGTATCCCCATGCTATGTCCCAGCACATGTTTGGTTACACTTGCTCATTTGGCAAGCTCTAACCTCACGACTCTGGACTTTCCAATGTTCTCGTGAAGCAGGAAAGAATATAGATGCACAATTCAAGCATTATTTCATTGTTGACTCAAGACACCCTTACTCAAGCAAATAAAGTATCCAACACACCACAGCTCTGCCACGCTACAAACTCAGATTGTGCATTTCATTGCCACATAGGTCATTGTGGCCTACTGCAGACCAAGACAGCGTCTTTGAAGATCCCCGAGGAAAGATTCTTACTGGTGCCAAATTGTTAATCATCAATGAGGATCAGACAAATGGAAGTAGGGCTGGCAACTTACGATGATTATGTCTTCGGGGCGCATCTGCTACAGTACATCCTCGTCACTCTCGTATCTTCCTTCTGGACGACGTAGGCCGAGCATTCACGGACTACGGCACATCCATTGCATCGAACGAGGGCCATGATGTCAAGCTATTTCTGGAAATTGGATCACAGGTGCTGGTTTGATGTTTGAGAGGCAGGTATAATGTAAGATGTATGTGATGATAAAAGATAGGAATGGAATCAAGAGCGATGTGGGGAGTATATTTTTTAAATACTCACGAGGCTTAGTGTTCATCCGATATAACCTTCGCCCGGGCGAGGGTACTTTCTAGTAAGTAGTTAGGGGGCTCTATAGCCAAGGTTGTCATTGGCGCTCGGTGACGTCCCGTTATTTATCAAACAATAATATTTCTCGAGCAAAAAGATGATAGATATCTCAATGAATCACGCTAGTGGTTACAAACCGTACACATGACTCTGATGGCGGCTGGATTGGCATGATTTGATTGTACATACCCAGTGAAGCTCATCAGAATTCCGCACGGGCTCTCCAAAATGGGCTTACTGCGTTTACTGCTGTAAAGAGCGGGGTCTGCCCTGTGCCTTTTAGAAGGCATGTTGAAATAAAATATTAGGTTGGGCGGAACCAACGAGGTAATTGTAGTAATGACCTAGGATTGAAGTATGTGATGGTGAATACACTGATTTCTGGCCCTAGAATGCCTCAAATTTAGGATACAACTTATTGGAGGGGCCATGAAACGAAGGCACGGGCCGTCATGCCAAACAAAAACATTCGCTATGAGCCTATAACTCCGCGGAACTAGTGGCGTGCGATACTAAGGTAGCCCTCACCCATTTTTTTACCCGGGCGAAACCTACCCGGTTACCGGCCCGCCATAAGTCACACGTCGTTGAGGCTGTGCCTGGGTATTACATCAAGCGTGACTAGTATTAACGTGATAAATTATAGTATGAGCATTTGGTTAATTTTCATGAATGTCGCCTTTAAGTAAAATGCTTCGTTGCATCTTTTCCTAGTATGGATATAGTATTCACTGATAATCTCAAGTCTTCCGAAGGACCTGATAAATCATCCTCCAACCACCTGCATATGGACAGACTTTCCTTGGAGAAATTAGGTGTTAGGAGGAGTAGAACATATTGAGAGGGGAGAGGAGTCTGGTGTCAATAAACGAAGTTGATTGCAAGAGGAAGTTATGCGAGAACTCATACTAAAACCATGGAGGTTCAAAGTCTAACAACTTAGATCAGCAGCAGAACCCAACTGGAAGACCATCGTCTCTTGTCCCAATTCGAATATCTCACCTACCTCGCTCTGGCTTAACAGGATCACGACTCAACATCCACAAAAGGGTCTCTGAGACTGCCCAAAATACCAAGTTTACCCACGCCCCTCGTGGCATTGATTGCTTCGGTGCTTAAAGTCAACTTTCTACTAACACCTCACCCTAGGTACCACGAAAATGAGCGATGGTCCGAGATCTCCCGAGTTTGTCACCTTCCAATGGATTTGGGGTTTGGTTAAGCTCCACAAATGGACTTGTGCGGCTGAGCTTATTTTTCTTGACTCCCGTCTTCCTGCCGAGATAACGGCACGATGACAAGGATAATATCACGCCATACCATATAAGGTATTACCCAGATATTGAATGCAACATGATCTTTAGCCCCCGGGGGCCACGATGATCGAGTACCAATCCACCCCATTACAAATCTCTCGGTCTGATAAGAGCAAGGGACATTATATGGGCATATTTGAGGCAATGTTTCTCCTGGATTGAATAAATTGGAGTATTCATCGTCTATACACTCCATGACCCAAGAAATGTCTTTACTAATAGAGACAAACTCGCCGAATACGAACAAATATTTTGACCCATCATTGTCAAGTGATCCCAAGAATCGATCGCAGTCCCTTTGTGAAACACAATCTCAATCACAATCAGAATGCGGCTGCGACTGCACGGAGGAGAAACACGTATCAAATATGTCACCGCTGGAGTATGCTGAAGCAGGTCGACCAGGCCACAAGAGAAAGCCTCTGTCATTTTTTCTTGCATTCACGGCTCTGCTATTAATGGTCTTCCTGGTCTCCTTAGATGCTACCACATTGGCAGTTGCAATTCCGGTAATCCTATACACAGCCAATGATTCCAAACCACCATTCAGCTCACCTGCTTCATTTGTCTCAACAGGCCATCACCGATGAACTTTCAGGCACAACTTTGACCGCATTTTGGGCCAACATCTCCTTCACGGTAGCAGTTGTTGTCATCCAACCGATCTATACCAGTTTTTCTGATATTTTCGGTCGCAAGATTCCTCTCTACGCGGCTTTTACACTTTTTGGTGTTGGATCAATCGTCTTCGCTGTCGCACATAACATGGCTGTTCTCATTGTAGGACGTGTGCTACAAGGACTAGGCGGAGGTGGCCTCGACGTCCTGAGCGAGGTCATTGTCGCTGACATCACCACTCTGCAAGAGAGAGCTGTGTATATCGGTTTACTATCCCTTCCAATGGCTGCAGGATGCATTGCAGGACCCATTCTCGGGGCAGTCTTTAGTGAATATGTTACGTGGCGATGGATTGGCTGGATCAATCTACCTATCATTGGAGTTGCCCTCTTTTTATCAATCTTCTTTATGCGTCTGAAACCCATTGATCAGTCACTTCGCTCGCAACTTGGCCGTATAGACTGGCTTGGAATGCTACTCTTTACGGCCGGTTGTGTTCTCTTCGCCCTACCGCTGAGTTGGGCAGGGAATATGTATCCATGGGGCTCGTGGCGAACCATCGTCCCGCTGATCATTGGTGTTCTAATATTGGTGGGATTCGGATTTTATGAGTCTCATCAGACCGACGCTGTGTTTCCCTCCCGTATCTTCCGCTCAAGAACCGCCCAAATGTCTCTGCTTGGAAGCTTTATCCACGGGTTCGTGCTGTATACTCTTCTACAGTATCTTCCACTGTTTTTCCAAGCGGTTTACCTCGAATCTCCGCTCAGATCTTCCATCTCAATTCTACCATTCTGTTGTGTCGTCTTCGTGTTTACAGGAATTGCGGCCTTCGCCGTGGATCTCTTTCGGACATACCTATGGGAAATATGGGCCGAATGGATATTTCTCGCCGTTGGCTGTGGTATTTTTGCAGTGTGGGACCAATCTTCCTCACAAGCCGTGAGTTCCAGTGTCCAGGTGATTGCTGGGATTGGAATTGGCACAATATTCAGCGTTCCTCCAATACCGATGCAAGCCAGCGCTTCATCCGATGATCAAGGCCTCGCAATGGGAATTATGGTCGCATTCAGGCTGTTTGGTGCTCTCATTGGTCTTGCAGTTGGCGCCACTACATTCAGCAGTGTTTTCGCCAATAGGATAGCCGGTATCGCACTGCCTGCTTCTCTGGCATTGGTGAGAGACCCCAGTGAAGCAGTGAGCTTTATTCCTTATCTACGAACGGCCGACATCTCCCCTGGTCTGCGGGACCTCATTCGAGAGGCGTACAAGGACGCCATGCAGACAATCTGGTATGAGCTTGCAGCGTTTGGAGCAGTGGGGTTTCTGAGCTCCCTGTTTGTGGAAGAACTGACCATGGAGACGGAAGAGCTGGGTCGTCAACATTTTGAGCGCGAGTTAGAATAAACTCAGCTAGATCAAGCGCATTAGTGGATCTTGGTATCAAACCACACTAGATAATGGGTAATGATTCTAATGAACCACGTGCTATCCTGTTTACTACCAGTGCAATATTCTAGAGACACCCCTAATTACGTGAAACAATTAGGAGTGCAGCTGATTAGGCGTATTTGATATATGATAAATGCCCTATATAGTCTACCAGGTGTAGGTAACAATTTGATCCAACCCCTCCCTAGGAGATTGCGTCAAGCAGATAAATTACCTTAGATATCAGTCGAAATAAATAATTTGGTCAATTACATTTTAATCTTATCTGTATGCGAAACTGAGTACGGAGTAATTATTGGTGCAAATATATCGAGCGCGGGTAAAATCTGACTCGCAAGACTTCGGCTCATAGGGTGATACTTTCCCCTGAAAGTGGCCCCGAAAATAACTTGGCGTTGGCACTAATCACCGCCGATCTATGCCGATCTCCCCTATTTTGGCCTGTTACAACCCGGGCAAAACGCCCAATGTGGCGGGCGCAGGGTCCAAAAGTACCATCTCTGAAATTCAGCCTCCTACTATTTTCAGGGATATAGGTTAAACCCCCGCAAGATATTTGTCAAAATTCACGTGATCTCTGTTTGCTCCCATTTCTAGTCTCCACTTGTAGATAGTTTTCTTCAGGCATTTCATGATTCTTTCCAGACTACCTACTCTTCCATTGTAGCGTAGTGCCTCTCCATATTCAGAGCAAACGTCAGATCAAACCATGTCGGATAGGGATTTACTTGGCCGAAACATCGAGCTACTACCGATTCCCAGTCGTCTCAAGAGTGCATACCATCTCCTTCAAAGTGCGTCATCACGAGACTCAGATAGAAGGCCAAGAGAAAACTCATCAGATGATGAGGAAACACAAAGCAACATTAAACGAGGTCTATCGCGTTATGGCTCCCGATTTGAAGGCTGGAAGTTTACCATACTCTTGGCTTTCATAACCTCGTTGATTGTTCTGCTATTCAACGTGGGATTTCTGCTCTACACCGCTGCACATCCCCGCCGAGACGACATAAAGCTTTACCCTACTAAATATCAGAATGCATATTCCCGGGGCGAGCTCCATGGCGCAAACACTGTTTTGTACGAGGGCGATTGTGCGAAAGTGCATCGGTTAAGTACAGGTTTCCATTTGCTGGTGAACTTTCTGAGTACAGCTCTGCTGAGTGCCAGCAATTTCGGAATGGTATGAACATATTCTCTCCCAATATTTCACACTTTGGCAGTGAGATAACTTAGTGTCTTTCTATAGCAATGTCTATCTGCTCCGAAAAGGCATGATATAGACCGAGCACATCGAAGTGGCACATGGCTCGATATTGGAGTCCCTAGTATCCGCAACTTATTCCGGGTATCTGCAGTGCACTCGAGGTTGTGGCTATCCCTAGCGTTCTTATCGATTCCTTTTCACCTGATGTACGGGAGTGCTCGCCCAATGTATATCGTACAGCTATTGCAGTGGCTGACTGAGAAGCCATAGGTACAATTCCGCAATCTACGAAACAACCGCAGTCTTCGCTTACGATGTATTCGCCGGCCCTGGGTCTCTGGCGCACAAGAATGTGACAGACTTGTATATGTCAGGTTATGTGAACCATCGAGAAAAAGGGGATAGCCTTGACTCCTTCCAACATCTCTTGCACGCAGCAACGAACGGCACTCTTGACCGTCTACAAGGGACCGAATGCTTAGATGCATTTGCACAGATCTTCCAGAAAACATACAGCAGACTCTTAATTGTGACCGGTGATGTTGTAATAGCAAATGATTCATACGAGCACGTCTACACAAACCCCGTATTTAACCCGAACGAGTACGTGTCCAGCAGTACTGGTCCATACGATTGGCTATGTCTCGATTTTCCGCGGGATCCTGGTACACGGCCTGATTGCAACGTCAACAGTATCCCAAAAATTTCAACACAGATCGCCAAGAACAACTGGACTGTGACCCACTACAAAGTTGACTACTGCCTGGCTGAGAAGCAGCAGGAACATTGCAAGCTGCAATACTCTCTCCCAATAACGATTATTGTGATTACGTTTAATATATTCAAGGCTGGAATCCTGTTTTATATGTGGTTTAAGATACCCGATACTGATATTCCGATCTTGACTATCGGCGATGCCATTGCTTCCTTCCTACGTCAACCAGACCGGTACACGCAAGGTGGCTGTCTACTCTCCTATCGCAACGTAAGATACATAAATCGACTCGCACCAAAGGAATTCAAAAAGAGACCGCTAGAGCAGCCGAGACCATTTTCTAAGAGACGAAGACGATGGGGATCGGCTGTCTCCCTTCGGAGGTGGACATTTAGTATACTCCTGTGAGTGCTGCTGATTTACCCTTTCTATTCATTTATATCTCCATCTAACGCCCAAGTAGCTGGATCACCGCCAACACGATCTGTATTTCCCTCCTCTTATACGGACTCGCCAGGATTGGAAAAGGGGTCGACATCTGGAAGCAAGAACTAGGAAGCACCGTCACCGACACCCTAATAAAAGGCCCCAAGTGGCCAGACACATTGGAATTGAACGTCATCATTGCCAACGCCCCACAACTTATCTTTTCATTCCTCTACTTCGCTTTCAACAGTCTATTGACCACAATGGCTCTCGGAGCTGAATGGAGCGGATATGCCATCCACCGTAAAGGCCTCCGCGTCTCGAACAACGCTCAACTATCCCAGCGAAGCCAATACTTCCTTTCTATACCCTATCGCTACTCAATGCCTCTCTTAGCCGCCTCAGCCACCCTTCACTGGCTAATATCGCAAAGTTTGTTTACGGTCGGGATCGAAGCGTTCGATAGGAAAGTGCTTAGGGATGTTAACCAAGACATAACTACCTGCGGTTACTCGCCCATCGCGATAGTCAGTGCCGTCACGGTTGCAGCCTTCATGTTCTTTTGTCTCTTGGGGCTTAGTGCCAAACCGTTTAAGACGGGAATGCCGGTGGCGGGGAGTTGTAGCCTTGCAATTTCTGCCGCCTGTCATCCGGGCTTTGACCCATACGAAAATAGGGTCGTACACTCGGATTATGAGGATGATGATATGGCGCTTTTGCCTATTAAGTGGGGAGCGGTGCCGGTCAATGGCAGTATCGGTCATTGCAGCTTTACGTCAGAACATGTTGATATGCCTAAGACAGGGAAGATATACAGATGAAATTGAAATATAAATGTATTTGTGCCAGAAGTTATGGACTCACGATAGAGGGAAAGAGAGAGGCTTCAATTGGAGTATGTTGCCTTTTTTCTCGGGGGTTCATCATCAGGCATAGACTTGCGCTTTATGGTGGTAGGCCCCTCTAGGATGACACAGCTAGTGGGGGTCGCATTGAGGATTGCGATCTCTTGCCAACCTATTAGGGCCCGGGATAGGGTTCTCGAGGACCAGTTTTCTTCTAAGTCGAGAAAACAAAACCGACATTCCTAGTCGTCAGATAAACCTCCCCAGACTGACGAAACAAGGAAGTCCAGCCTAGGTAGGAGTCACCGGGTACTTTTCAATTATCTGTACGAATATTCAGCCGTATAAGCGGCCTTGTGATGTGTTGAGCATTCTCTGAGAGAGACGAAGAAGGAAGATGCTGTATCGATAATCTATGCAGAAATTAGGTATTTATACCATGTAAACAGCGGACCTGTGAATCCTGGATGCGGTTAGCTTTGCCTCTTTGGGTTTAGCGCCCTAATACGCCATCACGATATCTTCCTTTCGTACGCGGTAAAGTTATAGGATAAAGAGCTTTTAAGCTAGCGAAGTCCAATTCCATTAGAGGTCTATCTATTAGGACTAACTTCGAATCGCTAATTCGGAGGAAGGTTGTCGAACTAGGATTTAATAACGACTTTGCCTTTAAAAGTCATATACTAATCATTCTTTCCAGGTCTGGCGTGCAAAGCTCCCGCCCACTAGCGGGGAGATAATGGAGCCTCTTATCGCCATTGATAACCCCAGAAGAGCTTTAATAATGCTTCGGGAACCTCTCACTATCCTAACGTACCTGAATCATCCCGTTATCAATACCTATATCATGAATACTGTTAACCTAGTTCGTGAGGAATGGGGCCGAGTAGACGACGTATGGGAGGCTACCAGCCAGCCGATGGAATATTTGCAGGACTGGTGGGATGAATGGATCCGAGATAGGTTGAAGTACATGGCTGCCGAGGCCCGCAAGTGGGTGGAAGAATGGGCAAAGAAGATGTCCTAACACTGGGCGGTTCGAACGGGCGTTCACGCCAAGAAAAGTGATTGAGATTTTGGCCAGTCTGAGGAGGCTTGCCTCAGACGGGGAGGTCGATCACTCTAGGTTGGATTAGAGCAATCTTCCGAGGTCTACACATAGCGGGCTTTGGGGGCCCTCACGAGGATTTACCCCCAGTAGAATTCTGTATAGATAGTTCTCACTTTTTTTTCCTGAGAAATATCTCAAGCCGGAATCCCTCGTTTCCCATATACAGAGTAGAACAGTTACTTTTCCCTCAGGGATCAGTGCCCTGGACCAATGGGCGATTAGGAGAGTAAATTAGCTTGGCACTGAAAAAATGGCAAAAAAAGAAGTCTAAACTGAAAAATCAAGGAAGAAGTTGAGAACAGCCCTAGGAGTACTCCGTAACCGGTCTGTCTCTGAGCTATCCTCTTTGTGCCCCAGATATGACTCCCGGAGATTTGTTCCCAAATGTTTCCTGCACGAGCCCCTGCACTCCCCGGACTTTTCACTCCAGCCGCCAGTTGCCTTTGATAGCTCAGGTGTCTCAACCTCTCAGCCCCCTTTAGTGTCAAATCAAAGAAATGTCTCAATCCCAACATCATGGATAACCAACGCGAGCCACATGGCCATGGGGAAGCCTTACCCCAGCACCGCACCAATCTGCTCAGGTGTACCATGGGAGTTGGCTTTCACGGTACCCTGGTTGTCGACTGTCAGCTTCAAGTTTAGGTGAGCAGACTAGATATATCGAGTACAATTCTTCAAGGGGGTGTATCGGCTGAGCTTTTTATATACAAGAGCTCAGCGCATGACATAACCTGGTACTAGCCGGATGTATGGATATAGCTAGATAATGAGATATATTACCAAGTTAGCCCATGCGCCGAGCCTTTCCCCTGCAATAGAACCGTCTTGTCATGGATAACGTGGGCAAGGTTTTCGAACCCACAGCCAAGTCCGAGTTGACCTTCGACACCACCCCACCGCGTTTTGGCTAAAAGCCTTTTATGCGAAAAAGGACTTTATAAATACTCGATATCTAGAAAGGTTCGTTATGATAATACCTAACCGACGGCGGGTTCCTTCTTTGGGCGCGGCTATTTGACTTTTAGCCAATATTCCAGGTAATCTTTTCGATTGAAGGTCCTTTAGCAGACTTAACATCCCAACATTCTTACTAAACGACATCTGAAGATGAACTACCACATGTGCGGGGACAAAACTGATGAAGAGCTTGATCTGGATACCTCTGGGGATATATGTCTGCTTCAAAGATACCGATACGCTACCTACGTCAACAAAATATATCCATTAATATGCCGTGCCGACCTGAAGGAGCTATTGCAGATAGAAGTTGAACTTTGGGAAAAAGATTCAACGTGAGATAGCCTTGAAAGAGGAAATAGAGAAGCTTAAGAAGGAAGGTACCGACGCGACTACTGTTCGGGGCTTACAGGACAAATTGTGGAAAATTTCAACGGAATATTGGATCTTAGAACGAAGTTCGTGGGAAGTCGGATCAGAAGGCCGAAGAGATATACCTGTCCTCATTTCTCTATCTACCTAGCTTTGCTTGTAATGAGATTGCTTTGCTAATGCATCGCGGCCTTCGTGCCGCCTGACTTTAACCAAATGTTGGCCTGAATCCTGACCACCTTTAGATCCTAGGAAGGGAAGCAAATCCACTTTTGAAAAGTCGACCGAGGACGTGCAACTTGTAAGCTATGGCAGTCTCTTCGGATAGGATAATTTGACATTCAATGGAGATTTGGAAGGAAGGGGAAACGACCGCGACCATTCTTGATTGTTTCCGCTAAGCTCGCAGCCGGCCGACCAAGAATTTGGTCAACAGTGTCTGTATGTCGATCATAGCGCCCTGCAGCATGAAGCTTTGCCATAGTCTGAATGTGCCGATGTATATGTTCCGGAATCTGGCTCTTCTCGAGCGTTTCCTCTTCCCAGCTCTCAAATGGGATGTCCACGTAGTGAACGGAGCATCCTAAAGCAGCAGAATACTCCTCTGCAAGGCTGTACATATCAACGGAGCGGGGGCCAGTGATCTCCAAGGTTCGCCCGACATATGCAAGCGGTTCGAGTAACACTTTAACGGCTACTTCCGCCACATCGTTGGCTGATACTGGAGACACGCGGCTCTTCCCGAAAGGCAGACGAATTGCTCCAGACTTCTCAATAGACCGGGCCGCAAATGCCCAGAAAAGGGGATTTTCTTGAAAAGCTGTGGGTCGTAGATGAGTCGCGGGCACTCCTGACCAATTGAGCACCTGTTCACTCAGCCACTGCAGTCTGTGTTGAGGAGATTCAGTGACATGCATAAGGTCCATCTCGGAGACGGTCATCTGGGACATGTTGACCAGTAGTCTAACCCCAGAGCTGGCGCGCGCGGCCGCGGCCATTACCGTGGATGCCTCGAGGTACTGGGAAGACACACCCATGCAGAAAAAAACATATTCACACCCCTGGACAGCCGGAAATATCTCTTCCGATTTTGTGAGATCAGCGACCACGATTTCAGCTCCGAGTTTCTGAAGTCGCGCAACCCGTTCGTCATGACGACGAACCAGCGCACGAACGGGTATACCGGAGGATCTCAGTAGTTCGACAACACGGCCTGCCACTCCTCCAACTTGGCCTGCGGCACCAGTTACCAGCACAGGCGCTATTTGTTCTGGCATGATAGCAGGTCGTATAATGAATAGGCAATACACTACAGACCTGAAGATCTTCGGATTTTTTTTAAAAAAAAAAAAAAGCAAAAAGGGTAGAAACAGTGACTTCTCCAAATTCGACTCTAAGCTTATCAGGCGATGTTATATCTTAGTGCTGTTATTACTTGACCTCGGAAGAAAGTACATTTTATGTTTATTCATCCATCTGGCCGACCGATTATTCATCCTTCTCCGGGGAGGCCCTGGAGAGACAGAGAATAAAATATTAGATTACTTTCGATTTAACAGCCTCCCGAGGACCAGTCGCAAGACTATTGCATAAAATGGCGATCAGAAATAATTGAGGATGTTGACTAAACCGAATATTGTGACTAAAATGACTATATTGACGCCGCGTCATAGCAGTACCCCGTAGAAGACCTCAGCAGTACAACTCATGAGTTGATATTCCTTACTCAATACCACAAGTAAAATTATGTTACGATACATACATAGCAAATAAATAGTTGCTTTTACTAGATAACAATGTGAAGATACTTATTCAGAATGTGGATTAGCCAATTAATCCTAATTATTATTTAACACCAAAACTTCATTGCTAAGGTCAAAATGTCATTCTAATTTGACGGATGCTTGGCCCCTGTCAAAGATAGACATCCGGATTTTCTCTTGGTCAAGGCCGACCATCTTTTTCACGGTGCTGTCGAATATCTTTCTCCATCCTACAGCATTCAAGAACCAAATCAAAGCAGCATTGCTGCCTTTCCACAAATACTCACCTTGCCCGGATCTAGAGTTCTTCACCACTACTTCCTCGACAATTTGTTTGGCGAAGACTTCTGGTTTGAGACTGTTTTTAGAATGGTTTCGACTTCTTTCTTTTGCTCTCTCTTCAGCATCGATGTATATGCTTCCGGAGCCAAAGGAGATATTGTCAGCTGACATGAGGTTTGTGGCGACTTCCCCCATGAACACTGTAACTACTTTAATACCGAGTGGATCAAGCTCGATCCTGAGAGTGTCGCTGTAAGAAGCCACAGCTGCTTTGGAGGCGTTATACGCTGCCGAAAAAGCGAACGGAAGGCGTGACAGGATTGATGAGGTATTGATAATGACAGGTCGTGTTTGCGTATTCGAGGCGGAGGCTAGAAGAAGAGGAGTAAAGGCTGAAACCATATCAAACAGGCCAAAGACATTGGCATCAAACATGGCACGTGTGCGAGTAGGATCGGCTTCGATTGCTGGCGCTTCGTACACTGTTAAAGCAAAGAACCTGGTCAGAAGCTGAAAACTATCCAAGCGGCAGAATGCCAAAAAGACCACGGGGAATTCAACAAGTTGCACGTACTTGTGCCAGCATTGTTGAATAGAATATCCAATTTGCCGCCGGTCCGCTTCACAATCTCGTCCTTGAGTGCTGCAATGCTTGCCGCATTCGTCACGTCGAGTGCAAAGGTCTCAATTCCCTTGTCTTCTAAATTAGACAGGGATGCAGTGGATCGCGCGGTTGCGAAGACGCGCATGCCGTGGGCGGCAAATTCAAGAGCGAGAGCATTTCCCACTCCCCCGCGTGAGCACCTACTCGGAGTAATGTTTATTAGCTCGGTCAAAAAGAGGTGGTGAAGTGATTTCCATTCGGGGTTACGTACCCAGTGATAAGGATCGAGCGTTTTGGTGAAGTCATTCTGTCTAGGTATAAGGTCGAACAATAAGTGAAGCCGACGATGTTGAAGTCGAGTCTGTATATTAGATGTGGGCGTTTGCTGACCTATATATATACATATATGAAAAAAGCTACTCTCTACCGGGTGGGGGGGGGGGTTATCAATTTACTCTTGAGGCACTGCAACCGGTCAGAATGTGAGAGTATTGCCACCGACACTGACATTTGGGTCGGCCTCGATTAGTGATTCTTCCGCAAAATTGCCATACGTTATTTTATATTTGATTAGTCAACCATATGTTGGACCTCGGGATGAAGAAACAGTGACGGATTTCACTACCGAGTAGATGGAAATGCTTTTTTCTCAACCAAAACGGCATTAAATTGAATAATCAAAAAGCGAACCCTATTATTATATGCAGTCAATTCATGATCCTTGTTGTAATACAAATCTATGAAACGTTTAGGGTCCTAAAGTAGCCCGCCCAACAGCCTGAATTGAGGTGACCAGGAATTCTGGGGCTTCTGTTGCCAGCGTTAGATTTTTCATAACTACTTAGACAGCTGTTAAAACGTTCATGTTTCAGCCCGATCCTCCATCCCTTTCAATACCCGTTTAGGCTCTCCTTCATAACCAACTTTCTTCATCCATTCAGCCAGGCTTTTGATTCGTTGCGGGTGGATCTTGTCAAGCATTACAAAGTCGCGTCTGATCGCATGGCCTTCGCCCCAGTATCTCCACCAGGCCGAGAAGTTTGCACGCCAAGTCTGTACCGACTCATCACGAGGAGCGTCGGGTCCCAGGGCCCAGTTCGCCGGTGCACCAGGATATGGCTCGGCAACGGGCAGGTATTTTTCGAGCGGCACGTAAAGATGAACACCTATCTTGCCCGTCACCGAGGAGAAAGTCTTTGCGATCTCGGCGAACGAGACCTCTTCTGTTCCCACCACCAGGTCAACACCGGCTGACTCTTTGATGTTGTCAAACAGCCAGAGACTATAATAACCGACGTCGTCGAGCGCGGTCAGTGGAATTTTGCCATCCTCTGTTTCTTCAGTTGGTCAAATATTGAACAAGCAACTATCAAACAAGGTGACCCCACTTACTTGCTGGGTTGGCCCACAAGAAGCTCCCATCTTCTTGTTTCTGGGGCACAAACATGGCGTCAAAGAGCATGTCCATATAAGGACCAGTTGTTAGTAGGCTACTCTTCATGCGCCCTTCCTGGCCTTGGGCAAGAATAAACTGTCCGATTCTACCTTTGCCATCCATATGCCCACAGTGGTAATCCTCGTTCCACCCAGCATTCTTAAGCGCATATTCAATGTTGGCCCAGACGTAGTGCTGGACTCCTTCCGCCTGCGCAATCTCATAGGCACGGATACCGTAGAAAAGCTCATTCTTCTCGCCGAGCGTGAATCCGTCAGTATTGACCCATGCCCCATAGACACCCCGAAAGGCGGTGCGTAAGTCAGACTGATTGTCTTGAGTACCCTGGATCAGTCGAACATTAGGTAGTTGGAGAAGTGCCTGAGCACGAGCAGAGCTTTGATTGCGCGTTAATACACGCACGCTATATCTCCTGCTTTTCGCGAGCGCTATTATAATACAGCTAAGTTAATCTTCGTGCTGACATAAAACCAGGGGTCATAGTATATTACGTACCGTGGACAACAGGAATACCTTGGGCACCTGTCCCGCCGATAACCAAGATTTCTTTAAGGTTGGACATTCTAAGAGTGTTTGTTCTAGCGGATGATTCGGGGCAGTATCCGTGCAGATTAAAGGCATACTATATAGTCAGATGCGTTCGTATCCAACGCCACGCCATGACAAAGCACTTATTACTTAGGAGAAATGATGAATAAACCGTAAACCGTCACGACATCTGCTTGTTTACTCTATCAGACTTCTCTTTGTTCGGGAAAAATTTCACGCTTCGTGTGCCTTAGCCGGTCCTTGCAAATCTCACAAAAGTTACAGACCTCCGCAAAGAAGGGACAGAGCAGATGAGCTATGTTTTGGGCTTCGGCGCCGCTAGACTCTGAGCGGCGAATTTTTGATGACTCAACACTATGTCGGAGAGAAGCAGTAGTGACGTTGGGAGAAGGACTTTCAATTGTTGCATACTAAGTCATGGTACGAAGACAGCAAACTATCCGTATACCGCTAGAGAGTCTTTTCTGAAATAGAGGGGTATATTTTCGAGTCAGCAAGAAAGGTTCTGGCCTGATAAGCGTGCCATAATAGCTCTATGGTGAATCTTTAGGCTGGCAGAATATTATCTAATAAGCAGTGTGAGGCCACTAGTAAATAAACTCAAGAGTGGGTCATGACGAAAGGTTAATTTCTTTTGGATTAAACTTCCCAGAAGCTCTCAAATCGCAACCTTCGAATATATTTGGTCTCGGTCATGATTTACCATTTTTAATCTCGAATTGCAGACTAAACCAGATTACCAAGTTGGCCGATAGTTCGAGAAGATGATCAAGTATATTATGCCGTGTCTTCTACAATTCAGTCGGTCAAACGGACATGTGGAACCATCAGACCCAACGCAAAAGGCAAGCGAACCGCCATGGCAGCCTTGGATAAGATCACACTCTGATCAAAAAGCAAAAACATACAACAGTGAGGATTCGCTGGTGGTCACCCACCCAACTACTAACTCACCGGCGTGTGGCTTAAGTACGGCTGAGCGGACGGGAAGCCCTGTTTTCCACACCCTATGGTCGTATGTATCAGTTTTTGTGTGGGAGATAATCATATCGTGTAAAGTGAAGGTGCGAGCAGGCGCGAGAAGGGTGAGTGCACTCTATACAGGGTGAAAATCAAGTTGAGACTCGTCTAGTTCACGCGACCACTACACTAAGCCCCAGAATGCCATCAGATCGCACCGTTCCCTTTGAAACGCTCAGCATCTTGTCATGTACACGTAGCAACAGCTAGAAGTATCTTCCAATCAAGTTTCTTCATGATATCTTCAAACTTATGGTCTACCGATGTTATCGGGGATTTGAGCTTTGAGGATGCTTGGATCATTTTGTTTCGGGCCAAGGGTTTTGCTGTGTTGAGATGCAGGATTGGACTAGCTAGATGCGGCAGGGGACCATTGGATTGAACGATATTATATAACTCTGGACCACTGTATGAAGTATTCATACAGCTAATTATGGTGATACGATACATTTACTGAGGGCTTCGCGGGGCCCACGATTGTCAATAATGATAAAGGACCACCGCTACCCTAGATGGCACGCGCATGAATCCTGAATGTGACCCAACTGATGCAACATACATAGTAATATCACAATCTGAAACAATCAAGTAGACAAACATATTCTGTACCCTAACCCCCGCCCCATTTCCATAGCTTGGGGACGTTAGTCCACCAACTTCCACTTTTAATTTCCGTCTGGGAAGCAGTACTAGAGCGAAATCTGTCAGATTCAATCGATTCAAGTACTTGAATAGAATCAAGTGGCATGCCGCAGGAAACAAGTTCGGATTCAGTAAAATTTTGTAAAAGCTTGGATCCTATAGGTTGTTCTCCTCGCTGTTTTGACCTCGGGTCGTATTCAACCAGAGCAGCCGTATAGTCAAAATAGGGATCTGCGCCATTTCTCAAGAATGTTTGTATCGTTCGGAGAATCCGAAGCTTTGTCCTTCGAGCCATTTTCTCAGGTAAATTGTTGACGAAATGTCCCCAAACGGTGCAGCCCTTGTGACAAATATTGACATCGACACGAGCAGCCGTAATATCAACCAGGTCACAAAGCATCGCTTGGAACTCCTCAGAGTCACCGCGATACTCCCAATTACTCCCATCCATTATCAGGAATTCAACCCAGGCAGCCTTTGGCCCGCGCTCACTGGAGATGGCAGCACCGTAGTCCAAGAGCTGTTTTATGACACTCAACAGTACTTTACGACTGTTAATGCCCGTGTTGGCCCATGACCTCGCAAGGAAATTGATAAAGCATAGCCATGTAGTTGTGTTCTGACCATAGCTCCAGTTCGGAGATCCTCCTTTATCTAGGATTAGCTGTACCATCCTTGGATTTGGGACTTCGAAACCGCTCTCTGTGGGCTTTTGCATCGTGCGTGGAAATAGTGCACACAGCAACAATGAATTGATCTGCTCAAGATTTTCCGATTCGGGGCCTTCGTCAAGCCTCTCTCGCACATAAATCAAAAGGTCCTTCTTAACACATATTTCCAAGTAGATCTCCTCGAATCTTTTTGCCCACCCTGATACAGTGTCAGGTGTCCGGAAATCTAAGAAGATTTTGAGAAATTTGGGCCCAATGTTCTTGTAAAATATTGCACCGACACGCTCCAATTCGTCGAGAAGGTCTGTCTGGGACCTTGGGTTATGTTCCCGAATCTCAGATTCGCGGGCAAAATGCATGGCGTTATCGAACAGAGTCACGAAAAGTAGATCAAAATCCGAAGATCTCTCTTTAACAAGGGCCGATTTCAATTGCTGTACGAACGACGCGCATAGCCATGTTGCCGAATCAAAGGTGGGCGGCAGACGACTGGAAAATATTTCGCGCATTTCCGCAGCATTGAGAAAATCTCGAACTGTACGATGCAAGAAATCAACCCGGTAAAGCTGGAAGTCTTTTGGTGCCGCAAAAGTCTCATTTGAACCAGAACTACAGATGACTCGAGTATTCGTGTTGGGGAATTCCTTTTCGGTAATAATCTCGAGGAGATCTTGGCATCGGGCATTGAGCCGCTTAGCCATTGTTTGATGTCGTGATTTCACTTCACTAAGTGTTATTTGTTTGATTGGTGAAGCAAGAGCAAGTTGAACAGGTTCTTCTTCGTCCAGAAAAGAGAAAGTCAGTAAAGTCAAGGCCCGTTTTGATTGTAGGGCAATATCAAAGCATTTCGCTGCTTCAAATTTGTACAAAGGATCGATGTTTTCGAGCATATGCCCAAAGTACATTTCTAGGTCTGTTGGGATTGCTTGAAGCCTTCTGTGCAGTTCAGGCAGCCGATCATCATTTTCCAGTCCACGTTGCAATGAACGAACAACGAGATAAACCCACAAAAACACGCCATTGGCTTTTTTCACAACTTCATGAACAAGATTGATCCCTTCAAGGGTCTTTTCACGGATGCATTTGCGGTATAGGTTGTGTTCTTCTAGCTTGGAACGCACATAAAGCGAGATATCGTTTCTGGTGAGATCTTCTAAGCGAAGAGAAGAGCACTTGCCGTCTCCAAAGGCAACTTGGAATGCATTCCATGGCCGACTTGAGACCATAATCTTAACATTCTCGTTGCAATGAACTAGTTTGCATAGCAAGTTCACAAGCTCAACATGATCCCCTTGGTATTCATCAAGTCCGTCAATGAAAAAGCAAAACTTAGATGAGGAGATTTTTTGATTTGCTAATCGATGAAAAGCGTTGATCAACTGCGAGCGCGACCACATGTTTGTCATTTTGCTGTTGGTGGAGCCTTCACTCTCCTCGTGTGATTCGGATGGAAAGACTTGCTCGATGAGTGCCGGATGTTTTTGAAGAATCTCATGAAGAAGTGACCGAATAAGGCCTTCCTGCGACTTTTGAAGAGTAGTTCCGGAATTCCAAAAGAAGAAACTAGCCGTCATCAATTGATCACGTCCCGCCCATAGACGAAGAGCACGATGAGTCAGGCTGTGGTTACAGAGGAATTTCATCAAGGTAGATTTCCCCGATCCAGCCTTGCCCGAAACCCAAAATATACCATCTCCGCTCTTTTGCCACTCATACACAGAGGATTGGGATAACTTGTCTGCTGAAAGCTGCGTATCAAACGCCCATTCAAATGTTTGCGTGTGCGACTCTCGAATTTGCGAGTGTCTCTCCTGAATGGCCCGATAAGAAAGACTGTCCAACAATTTGAGCTGCCTTGCAAGATTCTCACTGGCTTTTAACCACTCCTCCAGATTCGCTATGGTTTCGTCAAATCCATCGGTGTTAGATGTGCGAAATCGAATCCAAGATTTGAGACCTTCATTTTCAGCATTATAATCTCGCATGCTGTTCAATGCCTGACTAATGCTTTTCAGCTGTTTCTGTACACCCTCATTTGTTTCCCTGATGGCTGGAGCTTGAGAAGTAAATATTGTCGACTGTTCCGAGTTTAACCCGTAGAACTGTTGCATAGACTTCCATATCGTCGAGTTTTGATCACAGAAAATCATGGTTAAGCAAGAGTTCAACTGCTGCCCGTAGGTATCCAGTCTTTTCGCGATCCGATCAATCTCTCCCGACTTTCTCATCCGTCGTAAGGCAAATCGAAATGCCTCCCATTTTTTGTTTGTAGTGTGGTCGTCTGTTGTACGCAATAAAGGAATCGCAGCACTTGCCTCAGATGTCCTCAGAGGGCGGAGAATGTCGTCTAGCTTTTTTGCTTGTTCCTGGCAACCTTGGGAAATCTCTAACAAGAGCTTTTCACCACGGGAAGCTCCCGGGCTGTCAGAGAGACTGGGTAGAAAGCGAGCACTTCCAGCCAACTCCTCAAGCTGCCGGGCAATCGACTGGAGCTCAATGTCGTCCGCCAAAGCCCCTGTTGTTGACTTGTAGAATTCACGGCTCTTCGAGAATAATTTGCATCCGGCATCGACAAATTGAATAACGATGCCCACTACTGCAAGGCTTGTACTTGGATCTAGCACCATGTTTTTAGGATCCCAGATTGTAATTTTGTATTGATATATTGATATATTATTCGAAATGAGACATTATTCGGTATGACAGAAAAGTTCGATCGGGGTCATGGATTTATTTTATTTCTGGTTTAAATGAGGCTGAGCCAAGGTTGGGGCTGAGCCTTTGGGCTGTGCTGCATAAGCCGTGTCCTGTACCTGGGCACGCAAATTACCCGATCCACGTAGAATGAACGGTATAAAGGTAGGATATAGCAAAAAATCATGCGAAAAAAAACAAAAACATACAACAGTGAGGATTCGCTGGTGGTCACCCACCCAACTACTAACTCACCGGCGTGTGGCTTAAGTACGGCTGAGCGGACGGGAAGCCCTGTTTTCCACACCCTATGGTCGTATGTGCTAAGTTGTATGTGAGAGGAAATAATGTAGTGTAAAGCACATGGTTTGGAAAAGAGGAGGTACATGTTGGGTAGGGATAAATAACGAGACTCATCGCTCATTGTATAGTTTAGTTTGAAGGGCAAACGTGGACTAAGTCCTGATAAATGCTATGCTAGCAGGTAGGATGGCGGAATGATTGGCGTGGTAGAAATAGTAGTTGTTTGGTGAGCTACATCGGCATAATATATATCGGTGACTTGAGTATCAAAAGCCACAGTTCATTGAGATAAGAGTTGAGAGAGAAATCGATTTCTAGGAAAGTCAGATAGATAAAGCCCATAAATAAGGCCACCGGCTTGATATTAGAGTTGTTGGATGCCTAGGGCATCACCATGTGACAGAACCTCAATGTTGGATAACTCTCTCCTCTTTCCTCTCTCTCTTTCCTCCTCCTCGTGCCACGCAACATATACAAAGATTTCTCTATTGATTCTCTATCTTTATCCCATTTCGCATCTTGATCAAGAGTGTCTAGCAGCCGAAATCTGTTTCAAGTATCTAGAAAAAGACCGCTCATGTGCCTTACTGTTATCTTCCTCATCGCTCACCCCCCGGCTGCGCAACGCTTACTCCCACACAATATAATTTCCTCCCACACAAAAACTGATACATACGACCATAGGGTGTGGAAAACAGGGCTTCCCGTCCGCTCAGCCGTACTTAAGCCACACGCCGGTGAGTTAGTAGTTGGGTGGGTGACCACCAGCGAATCCTCACTGTTGTATGTTTTTATCTTTTTTGGTCAGAGTGAGTGAATCCTTGGCCTCGCGGTATGGTTCGCATGCTTGCGTGGTAGGTAGGATACATACCCACATAGGTTTGACCCCTAGATTCGAAGCCATTCACAAGCATTCGAACCCAGCAAATCTTCTGTCTCGTTGGGAGGAAACCGACATTGCTATACTGAGATTCATATCTCAGGGGTTGTTGCTCTCACTATATATCTGATCCTTCTTCTTCTGAAGCGTCGCAGTCTGAAACTCCGTAATGGAGGCGGCCTGCACTTTGATCCTGTATTAAAATTGCTTGTAGTTTGTGCAGTGTCTTCGTCACAAGACCTCCTATTCAACATTGTGTCAAGGGGGACAACTTTATTGGAAAAAGGATAGTGACAAGAGCAAGAGTAGTAGCACTGGTATTTAAGTCAGGACGGTACTCATATATACGGTTATCCTTAAATATTGGCTGAAGGATGACGGTTGAAGGCCATGTCAAATCAGCTCTCATTCAGGCACGGTGTGATTGGGTGTTGTATTAAAAGGCCACGTACTACGGAGAAGTACCACGTAGGTTCAATGTTGTACTTTGTCAACATTTTCTCCACATTTACTTCTCCGTATGGAATATGGAATAACTACGAGTTGTCGGACTCTCAAAACAACATCCCTCAACTGGTCGCGAAAACAGCCAGCTCACCCCACATACCTGAATAAGCTAATTATTTGATCGATCTTTTGCTGGTTACCGGCTTTGGTGCTTCGCGATCACAAGTCTCATCAACTACAAGAAAATCACCAAATTTATATTCCAAATAACCTTCTACAGCTGCGACTTAAAATAGTATTCCCATCACTCCAAAATGGACGCCCCCACTTTGATGATGTACGGGGCCTACATTATCCTCGCAGCAATATTCCTCCGACTCTTCACAAACAGATATAAACGAGGACTTGAAAATATCCCCGGTCCAACTATCGCCAAGTACTCCAGCCTTTGGAAGCTGCACAATGTCTGGAAAGGAAACCACCACCAGACAGCCCTTGACCTACACCGCAAGCACGGCTCGCTGGTTCGAATTGGCCCAAACCACATCTCGGTCGGCGATCCCAGCGCCATCCCTCTGATTTACGGCTTAAACAAAGGATTTATGAAGGTGTGAATGCTATTATTCACACAGATATAAAATATAACTCACTTACGAAAAATAAAAGACAGAATTTTTCCCAATCCTGTCAATATCGTGGAAAAAAAAGCCCCAAATGAACCTCTTCTCCACAAGAGACGAAACCTATCACCGACAACAAAAGCGCAACGTTGCAGAGGCCTACAGCGTCTCCTCACTCCTTGAACTTGAATCCTCAGTCGACTCCTGCACAGATATCCTCACCTCCCAGCTCTCAAAATTCGCTACAGAAGGCACACCCATCGATTTAGGTATCTGGCTCCAGTACTACGCCTTCGACGTCATCGGCGAAATAACCTTCGCCAAGAAACTGGGGTTCCTGGAGCAAGGCCGCGACGTCGACGGCATGATGCAGGCTATCAAAGGTATGCTCGTATATGCCAGTCTATGCGGACAGACTCCAAAAATGCACAAGGTCCTCCTTGGGAATCCGCTTTTGACACTTTTTATTCCCAGCATGGAGTCCTGGAACCAGGTACTGCAGTTCACGCTTAAGGCTGTGAATTCTGTTGCGTCGCTGAAAAGAGATGGGGATAAGATTAATGAGTACCAGGGTGAGGGCGAGGGTGGGAAAGACATGATGTCCCGTTGGATGGCGATTCACCGTGCCGATCCCGAGAAATTATCGGTGCGGGATATTATTGTCCATCTTTCTGCGAATGTTTTCGTTGGCGCTGCTACCACGTCTATTGCATTACGTGCGATTCTGTACTACCTTATGCGGAACCCGCGGTGTATGGAAAAAGTTCGGGATGAGATTGATACTGCTGTTCTGGCAGGGAGGATTGGGAATCCGATCTCGTACCATGAATCCCTGGCTCATTTACCCTATATGACGGCTGTCATTAAAGAAGCGTTGAGACTCCATCCTTCCACGGGGTTGATTATTGAGCGGGAGGTTCCTCAACAGGGGGCTACAATTTGTGGGGAGTATATTCCAGGGGGGACTACCGTGGGTATCAATGCTTGGGTTGTGAATCGGAATGCGCGGGTATTCCATGATCCTCATGCATTTATCCCTGAGAGGTGGCTGGATAGTACGCCTGAGAAATTGAAGGAGATGGATCAGACTATTTTTACTTTCGGGTACGGGCCGAGGGCTTGTATAGGGAAGAATGTCTCTTTTATTGAGATGCACAAGATAGTCCCGCAACTGTTGCGGGAATTTGACATTCGTTTGAATAGTTCTAGGGAGTGGAACGTGAGAAATATTTGGTTTGTGCAGCAAGAGGGTATGATATGTGATCTTGTGAAGAGGTGAAATGGAGTTTTATACGTTCAAGATAGGCACCGAGTCTTTTCGTTGAATGAAGGTTGACAAGAATAGTCGGCCATATAAGCGGCCTTGTGAAGTCCTTTCAGTAGTCTTTTCGGTAGTCTTCTCAGATAGCGTTCTATTCAGATAGCTCGATGGCGTAAAAAAGGTGGGGGAAGACTATGTGACATGAAACGGTTCGAAAGTTGTTTGGATTCCACGCAGATTCTTTAACATCCACGGCTTGCCATCACCAGCCTCAACTCCACGTTCCATTAGCAGGTCCGAAATACCCAGCAGCAGGCATCGACTTGTACGGCACACCCTGAGCATCGGCAGTATTCAAATACACGTTATTTCCCCACCAGTCAGGGAAGGTGGCACCAGGGTATGAGATGCAAAAGAAAATAACAATGCCACTAAGGGCAAGACCCGTATCAAGTGCAGCCGCCAAGATATAATTGTATTTGGTCCACCAAGCAAAGAACCGACGTTTAATGAAGTGATTGAACGCAAAGTTGACCAGCGCCCAGCTGGAATAGTTGATTCCAGTGGCTAAAAGACCTCTGGTTAGCTATCAAAAAAAGGGAGGGCACTAGTGAGTTATAGGACATACCAGGTGGGACATTGTAGGTTCCAACAAATATGAGTGGCCAGTTGACGTACTTCCAAAACTGGCGTCTAGTATAGCGATAGAGTAGGAAGGTCACAAGTGGAGCTATAGCACCGATCCAGAAGAAATGCAGCAGAGGGGAATAGATCTTGCCTACGGAGTAGAGTCGACGAGGCCCAACAAGACCCCAAATAACAGACGAAGAATAGACAGTCCGGCCATTTGGACATGAAAACCCATCGGCCTGGTCAGACTCGCAAATTCCCGAGATATTACCAAGCATCCAGAGTGTGACACCCGCCTGAGTAAGTGCGCCTAGGATAGTGGCAACGAACTGCGCGACGAAGCAGGTGCGTGGTGGCACTTTCAGATAGTGAGCCAATTTCATATCCATAGCAAAGTAAACTCCCTGCCCGACGACATCTGTGGAAATGATCTTGAAAATCATATTCGCGAGTGGCTTTCCTTCAAACATATATCCACCAATGAACTCAGCCAGAACATTCAGCTGATTTGCATCCACGTTCGTAATGCCCTGTACGATACCGCAGGGAACCATGTATACAGCTGGGATGATCAAGGCTAGAAAGACCCCATAAACTGGCAATTTAGTCTCATAGACTTCGACTAGCGCAATAGCCATTGCCATGATAACCACGATAATGCTAGCGTACCAGTACCAGGGCGTCCGGCGGTATGAGGCACGGATGAGCCGAGCGTGAATATCGAGTTTATTGCGGCCCTTGAGGGCATCCCATAAGTCGCGACTGTGCCAAATGGCGATATGCGAGAGTACTGAGGTTATGGCAGCAAATGAAAGACCGTACACGAAGGCGAAGGTGGCGCTCAGATATGGAGGCGAGTAGTTTCGGTAAGCTGTCGTATCTAGAGAATTATCGATAGAAATGACTCGAGTCGTATTGTAGATGGCGCCCGTATTATCATAAACATCAGCTGTCATGAGTGGGAGATAAGCAGTGAACCAGGTATTGGTGTAGTAGAGGGCGGGTGTGACAATCCAGTAGAAGAATGCGAAGCCGGCGAAGACATTCAACGCAGCCCATGATGGCGATAAGAGTGGGTTGGTGTTGTAGGCGATCTGGCTCCAGTCGAAGGTGATTGGACTCAGACCGAGACCTGTTTGCATGCCGAAGAGATGGTTGACGATTACGTTCTTTGGTGCGATCCAGCAGACCCAAGTAAAATAGGATAGGGCTGTGAATATAAGACCAGGGAAGAAGTACCAAAGGAAGGCACCAGTCATCACGTACATGAAGAATCGGAGACGGGTTATGCGCCATCCGTCCGCGATGGTGTTCGCTCTCGAATGCAATGTTTCTAGCATGGCGCAGTTGGATAATACACCCGGCCAGAGGATGCGAGCCGGCTCAACGAGCCATGGAACTGCGAGACCTGCGACTCCAAAGCCAAGAAGTTGTGCAACGAGAACGATGAGAACGTAGAAGCCGGGTTTAAGATTGAAATCATAGAAGCTTTTGCTAGCAGCCTGGATAATGTTCGTCGCGTCCGCTGAAGCATATCCAAAAGACACATTGCTCATAATAACAATGAGAGCATGCTCTTTGATATTGAATGACCTGTCCGGGTTGATAACAAATGTGCCCAAAGGCCCAAGCCGGATGGATGCGAGAGGGAGGATCTTCGCCAGAAACACACCGATCGGATAGGCCAGTAGCTCTGCTACTAAGGCCACAATATGAACCGATGGATAGCGCAGCGAAAAGAACTGATTGATACCGGATCCGAGCATAGTGAAAACAATTCCTAGGAGCCACATCCGTACCGTGTTGACCGGCATACTGGGGTCATCCGTCTCGGGTACGACAGCCCTAACTGCCGTAAATGTTAGTCTGTAAACAAATGTACCAACAGAAAGCTAGGCACACACCTTCGGGAAATGGAGAACGGTGCGATTCATAGCTGAACTCTTCATTTGTATTCTCGTCGTCTTTCGCGAGCTTGATTTGGTCCAAGCGGCCTTCGGCTACCTCTTCATCCACTCCGACGAGCGTTGGTTTCATAGTATCGGTACCTGATTCTTTCGAAGACATGGTGTAAATAAATCTTTGGGCAGCCTCACTCAGCGCATTGCTTCCTAGAGGGAGAGAAAAATAAAGTGGTTAGCCACGCAAGAGATATCCTTTTTTTCATAGCGGATTTAATTGGCTATAGCCGGTACGGATATAGTCCGACGCGGAAGGGAAACAGAGATAAGACATTCGGACAGTTGTATTTTCAGTGGAGAAAGTGGGTTTAGTTGACCTTAGCTTAAGATAGTGGACTGGCCCCCAGTTTATGTCCAGATAGGTCTACCCACTCTTGATTCGGGAAGAAGAATGGGCTATAAGTCATTGCTTGTCATTGCTTATCATTGCTTGTCAAAAGGTATACAGATGTGCCAAGAACAACATTTCTCCGATTTAGTTGGATTTTTGAATCTCATTATCCTATGAAAGCCACAAGTATCTAGCTTAGCCTGGTCTGCTTCCGACCTCCTTACAAGTTGCGGGCGAAAAAATGATAAGGCTTAGGTCGCCCCAGTAGAATCCTCGATCTTTCCATCTGTTTGACGCACAGACTGTATCATTAGGTGATTCAAGCGATAAAGTCACCCCATCACTATGTATAGATAAGAAGTGTTTCAAAGCGATCGGCCACACGTAATGATATACCACCACGGCCGGGCCGCGCTCCCTAAACGGTCTTCGTACCGGAAAATTCTCTCCTCAATTCTAGACCTCGCTATAGGTCGGGTTCGTGTCCAACTTCAAAACCTATAGCCCTGGAGTCCGAGCATTGTACTCGAAGATGCATAGTCTTGGGGGGGGGGGGTTCATCGAATCGCGCCTTTTCATGGGAGAAATGAAGAAAGAATCACAAACAACTTGAAGCATCTGCTAGGCCCGATTAGTCAGAAGTCTGCTCTCTCCTGGACTCCCCCACCGCTCTCCAATACAATCTGTCTACCGCCCAAGTCTCTTCTCGCTTCACATCAGCTCAAGTCTAATATCATCAGACATGCTCATGGAATACGTGGACAACAGTCCCTGCCCGAGCAATATCTCTCATAATTCATACGAAGCGGAAAAGCTGGCAGGGCCCTGTCTGAGCAACATCGCTTATAATCCGAAAGAAGCGGACCGGCCGTCAGCTGTTCCGGTCCTTTCTTATCTCATCGAAGGACTACCATCCAATTGCAAACTTCATGGGTCTTTGTCGAGAAATATACATCACTATTTTTTCATGTCTCAGGCAACGGATTAGACCAGCGGTCATTTGAATATGCTTCGCTTTTCAAGATGTATCAGTCGTCGACCCTATATCTATGAGGATCCCAGCGACTAGCATTATAATGCTCGATTCACCAGGACTACACATCAACAACAACGAATATAATCAATCCACACTCCTTGGTCTGCCATAAAAGCACTCAGTCAAGGATGGTTAAGCTATCAAGCGAGCAAGCCGGCACGGTACCATTCGTCTCAGCATTCGGCTGCGAGAAAAAAAAGGGCCCGCGAGGAGTGGTACAGCGACTTTGTAAAACGTGCTCAAACCCAGTATGATCTGTTAGGTCATATCGTTGGATGGCTATGAACCTTATCCAAAAGCATTACGACTCAGTGCCTACGATTGGAAGACAATGATCCTTGGATGACTGCAGACAAGAAGGCAAAATGGGAACGTCTGAAATCGCCAGGTCCTCTGTCTATATTTGACATACCCTGGGCTAATAATTCCGAAGACGGATTTTGGAAGGTGAAAAGTTTGTGATGAAAGTATGGCAATATTTGTATACTTGATCGGCATTTCAAAAGTCCTACCAGAGAGTCTTATTGATTCAAGTAAGTCTCTTATCCTCAATATTGCTCCAGCGGCTTAGGTTTTCACCTCTATTTTCACCCTGTCTACGGAGTATGGTGCCCTCACCCTTCTCGGGCCTCTCAACATCCACTCATCTCTTGCGTGCTATGATTCTCTCCCACACAAAAACTGATACATACGACCATAGGGTGTGGAAAACAGGGCTTCCCGTCCGCTCAGCCGTACTTAAGCCACACGCCGGTGAGTTAGTAGTTGGGTGGGTGACCACCAGCGAATCCTCACTGTTGTATGTTTTTGTTTTTCTTTTCATTTTTTTACCTACAAACCACCCGGGAGTGTGGGCGGTTGTGGATGGGAAGTGCGGAGACCATGCAGGGTGACAGTTCATCCAGGGGGGTAGGTACGGCAAGGCCAACTCATGTCTTGTAATTTTTTGTCTTCTTACAAAGTATGTCCATTGATATCCAGAAGAACTTCATAGATCAGACTGCTCGTGTGGTATCGAATTCAGGCGAATTATTTCATGCGGGAAGATGCTTTCTCTCTTCCCGATTTCTCTCGCCCCACCGTTCCAGCAAACCACCCCGTATCTTATTTGCGACCACGAATCCATTCCTGGCGACCAGATCGAGCAGATTCAAGATTTCGGATTGTTGGTCAACTTTCCGGGCTCGAGCTCCTGCAACGGTGACTGGGAAAAACAACATCACTCCCGGAATCTTGGAGTGGTGCAACACCTCGCCTGAGAGATACAGGATCGAACTCAGGTGTTCGGAAATTTCAGCTAGGGATAACACCGGGGCTGGGATATCGTTCCAGTAAGGGAAATAGTCATAGTTGCCGGAGAGAAATATTAGTAGAGCGTGGTAATATAGCAATGCTAAGTTTGAATATTCGCTAGGACCATCTTGGGCCATCTGCAGCAACGTCTTTGTGTGCCAGTTATAGATGGTTTCTTGGATATTGAGTCCTTCAATTCCAATCAGAGCAACTGACGGGTCCTTGAATCGTTCTTCTTCGGAAATATTATCAATTATAGTACCGGCTCTGTTGTCGGTTGTTAAAATAGAACAAGTCGCTCATTTGTCACTGTTGACTTACTGTAGGCTGAAGGCCGATGCCTGGATCATTAGTGTTATAATTTCCTCCAGTGGCTCCCACCGAGCGGCGGTGCTGGACAGAGTTTTTTGGAGTTGAAGCCAGGATTCCTGAGAAAGAATTGTTTCTTCGCCAAATAGTAATGCTCGGCTAGCTTCGAGGATACGAAACAGGTCGTAGAATATCCTTCGAGGCGATGACATGCAATGGCTTGGTCCTGCAAGTTGGAGCATTCTTGATGTTCCATAGAGCATGTGCTTTACCCAGCCTTCACCTGAATCATCTGAGAGCAACTATATGTATTCATGTCAGTCAAAACCGAATTTTATGCATGCGACAGAGCATATCCTTTCGATTTAAAGCATACCTCGAACAACCCCAGAAAGAATGTGGCCCAGAGAACGTCCTCTCTTTGCATCACATTATCATTTTCGACACACGACCGCAAAATACCAATTGATTTATGGTAAGAGGTCATGGCATCCACAAAGGGGGGTTTCTCTCCCTGTAATGCTCGTCCACCTGTCTGTCGGTTCGCATTCAAAGCACCAACCGCAATCACTGCATGATACAAAAGTGGGGAAGTTGAAATTAGGGGAAGCAGGTCCGGAAGTATTGATGAGAAGCCCGTCGTGAACATGTTCTGCTGAATAAAAGAGACAAAATAATCAAGAAGGCGGGTACCGTTATCCTTCCCGATAAGATTGAGTGGGTGATTCCCGGGGCTGTGGTTATTTTTGACTGTAATTCTCTTTTGAGCAGAGATTCGGTGGGCGCCACCAGAATCGCCTTGCTGGGTTTGGTTGACGAACACAGTCATACCATGTCCCGATTGCTGCTGGGCAACGCACATCACGTTTTGTCGAATGCAACGAGTGCATGGGAACCCCCCTTCACACTAGTAACAATTAGCTGCATTAATCTCATAAATTGGAGTTTCACATCCCAGACCTTCGTGCGCCGTTTCGCGCAGCTAAGGCAGCGCGTCATCCGCCTCCGCTTGTCCAATGGGCCGACGATTCTCCCCTGCAAAGATGCTGATGTGGACATGGTCTTGAAAATTCCTCTAACAAACAAATAAAGTGTGCTTCTCCCCGATGCCCACTAAGATGAAAATGGACATATTCAAGCGAGACCTTGTCCGCCGGCAGGCTGCTGATGGCGCTAGCCCAATTTGGAAGCAATGTCGTGATGCCGATCGCGCTAACCCAATCTAGAAGTAATATCGCGAGACAAGGATTGATATTACTTGAACATTACTTGATTCCAGGGTTGCTGCCTTATGGCCGCTGCCCCGGAAATGGACATATTCGAGCGATAACTAATCTAACAGCAGGCTGTGAAGATGGCGCTAATCCCAATTAGAATGCTATATCGCGATGCATGGATCCATACTTCAACAATTCTGGATAGTTCTTGGCGACCGACTGAATCTGATCAAACGCTCTATCACTTCCATTTTGGGAGCATAGGCAGAGAGGAATCCATATTTGTGAGTTGCTACTGATGTATAAAGACCAGGGCAGTCCTCCCTCCATTGTGGTTGGAACCCCATCATCTACTTCAACAATATTTCGAGGACTTCATTCTTACCTCTTCTAGTGATTGAAGATGCTTCAAATCTTTCGCCTGCTGCCAATTTTGGCCCTTTCTGTCTCTGCAGTGGTAATCCCCAACCCACCCGGACAACACGATGTGTTTTACCACACGGCAAAAATGGTCGACAAGACCAGGGCCGATCCCTTTGACCCCAAGCACGGCCCGCGTGCAGTGATGACTTCGATATTTGCCCCGACCGACTGCAAAGTCGACCTGAAGAAGAAACACTACCTTCCCCCCGCAACAGCCGAATACTACTCCGAACTATACGGCGCACTAGGACTTCCCAACGGCTCGATCCAATCCATCTCGTTCCAGGCGTGCCCAGAGCCACCAAGAGGCCATTTCCTGCATTTCCCGGTGGTGATATTCTCGCCTGCTCTCGGCACGACACGTCTTTTCTACAATGCCATTGCGCAGGCTGTGGCCAGCGCCGGGTACATCGTGGTCTCTCTTGACCATCCCTATGACACCGAGTTCTTGGAGTTCCCCGACGGAAGCATTGTGACTGCTGCAAATATCAGTGACGCGCAAGTTCCACTGGATGTCGAAACCAGAGCTCAGGATGTGAGGTTCGTGCTGGATCAACTGAGCACAAAGGCCGGCGTGTCAGCTCTACTCCCTGGAACAGGTGCTGCGGGTTTGAGAACTCGGCGCGTTGCAATGTACGGTCACTCTGTCGGGGGTGCCGCCGCTGCCGCAGCCATGCAATTAGACCGTCGCATTGTTGCAGGTGCGAACCTGGATGGGTCAATGTTTGGACCTGTGGTTCAAAATGGGCTTCAGGGTCCATTCCTTCTGTTCGGTCATGAGAACAAGACCCAGGCGACTGACCCAACGTGGGCAGAGTTTTGGCCAAATCTGCGCGGGTGGAAATTGGAGTTGGAAGTCGCCAAAATTCAACACTACGCTTTCTCGGACTTGCCGTACCTCATGAAACTCCTTGGTTTGCCTGTTGACAAGGTGCCCGCCATTCAGAAGATGGTCGGGGCTTTGGATGGAGCTAGGGGATTCGAAATTGTTCACCGCACCGTGGCTGCATTTTTGGGTTTCGGACTTGGTCAGACATCGCAGTGTCCGCTTCACGAGACTATCTCAGAGTATCCGGAGGTATCTGTCTTTGCGCGTGGTGAATGAGACAACATTTCTATAAACTAGTTGGATATGTGACAGTCTTACATATATTTGTCCGAATATGCTAATTGATGGAAGAGGGGGAGGAGATTGGGAGATTAGGGAGACCTGGTCGATGCAGAAGTCAAATTGCTATTACAAATTCTCTTGGAATAACAACCTTGTATAATTCTTTTTGAAGTTCTTGGTATTGTTCATTGTCATAAAGGAAGGCATAAATATTCATGAATACATACAAGACCAGATCAATGCTGATGAAGCTAAACGCTGAAACCGAGAGAGATATCCGAACACAACAACCATCTAACAAAAAGACTATAGCCTCCAAATTCAAGTTAAGGCTGGCGGTCGTGAGAGACTGAAAGGTGCTCCAAATGAATAGGGCAGCGTAGACAGAGGTAACAAATGGCCCGCATGATGCTACCGCCGGCGCTGGAACGTCTCAATTGCAAGACACCAATCATGCCCACAGCCAAACACTGTTTCCACTATCTCATAAAGGCGGAGAATGAGAATGTGGGAAGCAAAGCATACTGTGTATTCACATGCCACAAAATAGCAGCAGTGCCGCCCATGCCCATGAATGTGATCATCTTCGGGGAAATGCCACCGCTAGGCTGCTTAGCAGGTTTTGACAAACCTGTGTCACCCGCAGGTGGTGGAAGATAATTCAAACAAGGGCCGCCTCTCGAGAAACTGGCATACAGCTTGGCCTTGAGTCTGTCGCTAACCCAGGGCACAACATGACGGGCTGCAAATTTGAGGACCCAGCTGTCTTGGGCTTCGTAGCGGGTGATCTGACCGGAAAGATCGACGACCGTTTCTGCTCGTGGCTTTTGACCAGTAATATACTGATTAAAAACCTCCGTCAACTGCTCAAGAGAGGGCATAGGGTTCTCTTTTAATAATGGCACGAGACCGTTGGTCAAACGAGCGATACCTTCATAGGCAAGGTTGCCACCTAACCCAGGGTTGATTGTAGCCTGTCGAGATTAAGAAGGTTAGTCAAATCGTCTGGTGTGCTTCTTGTTCAGCAGGAGATTCGAACCTTGTGAACTGAATCGCCCATTAAAACTACCCGGTTATGACTCCACTGTTTGGCAATACCTTCTTCCAATGGTACCATTGTGCCTTTGACACGAGCATCCCAGAGATCTTTCACGGTATACCCAGGGCCTACTAGAGAGCTTCCATATTTTTGGATAGTATTCTCTGCGTCCTCATCGGTGAATCGTGGGCAGTTAGGAGTTCTCGTTAATTTAGGAGCTTTGACAAAAAGAAACCAAAACACAAGGCCGGGTACACCAGCAGCTGCTACTGCTGAGTAGTCATGGTAGTAAACGTTATGGACCATTGCATCAGGTAAAAACTGATTCTTGGGATCGTTCCGAGAAACACCAAAGATGCAGTTGTACTCGCTTGTGAATGCTGTAGTCCGGATAATGTCAGTTACATGGGCTTTGAAAGGAGCAAAGCAGAAGGACCGGACGAACACTCGTTAATTGCTTTGGCAAGAGGCTGATCAGTCAGGCTGATTTTGTCTGCCATCAGCTTCCTCACTTTGCTGTGGATTCCGTCCGCTCCGATAAGGATATGCCCATGGTACTGCTTGCCATCTTCGGTGGTGACAGTAATACCCTGTGCGGTTTCTTCATATCCAACGACGGCTGTTCGAGTATGCAGCTTCGATTTATCTCTCACATGACTGTGTAGGACTTCTAAAGCTTTACATCGCTCTAAGAAGATAATGGGACGTTGAAGTCTACACAAGCTCCCAAAACTATGATTAGCACATCTCTTTCATCGTTCACTTGTATTACCCAATGGTGATACATAGTAATTATACGTAGACCTACATTTCATTGATGTGGCTGAGGACTTGCGACTCCTCAAAGCAATGGCCGTTTCCGTCATAATGGTTTCGATTCATGAGAGGTACAACCTGTTTCTCGATATCTTTCCATACTCCCAGCTGCTCTAGGATCCTTATGGTGTGTGGATGGATTCCGATAGAGGCTCCTAGCTGTGTTGCAAAGTCTCCCTTTTCGAACAGCTCATAATCGATTCCGGCGCGCTCAAGAGCTAGGGCTAGGCCAAGACCCACAAGACTTCCCCCAGCTATGAGGACCTTGAACTGATTGGTTGACGACATGGATGGAACGAGTCAGAGTTGATGAACCTGAAACTTCCAGGATTGTTTCTCCACGAGATTTAGTAAATAAACCCCCTTTATGTTTCGCATTCCAGAGGGCTCCGGGGGGGCCGTTGAACAAAAGCGGGGAAGAGAAGGCAATCGACGGAAGTGGACCCCTCGTCCTGTGGACGCGCCAATGGTGAGATTCTGCATACTTTTCTCCGAGTTGAAGATAGAACATGAAATGAACTTCATTTAGATATGCATATACTTATTTTTTGCCTCGAAAGTGAATAGATTCAGAATAATGAAATGTTGTATATATGTACATTTAGGTATGTTTTGTATGGGCGTGCTATACAAAAGATACCACAATTCTGTCCCGTGTTTAGGGTGGAAATTTCTGTATTGTGAACAGACCCCATCCTGATAACGCGAGGGGGCTAAGAAACTTAGAAGCTTGCACATGCACATGGTCCTCAAGCAGATCCCGTTCCAACGGGAATTCACTAATCACTTTAATTAAGAGTTACCATCTTCTTATTATATCGTGGTTCTAGGTATGTTTACTCCATCTGGTGAGCTTTGTGAAGAGTCGATGTGGCCTGAATCTGATGAGGTGGCCTGAATCTGACATGCACCAGCTGCAATCACTCGCGTATTATGCACACATCCTGTAATCTGTATGTAAGCCCCACCATTAAAGCGGCCCCTTACATTTGACTGAAAAACGGGCGTGATCGTTCGATCGTGGGGATTCTATCGATATAAAGTCTCAATCCTTATGGAAGTCCTATCTCCACGGAGTTATTTATTTAGGGGAGAGAAATCATCTACGAAGATTAGGAGCAAATACGCATATGTCATGTGACATATAGTGGTCTTAGTTTTTTTGTATGAAGATGCTAATATTAGGCATTTGTTGTGCCTATCCCAATTTTATTATCATTTTTCCAAAAATTTACTAGGGTGAGATGGGAGATGGGTATTACTAATTCTGGTTAACAGTAATAAGACCCGCCTCCGTACAATCATAGTTATAGGAAAGAAGTATGTTATATTTGCGGATCCGTAACACAAAATATATATCGACATACATACATACATGTACGCACAACCCATGTAGTTCGATTAAGAGATCATAATATTATCTCACACTGGAGGGTTGCAAAAGTTTAACGAAGAAATCCTATTTGGTCTTTTCATTCCTCTTTTTCAAAGAAACATTGTTGACTAATGTTGTTTGAGGGCTGGTTTACTGAGACAGCAATGACAGTATAGATAAGAATACATGAAAAGGTCTCACGCACCAAATCCTTAAGATATGCTCGACTAAGATACTATTTCTCAGTACGATGCAATAGGCTGCAAGTAACTTTAGTGATATTCTATGGTAGAAAGAGCGGACAAGAGAAGAAAGGTTACTACTCTACAAACAAGCAGGAAGCCAGCTAAATAGCTAGACAAGGCCAGATAACGTGGGCACCAAGCATGTGATAACTACTGCAACGTTTTATATTAAGCATACGAACTATAGTATACCTGGGGGAATAGATATTCCCAATTGACCCGTAGAGGAAGAATTTGAAATTTGTTTAAGTTAGATTCTGAATTATTAGCTTTGACCCGATTGATTTCACACTGGCTAGGATTAATATGGAACGTAATGCTCAAATGGAATCTAACTAAACTGTACGATTGGGATAGGTGAATGGCTCGTCGGGTATAACAGTGGGTTTAGATGCCAATACGAATCCAGAATCAACCAAGAAGGCTTGCAGGGGAAAATGGTCGATATTGAAAAATGGACCTGCTGAAGTTCAATTTAATGGAACAAAGGTACGGCATTTCTAATAGTGTCCTATGTTGATCTATATCATATCTACTTAAATTCGATAGTTGCTTTACATCGCAGATGATCCGGATGGGACTGACATCATCGCATTGGATGATAAATATCTCATACTGGCCCTGCTAGCTAATGCAATCGTCGAGAATTTATTTGTGTCCAGCATCTATTTCACTAAGCGTGATGTCGATCCCCTCAGCACTATCACTTTTCATTAGGAGATAGTCGCTTCCATTCAGCTTGACCTTTTGTCTTACCGGCATCAAGCAGGTTAAAATAGAAAAATTACTTATAAATCCTGCCATCAATATTTCCTGGTTAAACCTCGTTTCAGCACGGTCTTTAGAACACCACACCTTGTCGCGACAAATAGCAATCGTCCAATGTCGCATTCGTACCATGTCTTGAATTTTAGGTGTTATTTGTCGAATAACATGGTTAAACTGCAAGGAAGTTAAGGTATCTCGTGCGAGAAGAAAGCACTATGCTTGCTACTGGGAGGAGATGATGGCTTGAGAAAAGTTGACTCACTGAGATATTGAGATAGAGTTATGCATATAAAACTTCTTGACAAACCCAAAGCACGTCAGATGTAAAAAAGGATTGACATTTTCTCGTAGCTTAATGAAGGGTAGGCCTGATGGTGCGCTGGTTTGAAATTTCCGATTGATGTGCATTGAGTTTTAGGGTCCCAAGATGACACATTAAATAAAGAATGTTTCGCGCAAACATGATCTGAAGGTAAAATGTACAAAGTACGGAGTAGTAATTTTGTGGTTGTGACTCGTTGAACATGGAAGATGATGGAGTAGCTATGGACTTTGTGGAGAAAGGAGAAAGCTTCCCTTAAATAACTATAGGCAGACTGAGAATGTAAAGTTCGGGGTAACACAACAAGTCTAAGTCGGCGCCAAGCTACCTAAGCACAGTTCAGGAGGAGGTACGGTGTACTGGTTCTGGAAAGCCGACAGCTCCTCTACCGGCATCACGACTTCCTGCTTTCTCATCTGTCAGCCAATCCTTTTTTTTCAAATACTTGCAGAAAAGAAGACGTGCGCAACGCCACATCGAATGTGGCGCTATGAAGTGATATAATTTCTAGAGCCGTTGCATCAGAAACAGTCAGCTCAATGTATGGAGCAGCATGTTGTTCTCCGTATACCTCGTGTGCTCGGTTGAATATACTCCATACCTCTCGTGTTAGTTGTTACGGAGTAGACACCTCAAAAGTTACTCCACTAATTTGTCACTCGTGGCGTCTTGGCACTGTCATCGGACTTGTCATTCCATAGCTCATATCCGGAAAAGAATAATATGCAGCCCCTGAGACAGTTTACTCAGACTTTTCGGACCCATCAAGTGGACACGACACGGTTTTGGTGGATTCCTATTTGTGGGTTTGCACGGGTCACCCCCCACATCCCTACCCGCCCGCCTAACGGCTTTACTCCGTAACTCATTTTAGTGTGTGTGACTCGCTTCCAAGGTTCAATCATCGGAGATTTTACAAGGTGGAAAAGACAAGGATTAGGGCCGGTCGACTGTCTAGAATGAGTGACAATAGAACGAGTCGACAATGTAATTCATTGATCTGCATGTGCGGTCTGAGAGGTAATACCCAAAAGTACCTAAAATTTGCAGGATAGTACCAGTCACAATACGGGGGTTACCTTTTTTCCAGGTCATAAAGTCATAAAGCACACCTCTCCCAGTTCCTGGCTCTACGACAACATACTCGCATCATCTTACTCTTGACTTGGAATGTTCGTTGCTGCCACTAGGTAAAGAGGCCTCCGACTTTTCCAAAATCAACCATGTCTACCACAATGGCCGAGCCACACCTATCAGATGATGAGCGATATCAGCAATCGCTCATCTATGGTTTGATTATCAGCACGGGCATCCTGTCCATGATTGTCTGCAGTTTAAGAGTAAGACCCACCGGCGGACTTTTCCGATATGAGGTGCAGTAGAGTACCGCAGATGACTTATTCTACCAACAGCTTTACACAAGAGCATTCGTCATCAACGTGTTTGGTATGGACGATATCGCAGTCTGCGTCGCATTGGTAAGTTCCAGTCCCACCTTCTATCGCATCCGTAGCTCAGGCATGAAGATTGACGAGGCGATTAATAGGTTTTTACGCAAACTTTCAATGGGCTAGGAATTGCAATTGTGTATTACGGAGAAGGGGTGCATTTTTCCAATGTGTCTCCTGAATATCGAGCAATGTGGCTCAAGGTATGATTCAAACCAATCTCTTGCCGAACATTTTACTCACATCAGTCATAGCTCTATTACGTCGCAATGTGTCTATACCTCTACACTTCATTGGCAGTCAAGATTAGCCTGCTGGTATTCCTACGACGGATTTTCGTCAAACGTAAGTTTTTCGCTAACTTCAAGAGTCCCTCATGACCTAGTATGATCCAGCGCTGACTTCAAATCCCACAATTAGCCTGGATGAATCTGCTCACTATGGGTTTGATTGTCTTCCAAGTCCTCTTCTCGGTCTCAGGCTCTTTTGTTCTAGCCTTCCAATGTGACCCTCCAAGGTACAATGAATCCCTGATCCCCGCAGTATTTACCAACATGCTTACCAGCAGCATCACAGGGCTGCCTTTGACATGACCGTCAAGAACCCGACCTGCTACTCGCAATACAAACTATTCCAGATCACACTATACCAAGCAGTAATCATCTTCGTGTGCGATATCATCATCCTGATCGCCCCAATGGTTATTCTATGCAGACTTCAAATGCCTACAAGGAAGATCGTTGCTTTGATTGCAATCTTTGGATCAGGTATGTGCACCCCATCACCGTTTTATATCCCAGTTTCGAAATACTCATTTCGACAACAGGTATAATCGCTTGCATTTCGCCCGTTGTCCGCTTCAGCACATTGGATTATCTACGCAACGGAACGACAGATCTCACCTGTAAGTACACACTACTTCAAATTCCTACCCTTGATTCAGCGCCTGTCTTATACTGACTATCAACCACAGACGACTCAGCATCTTCCCTGTACTGGATGGCCATTGAATTCAATTTGGGCCTTGTCGCAGGCTCCCTTTCTTCTCTACGACCACTACCTCTCTTCCGCCGATTCGGGTCGATGACACTCTCCCGACACAAGGCATCCACCAGCGATGAATCGCACGAGCTTGGCAACGTGAACGCGAGCCATCCCAGAAGCCCTTGGAAAAATAGAATGACTATTGGAGTGGAGACGTCGATACTTCAGGATAGTGTCAACGATAGCCAAGAGCGCATTATCCATGCAAAGGCAGAGTATGTGAAGCCAGAGGAGAGAGTTTGATTGTTGTTCTATAATTCGACCAAAAGTAATTCGATCAAAAATATATAGTAATTCAATGCATTATTCTTGCGGCCACGAGTCTCACGGTTTACCTAGACCTGCCTGAAGCCTGTGATGTCACACCACGGTGGTCGAGCCGTAACGGTAAACATCTCCGGCTCGACGTGGATCCCTTTTCCAGTTCTTGGCGGTCGAGATATGGGGCGTCTCGTGAGACATTTGTTTCGGGTCCCGATAGGATAATCATGGATTGGCCCACCTAGTTAGAGACATTAATTTGAGACATAAGATTCTTATAAGAGAATGGAGAATGGACTATTGTAATCAGACTGTAGAATTACAAATTGGATGATACCTGGCTGCCAGAAGTACATAAACTTTCCTTGCAATCTTAGAATACAAGTAGGTTCGGTCCGAGGGGGAACCATGGAACACGGCACGGGACAAACCTAACCTTAATTAGGAAGCTTCCTTGTCAAGCCCTATTCCAACCTTGAGAACATAATTATACAACATAGGCATTTGGGGGGCAACCGAAGGAGGCGCGACCGTAAATTTGTGTATTCCAGCCCTCTTTTCTCGTGATGAGAAGCGGCCTCAGTACCGTTGGTAAAGTCATCAGCCCATGTCACGTCGGATTGGTTACCTATTTGCAGCCATACAACATGAAATTTCTAGCATTGAGTGCAATAGAGTTCTTCACCAATATGCCCCAAGTGAATGCGACTTCGTTGACAAAAGTCGTCATCGCGGAGGCAGTTAGTTGATCAGCGCACCAATCAGCGAACAGATGGGAGATACTGTTTTATCGGTGATGAATAGACTGAATTATGCGCTTTGGATGCCACATCTTTCTTCATAAATCGGTTTGGCGCTTAATATGGCAGTGGGTGAGAGATCTGTCGTGTCACCGATGCGTACTAAATTCTGAATTGTGGGATAGAGGCACAAAAGTTTCATTCGGGAAGCTGGTGTGGATGCTGCAATATAAATCTAGATTAGCACGGGCTTCCATGGAGAAGGATAGGCGACGAAGTGGACCAACAACAATCAATCTGAACCTGGACAAAGAGCTGCACAGGTGTAGAGAATCAAATGGCCTGACCTCGGAAGGCCACCGAACGAGATTTTATGTTTGCATGGAGGATAGATCACAAATGCTCTGTTTGACCCGTGGGCGCACCTTCTCAACAACACACAAACGCTTCCATTGGGTTAATTCACCATCCTGCGAATTCGCCTTTCAGATTTCCTAAGCGCTACCTGTTTCCAGGATTCCAATATTCTGATTGATTTCCGGCCACCACCACCATTTTGCCATTAAATGGGAGCGCTTTTTGAACTGTTTGCCGGCGAATTTGACACCAAAACATACCTCAAGCCTTTTATTCGCCGATTAAGGAGACGAGGAGGATTTTAGCCCCGATCGGCACGCAAACTGTCCCGCACCTCAGGGAACCCAAAATACGAAAACCCCCAGTCACAGCTTTGGCCAAACAAATTTATGTATCACCAGCCGGCCAACGTGTTTGTGTCACATCCTGCATCTGTCGATATTACGCTCTTCCATCCTCATTTAGTTCGTATCGACTAGCGAGATGGGTTAATGGGCGGGATACACCGCAATGGAGATACCTAAAGAGGCACGTTATTAACATTCCGAGCTGCGGGGAACGTGGGTTCTCCAGGAACGATCTGCCAATTTTGAAATCGATGAACAGTAGAAACCCAGCCACAGAGTGAACATTACTCATGTAACCTTCTCCGCCATGAGGTTAATTGGGTGTTACATTATCGATATTGCGATCGGCTATTCCGATGGCAACCCAACAGCACCAACACAGCTATCGTCTGGGATTCATGACGTTATCTGCGAGCATCGTTAATTAACTAACAACTACCGCCGCAATGAAACGAAAGTTATAAATGAGTTCATGAACGCCGAATTAAAGCCAGGTTTATCCTGTTGACCAAATCGGTGCTACTCCCTCACTACGCCGCTTTAACTGCTCAATATTAGAACATCACGAGCGACCGCGCTCTAGATTATCATTGAATCATGTTAATCCATACCATCGCGGTCCTCTGCACCAGTGCAGTTGGCACTGTGGCAAAGCAGCTATGGTCAACCGAGCCTGCTGATGTGTCGCACGTGGAGATGACAGCATATCCCTTGGGTAATGGGAAACAGGGAGGTGGGGTTCCATCCTTATCCTTTTTCTCGGCCATCTTATACTGATTCCTGTAGCCATGCCGTTGGGCGTCGCAGGAGAGGATGTCGTGTTCCTCAATCATGACAGTCTATGGTCAGGCGGCCCATTTGCAAACAAGGTGAGTATCTCATGTATCATTATTGCGGCGAAGCGTGGCAACTGATTCTCAAACTGGTAGGATTACGTCGGTGGAAACCCCGAATCTTCACTTGCGAAACATCTCCCGGGGATTCGAGATGCTATATTCAAGGATGGGACTGGAGGCAAGTAAACTAAATCTCAATACAAGTGGTCATTTGCTTACTCCGATATAGATGAATCTCCCTTATATGGTAGTACTGCTAATTACGGATCATATGAGATGTTGGGCAACCTCACTGTCAGTATTGCCGGCACTGGGAAGATCACGTCCTATAGGCGCACCCTGGATCTTGATACCGCTATTCACGAGGTTAAGTACAAATTGAACGGAGTGGACTTCACAACGTAATAATCCCTTATCACGCTTGCTTGCAGGCCTTGTTCAATTGCTCATCTCTGACGAGTGTGGCAGGATCCAATTCTGCTCATACCCAGCAAAGGTCTGCGTCTACTATATCGAATCTTCCAAGGCATTGCCGGATGTGACGGTCGGGCTTCAAGATCATGCTCGAACAACACCGAGCTCCAAGGCTTCCTGCTCCTCGGACGGTGTTCGTCTCCATGGCCAGACAACGGCTGATTCTGGTCAGGGGGACATTGGTATGCTATTTGATGCGCATGTTAAAGCTGTTACGTCCTCGTCGATTTCCTGTGACCCGTCAAACGAGATTGTGGTCCACGGAAAAACTGAGAAATCGCTCCTGCTTCTTCTCAGCACAGGTACCAACTATGACGCGACAAAGGGCAACAGCGCCAACAAATACTCTTTCAAGGGATCGGATCAGTACCCCAGCATCCTGTCAACTGTCCAGGCAGCGTCCAAAAAGTCCTATGAGACTCTCCGCAATGATCACATAACCGACCACCAGTCATCCATGCATAAGTTCACGTTGAACCTTCCAGACCCGAAGAATTCTGCCGAGGTTGAGACAACTAAATTGATAAACGATTATTCTACCTCGGAAGGAGATCCATTCGTCGAATCTTTGATAATAGACTATGCAAAGTATCTATTTATCGCGTCTTCTAGACCAGGGTCTCTTCCTCCTAATTTGCAAGGAAATTGGGCACCCACCATGACTCCTCCATGGAGTGCGGATTACCACGCCAACATCAATCTTCAAATGTATAGGACCAACCCAATTCCAGACGTTTCTTTTTAGTGGAATGTTGAAGTGCGATTTATCTGACATTTATTCAGGAACCATTGGCACACCGAAATGATGGGCTTAGGGGACCTACTGAGCCCCCTGTGGGATCACATGAAGAACACTTGGGTACCACGAGGCACCGAGAGCGCGAAGCTCTTTTACGGGACCGATGGCTGGGTGTCGCACACCAACATAAATATATTTGGGCATACAGCGTGAGTTGAGACATTGGATCTCCCCTGTTCTTCTTCTGACACACACTTAGGCAAGAGAACGATGCTTCTTGGTCGAACTACCCAGTATCCAATGCCTGGATGAGTAAGAAATGCCCCTGGACATTACCCACCAGCATCCCTATTCCTATACTAATCAAATGGTTCGACATAGTGAAGCACGTGTGGGACCGGTATGACTATTCCCGAGACCTTGAGTGGTACCGGTCTTCGGGATATCCGATGATCAAGGGAGTGGCCCAATACTGGCTCTCAATGCTAGTACCAGATGAACATTTCAAAGATGGATCTTTGGTTGCTGTTCCTTGCAACTCACCAGAGCATGGTCCCACCGTAAGACAACTCCCAGGGTCACCTAAATCAGCTAACTCTTTGCTAATTTCCCCGTTCCAGACATTTGCCTGTGCGCATTGGCAGCAACTTATTTGGGAACTTTTCGATCACATCATTCGGGATTGGGAGGCTTCTGGAGATAAAGACGAGTCTTTCCTCCAGAGCGTGAAGAAGGCATATCACAGTATGGACAACGGGGTTCACGTGGGCTTAAGGGGTCAGATTAAAGGTATACAAATATTTTGCAACACTAGAAATGTGGTTTATATCCGCTTAGGACATGTATTAATATTTAATACAGAATGGAAGCTCGAAGCGGACCAAAAGAACGATAATCACCGTCATCTATCGGAGCTTTACGGGTGGTACCCGGGATACGCTATTTCCGGCGTGCACGGCAATAACAAAACAATCACAGATGCCGTCATTGTGTCGCTCAAGTCCCGCGGTGACGGAAAAGCAGATGCCAACACCGGATGGGGGAAAGTATGGCGTTCTGCCTGTTGGGCAGCGCTAAACAATACAGATCAGGCGTTAGTCCCCACTGCTCACCTTCTAAGCCCGCGGGTTTTTACATATCTAAGAACCTATCTGACTGACCTTCGTTTTGGGAGAACAGTTACAAACAGCTTAAGTTCAGCATTGACCTGAACTTTGCGCCGAATGGATTGTGCGGTACCCCGTCAGGCGCATCGGACTACAACGACCTCTCGACACCTTTCCAGATCGATGCTAACTTTGGCATTGCTGGGGCTGCACTCGCAATGCTAGTGACAGATCTACCACAGGCATTTGGTGATACCAGTACCCACAAAGTTATTTTGGGTCCTGCCATCCCAAGTGCGTGGGGAGGAGGTTCGGTTAAGGGGCTGAAGCTTCGTGGGGGTGGAAGTGTGGCTTTCAAATGGGATGGCAAAGGTAAAGTTACTGAAGCGACCCTAGACGGACGCTCGCTACCTTTGGTGGTTTACGATCGGGATGGCCATGTCTTGACAAGGCATTAGACATCGGCGGGTTGCGATGGATGTGGCTGTAATGCTCCTGGTGCTATATCTGCGGGCAGGATAATATGTCGCTTGTCCTTCGGCTTATATGTGGTTTGATGTATCTCGATATATGGAGCTAGGACATCTGGCAACTGCCGTCTTAACGCAACTTGATGAAGTTAGTTTATTGCCATCTGCTTCATCTTTCCACGGCTCATAAGGAGATATTTCGATGATATAGTTGAAACATTTCTATACCAGATCCACGTATTATAGATTAAGATGGCGTCATATAATGTTAGCTTTTACGAACTCGGAGTCCTATAACGCCCTCTCAACACCCATGAGAATGTACCCAGGATAGTAAACAACAAAGTAGAAGTGAACACAATGAAGAAAAGCAACGTCATCCAATATCCAACCCCGACTAGTCTGTTCCAGCCCTCATCGTCATAGTAATCGGTCTGAAAGATGATGCTGGAAAAAACAAGAGCCGCAAATAGAACTAAAACTGAGTAGATGACTATCATTGACCAACTCATTGCAATCGTCTTCAATCTGTTCTTCTTGAGGCAAACTCGGTATAAGTTTATGCGGCCTCCAATATTCTCACGCTATTCAGGCCATGGAAAGTATCATTAGTAATCGACGGTAGCTAAGTGATGATGACCATTCTCTGCTAAGCTAGTGCTTGGGGGCGAGTGTGTCTTGACTTACCTTTACTACAAGGTTATTTGGCTCGCTCCTTGATCCAGGTTTCGGTAATTGGAGGCCAGGCGATGAGTTCGTCGCCCTTTCAACGCAAGACGGTAGGCCGCTATGCAAATTATTGAGGTGTGCAGGCCCAGTATCTGACGTGCTCTTGTGCAATGTTAATCCTGCACTCGAAATGCGTAAGTAACAACGGTTGATGTAGATAGGATGTACATATTCTTACGCGTATAAAGCTCCAAGGCCGAGAGCAGCGGAAGGAATAGCATACCCAGAGGAAGAATCTGCCCAAATTGTGGTGTAAAGCTAATGGGAGATTGCTTTGCCCTAGAATCCGACCCCCAGACAATAAAAAAGCAAATCTGACATATCGCAAAGGTACAGTAAAATAAGAGCCAAACAATCTCCGCAAAGAATGAGCCTCTCAGCTCACCGAGAATTATACCAGCGAAAGCGAAATGGTCATATAATCGCCCTTTCGGTCCAACTGAGAGCCATATCGCTTTAACCAACTGGCCATCAGAGGCAGCAGCATTGAACTTATCAAGGCCTTCTTTGCTCGGCCATGAGAACAAGGCCGCACAACTTTCCGCCGCCCAAGCCTCGGGTGACTCCCTGACCCTTGGGATGTATAGCTCTAGTATCCTGCGCAGATACCCACAGACGAGCATACCAACAATAGCCAAGGTCGCAAAGAAGATAGTCTGATCATACTTGTCGGTGCCGGGCCAATACAGTGTAGTATCACCTCCAAACTCATTCAGAGCACATCGCAATGTTTGAGATGAATCCAGAAGCTGACTAGCCACAAGTTGTGGAAGAAGGAAACCAAGAGCCACAAGCATCACAATCGTTCTTGCATCTCTAAGACGTGGACTTTTGTCGTGGTAGCTGCGCAGGATTGTGATGGACGAAAGGTGGGTGACGCATGATAACAGAGCTAAGTTCACAGCCATACAGTACGAGTAGGCTGATATCGTGTTGTCCAGACCTGCGACGCCGGAGCGAATCATATATGAGGCGAGTATAAGTGAGTATCCCGTCACTAATTGCTGGTCGCTCATTGTCACGACAAATTTCTCGAAATCCTCAATGCGGTTCTCTTCGTATCCCTTGCAGGAATCTCTTTTTCCTGTAGCACGGAAGATCCTGTAGACGGTGTCGAGAATTAAGTTATCGAGCGCATTATACCTTTCTTCGCGCAAGAGGCGGTTGAAATAGCCCGTGATGACGGTGCCAAGCATCATCAAGATGAAGACTCCAGATGAAATAAGGACCTTTCGTATAAGTCAGTAACAAATGCCAGAGCTATCTATTGCAACGGAGAAGTTACACCAAACCCGGTCACATCGGGATCACCAAAGTCCCTAGGCTCACATTGGTGGGTACTCATCGGACCGATGCAGGGATGAACTGGGTGTATTAATTAGATATTAGCATATATGGGGGTTTTTATAAAAAATTAATACCAGAAGAGGGGGAAATGGGCCCAATCCAATATAAGACTAATCATTCAGTATGTAGGTAGTTAGAGCGTAAGCGCGTAATTTATGACAAGTCACCCTTGCTGGGGCGATACGAACCAGACGTCTATTGGACAGGAACTGCATGGAAGTAAATAAATATAGCCTTGTATCTTGGCTCAGATGCTGTTTGCCAAGAATATTCGAAGATGAGCGCCATCATCCAGTACACTATGATTATATGGACTGAGAACGTTTTAGGATGGTTTTGCTAAATTTTGAGTCATTTCACATCAACTGCCCGGGTGGTCTAGTGGTATGATTCGCGCTTAGTATGTCTCTCTTGTGGATCAAATTTCCAATCTTACAATTTACTAACAAACTCTTCAGGGGTTCACCCAAAGCAATATTGCGCGAGGTCCCCGGTTCAATCCCGGGCTCGGGCCCATTCTTTTTTTTCATTATCTTTTTTTTTGCTCTCAGTGTATCAAACTAGCGTAATTGGTATCACAAGGATAATCGGCCGTATAAGCGGCCTTGCGGTGTCTTCTCAGCTTTATAATTAGTTCGACGGAAAGGGCAGCAAAAGACATAATTTGGACAATGGATTTTTCCATGTAGTATATAACCTTAGGTAATATTACTACATACCTTTTAGTTATGCCCTCACGCTTACCTAGCCAAGTAATTAATGATCAATTTATTGTTTATTTATTGATGGATTTTGTACGGATGTATTTTCCTCATATACGCTTATTCCGAGACTCGATACATCAACGCCCGGGTGGTCTAGTGGTATGATTCGCGCTTAGTAAGCAACCCTTTCGGTTCAAATCATCACCTTACAATTTACTAACAACATCTTCAGGGGTTCACCCAAAGCATTATTGCGCGAGGTCCCCGGTTCAATCCCGGGCTCGGGCCCATTCTTTTTTTTTCCCTCGATTCTTGGTAGCATTTGGTGCCTATCTTTCTTTTAATCTATTTTTTTCGAGGTAAAAATGTGTGTGCATTTGTGTAGTACTTCGTATATTGTTGAAAATCCCAGTTAATTCGCAGTACTAATTAACGTGCCCCTAGGATAAACTTCACGCTAATTTGATCGGCATTATTGCATGCTTATTATCTTGGGGTCCTACAGAATCGAGATTAGCGCCATTCCTATAGTTAGACGGCATCGCCACTATTCCCTGTACATAACGTGTGTAAAGGTATCGGAAAATGGAATTACAATTTAGACTACGTTCAGCTGCTTTAACGGATAGAATCCGAGAATGTGGTGATCTCTCTAGTTCTTCCCGACTCCATTGAGGGATTTAAGTATCTACAGGGATGGAAGAAACCCATGAATATAAGTATCTTTTCAGGTATAAAACGTTCACTGTCGGCTAATTGTTGGAATATTTGAATTCCTATAGTATCGATTTGCAAGAAAGATATCCTTATCCCAATAGATGCTGTATAGTCCTCATTGCACCATTTAACATATATACTTGGTTAGTAGTAATAGCTATAATGAGTTCGGGTAGTAAGCACCATGTTATCCCCGTTTGTCTGTCGGCTGCCCTGGGTGCATAGTATGTACATTAAGTGTGGGATGTTAACAGTCGTCAGATCATAGTGGTGTCATTTATTAGAGAAATATGACTCAGAACGGAGAACCCTAATTATCGAATTCCCCTTCGACTGGATGAAGCACACTGCAGCCTCCGCCAATATCTCCTACGTGGGGTTCGTACCCTGTTCAGCACATATGGGCATCTCGGTATCGGGTGTGACTAACACGCTTTATCCAAGACTATTTCTTCCACCAAGCATGCCATCTTGTTCTTCATTGCTTGACTTTGGCGGGGAAAGGCTGAAAATTGTGCATTTTTTAAGCAAGTAATAAACGCTTTTACAACGGGCTCTTTGCTACATACCGCATGTCGATATAGAACACAATAGTAATTTGAAAGACTCGTTTTCAGCATTGTCATTGGCTCGGCTGTTTACGTACATAGCTCGTTTATACACATGCATAGAGAGGTATACAAGCTGTAATATTAGAGAGAAAAAAAAGTAAAGTAAAAAAAGGAATGGGCCCGAGCCCGGGATTGAACCGGGGACCTCGCGCAATATTGCTTTGGGTGAACCCCTGGAGTTGTTGTTAGTAAATTGAAGAGTTGACGATGTGATTCATTAGGGCTGCTTACTAAGCGCGAATCATACCACTAGACCACCCGGGCAGTTGATGTAAAATCCTTCAGGATATGCCTATACGGGGGTAGGGCAAAGGTACAGTGGCGTTTCATGAGTGTATTTGAACCTCAATACTTCTACAACATATTGTTGACCAGCCTGGTTACCGCCTTTCGCTTACTATCCCACCCGCTTAGCAGGATTAGATGTGAGTGGATGTAAAATTCTTCCTGCGGAAAATAGAGTACCCGGGTGCAAATACTCATGAAATATAACTATACTACTACTTAGAAAAGTCTGTTTAATAAATTAAGCTTTTCTCGCCTCTTTTTATTATTTACACCCCAAAGCTTCCATTGTTGACCGCCCTTGGTATACCGCCTTTCGATTACTACTGAGATAGACCCCACTCGCACAGCAGGATTAGATGTGAGTGGATGCAAAATTCTTCCGGCAGAAAATAGAAGTACCTTCGTGCAAATCCTTATATTTAGTAAAGTTGCTACCACAATGAATATAGATAGTTATGTATTACCCAATAATAGGGAAATATCCTTTTCACAAATGACACATACTGAATGCAATTTGTTAAAAAATAACTACAAACAAGTACCAAAATCAGAGGCCGTATTATATAAGCGGTTGACCAAAGGTTCCAAGGTTCTTGTTAGTAAGAAAGCAAAAATGAAAGCGGAAGAAAAAAAAAAGAATGGGCCCGAGCCCGGGATTGAACCGGGGACCTCGCGCAATAATGCTTTGGGTGAACCCCTGGAGAGTTTGTTAGTAAATTGTATGATTTGAAAATTGATCCACAAGAGAGACATACTAAGCGCGAATCATACCACTAGACCACCCGGGCGTTGATGTATTAGTTTGTAATATTAGCATATAAGTACCAGAAGAGACGCATACATGAACTATTAATAACTAAATCAGCAGTGGATTTATAGTTACATATTCGCTTGTTTAAGTAAAAGCTAAGTCAGGTAGTTATAAACGGTATAAATATAGGATTGGTACAGGGACACCCCCTGCCTACCTTTTCAGGTAAACATTCCTAATTCACCTGGAATTTGTATGTAAGCCACTGAATTAAGTCACCTTTGTTACATTGCTCTGTATAAATTAGATCAGATAAGGTCATGTTTTTTTTTTATCGACTTTATTAATTTATCCTCAACTCTATCAATGTCAGCTTCAGTCTAGCCTCGCTAGGCCTTGACTACCTACTTTCTGGCTCGGATTCCGGACCAGGGATCGTCCGAGTCTCTACCTACCAGTGTACTACCTGCCGGGACGGAGCCAGGGTTGATGACCCCCGCCGGAGCGCAGGTGTGGAGAAATCGTACGCGGGAGGTACCTAAGAGGTACGATAGTCATGTTATTCAATTTGTAGAATATGAAGGTAACAATCAGGCAGAATCTTTTGGGTATCTCACCCTCTAGTTAGGCTGGGTTTTTAACCGACTTGTCGTGGCTTCCAGAGTCCGGTAGTCTCGCAACGAGGTGGCCTCGTCCAGCAGACTGTCGTTGCTTACATATTCGTCGAGCAGAGAGGTATTCGTCAGGAGTAGAGTCCGTTTGACCCCTATCCATAATTCAACAGGCTGAGGGTCAGCTCTGAGGCCATTCCTGAAGTAGACTGATGGGTACTTTGGGTAGACAAAGGTGGCTGGGGTGAGGCTGAGATTGGAGGTCAAGTGAGAGAATGTAGGTCTTAAGGGAACAATAAAGTGAGAGGTTGATTGGGGTGAAGGAGATGATGAGATATAGGGAAAGGGCTCTGAATGGAGACTACTAGTGCCTAGTCCTTCCTGGTCTATCGGGATCCCTGACAATGCCTGACTTATGCCAACCTGTCCGGTATCATGGGGTTTGCTTGGCATCAGGGTGGGATGGTCGGGGTTGCGGGTCACATCAGGAATTTGCGATGTTTTGTGACCAAAATACAGGGATTTTTACTACAACATATATAAACCAGAATTATTATAGTGGTGGCAAAATACATGGCAGTATAAATGTGGGGCAGCAGACATAATGGCAGCAATCCTAGTCGCCGGGCGCATTTAAACATGAAGGCGGTACGAACGAATCAGGCAGGGTATCCCATTACAGGGAGGGGGTCCATGTATAACCGCTTATAAATATAACATCAAATCAACATTGAATTATACTGGTTTGATCCAAAAAAGAAGAGGATAAAAAAAAAGAATGGGCCCGAGCCCGGGATTGAACCGGGGACCTCGCGCAATATTGCTTTGGGTGAACCCCTGGAGAGTTTGTTAGTAAATTGTATGATTGGAAATTTGATCCACAAGGGAGACATACTAAGCGCGAATCATACCACTAGACCACCCGGGCGTTGATGTATTAAGTTTCAGAATTGACATATATAAGGAAAGCCAACACGCACACAAAATCGTTCACATAAATTACGCCTTTTCCGCCTTTCTTTACCGCCAACCTATCTAAAACAGGATGATACCTAAGAAGACTACTAAATAATACCACTGAAAATACTACTGAAAAGTAAGCTATAAAGGGTGTAAATATTCAAGTTAACATTAATCAATCATATTCAATGCTAGTTTGACATGAATGAAGTAAAAAATAAATGGAAGAAAAAAAAAAGAATGGGCCCGAGCCCGGGATTGAACCGGGGACCTCGCGCAATATTGCTTTGGGTGAACCCCTGGAGTTGTTGTTAGTAAATTGTAAGATTGGAAATTTGATCCATAAGGGAGACATACTAAGCGCGAATCATACCACTAGACCACCCGGGCAGTTGATGCAAGATAGTTCAGAATATGGCTATACAGTGACAGCACTGTTCCACTCGATAGATGTTCTACTTGATCTTTTCATTATGCTGAGAATCGCGCTGAGTGTCTTTTTCCTCCCATCCTGAAATAGATAGAAGGCAATCTAGAACATACCATTCAAAACTCTTGCTCTATCCGTGAGCACAGTCAAGGACGACGCAATGTTCCCCCGTAGAGACCGGTTAAACTCGGTGTTGCATGACCTGCCCCCAAATATATATAATGATCTGACTTGAGGAGTATATCTATCAACACACTTTTATCTAAAAGCTGTAAGGTATTGCTTTGATATACCCCACTAGACAAAAACCAACAATTCCAGATTACATATGATAATTCGCTAAATACTGGAATGGAATCTAGTTACGCTGGATGCAAGTCTCGACCTCACCCACGTCAGATATACAAGAAGGGCCAGCCGTTGAGAATAAGGATATGGGATCCTAGATCCTATAGATATATCCAAGCCATGACATCCAACTATGCACGCAATACTAGAGGATATGCGAAGATTATTTTCATTATGTCAAACACTGCAGCCATGCACTGCGGTGGCCTCGCAACGGATCCACTAGGTGGAGGCTAAATTAGCCTACAAGTAACGGCGCAAAGGTGGCGCATTCGTAAGCGCATGTTATTAATAGTCGAACATGAAAAAGCCAAGAAACCAGAAGGAAACAGGAATAAAAGAATGGGTCCCGTTCGGTCAGGCCTAAAACCAGGCAGTTGCATACTATACGGGTTCCACCCACTAGAATGTCATGACATCGTCTACAGGTAGTAATGTTGAAATGAGATTCCATAATTTCCGAATGTCAGCGTCTCTTCTTTTGTTCTTTTTACCCTCGGTCCGGGGGTGGCAGGTGTGCCGGACGTTTGGCCGAAGAGTATTGAGCATCACCAGACAGCCGATTCCGGGGGAGATCAGGGCTCCCTCTTTATAGATAATTGTAATGATTGGCCAAAAATGGCATCTCCAATGACATGACCTTGATATATGGAGGATGATATGAATTGATAATTGCGCATTGTGTGTTGATCCGGTGATGGCGGTGAAGATGAGTGATGAACGGCCCACAACCATAGATTTTCGTGCGAAGACGTTTCCTCTTGAGATTGGCGCTCAATTTTCACTAATCAGCTTAGTATCCCAAGGTTAAACCTATCCAATCAACCTACTTAGCTCTATCTAGCAATTGACCGAGCTAGTCTTGGCGAATATGAATAACATAAAAGATCGAAGAATCGCACTACCAGGTTGACAAATTCAAAATCACCTTGAAGGACAACGATTCCCGAATCCAAAGAGCAAATACCCTGGATTTAAAATATGAATGGTTCTTCAGATGAGCCTCTCGACCATACATGGAAGTGTAGTCCTTGGACACTTTTGCCGCTGTTCCGTAATTTTTCATCTTCACATGGAAGAAAAACAAAACAAAGAGGAATGCTAGATCATAATGGCTTCCTTGACTCCTACATATAACAAATTGGAGAATAAATATAACATTTATCTGCTGACAATTCAACATACTCACGAAGGATACGATTATTTTAGTATGAATTGAAAATTAACCCCCAGAATCCTTCCTCAAATCCTCCCGTATAAAGACTGAAAGGATCGATTAGCATCGGAAGGAATAGAGAACGGTTAAACTCAAATTAGAAAGACGGTAAGCCCCGAAATGACAGGGGTTTGACCGTTGATCCGCTGAAGTTTTATTCTAGAAAGGGAAAACCCCCGAAACATGTGGATCTCTTCTGAAGATCAGCAGGGATGTTCTCCATACAAATTAAACTATCGATGATCGTTCGGCAAATGTCCCTGGGAAAGAAATCAGGCTTGGCTATATGCGGGTAGATCGCCATGAGCTAGTGGCCGCGGCATGTCAAGTCTCCAACGGCTTCTGATAAAATTGGGGAACCATGCGAGCAAGCCCGGAGTTCAGGGGGGAAAAACATCGCATAAAAGCTGGGATGATTTCTCTTTTCGAAGGCCAACTCACTCCAGTCATTCTTTGTCAATATGATTCTTTCTTATATCTTTGGCCTGCTGGTCGCCACGTCCGGCCTGGCCAAGGCCGTTAACATCACCGGTTACGAATATGTCGTCGTCGGTTCCGGTGCTGGTGGTGGTCCCCTAGCCGCCCGTCTCGCTTTGGCCGGCCACAAGACACTGCTCCTTGAGGCTGGTGATGACCAGGGTGAAAACTACAACTACACCATTCCTGGATACTCCGCCAGAGCCTCCGAGGACGAAAAGCTCTCTTGGAACTTCTTCGTTAACCACTACGAAGATGAGGAGCGCCAGGCTCGCGACTGGAAGGCCAGCTACGACACGCCCGATGGTCAGATCTACACCGGCCTGAACCCTCCCGAGGGCTCGACCATGAAGGGTACCCTTTACCCTCGTACCGGTACCCTCGGTGGTTGCACTGCCCACAATGCTTTGATCGCAGTCTACCCCCACCAGTCCGACTTCGAGTACATTCAGACCCTCACTGGCGATAACTCCTGGACACCCGATAATATGCGCAACTACTTCACCAAGCTTGAGAAGAACGGTTACAATCTTCCTATCGGAGGCGACAAGGGCCACGGCCACGACGGCTGGTTGTCCACCGAAACTGCTCCCCTTAGCATTGTCTTGGAGGACCCCCAGCTGCTGAGTATGCTCGCCGGCGGTGCCTTTGCGCTCGGTAACAGCACTGACCACCTTATGAACATTGGAACTTTGCTGGTTGGCGATGCCAATGCCGATAAGAAGACCCGTGACACCGAACCCGGCTACTACCAGATCCCTATCTCCACTAATGATGCCCACCGCAATGGTCCCCGCGAATTTATCATCGCTGTTCGCGATGCTAAGAACGAGGATGGCTCCAAGAAGTACCCCCTTGATGTCCGCATGAACACCCACGTTACCAAGGTGACCTTCGATGAGACCGACACCGAAGGCCTTCCCCGCGCTACCGGTGTCGAATTCCTCGAAGGTGAACACCTGTACAAGGCCAGCCCTATGTCAAGATCCGCTCTTCCTGGTACTCCCGGTTCCGCCACCGCTTCTCGCGAAGTCATCGTTGCCGGCGGTGTTTACAACTCTCCCCAAATCCTCAAGCTGAGTGGTGTTGGACCTGCCGAGGAACTCAAGAAGTTCGGTATCAAGGTCATCAAGGATCTCCCCGGTGTTGGCACCAACCTGCAGGACCACTATGAGATCTCCGTCCAGGGTAAGATCGAGAAGGACTTCTCCTGCTTGGACAAGTGTACCTTCAGCATTCGCGGCGAGGAAGACCCTTGCATCATCGACTGGGAGTCTCCTAATATCCTCGGTGACCGCGGTATCTACTCCTCCCCCGGTCTCGCCGCTACTATGCTGTACAAGAGCTCCGTTGCCGGCGATGACTTCGACATTTTCGAATTCGGTGGCCCCGTCAACTTCCGCGGTTACTTCCCCGACTACAGTATCAATGCTACTGATGAACACAACTGGTTCACATGGGCTATTCTCAAGGCCCACCCCCGCAACACTGCCGGTACCGTCGCTCTCCAGTCCGCTGATCCCCTCGACATGCCTAAGATCAGCTTCAATTACTTTGACTCCGGTGTTGGCGACTACGATGCTGATCTCACTGCTCTCTACGAGGCCATTGAGCTCGCCCGTGATGCATTCAAGCGCCAGCCCGTCAACATCACTGAGGTTCTCCCCGGTGCCGAAGTCCAGTCTGTCGAGGACATCAAGAACTACGTCAAGGACGGCGCTTGGGGTCACCATGCCTCCTGCACTTGCCCCATTGGCGCTGATGGTGACCCAATGGCTGTCCTGGATTCCAAGTTCCGTGTCCGCGGTGTCTCTGGTCTTCGTGTCGTTGATGCTTCCGTTTACCCCAGGATCCCTGGTACTTTCACCGCTGTGTCTACTTACATGATTGCTGAGAAGGCTGCTGATGATATTCTGAACGAGCTCAAGTCCAGCGCTTAATTCATTTCAATGTACATATAGATGTGAAGTTTGGAGCTTTGGCTTTTTTTGGATGGATGTGTTCGGTCTTATCGCTATACAGTCATTCATTATAATGTATTTTTAATAGATCAAAAATAAGACATGATCCGTCCTTTGTTGGCTCTCAACCTAAAGTCAGAAACGATCTAGAGCGCTAGACTGAGTCTATAACTCATTTTGGACTCGGATGATACGCACGGTGCTGCAGTACCCCTGCCTGTCGCTGTGTGAAGATGAAAATAACTCACTTGAGCCTGAGCGGGAGCGTTGCTTAATCTATTTTATGGAAGCCAAGCCAAGGAAAAGGGCAAATTGCGTAGAAGGCGCTATCCAGGACACGTCCATCCTTAAATTATGCTATCTTGCACTTTAACTCGTGGAAAGTGATACATACAACCATAGGTGGAAAATAGGGCTTCCCATCCGCTCAGCCGTACTTCCCGTATAATCCGCACGGTTAATTCTCCATGCGCCCTCAGCACTTAAACGGCACACTAGGGTGGGTATAGCAAGTACCGCGCACAGGCTTTATTTTTAGTTGAAAGAAGAAATGCCGGTTAATGTGGTAATTATAATTAATATTAAAAAAAAAAAAAAAAAGAATGGGCCCGAGCCCGGGATTGAACCGGGGACCTCGCGCAATATTGCTTTGGGTGAACCCCTGGAGAGTTTGTTAGTAAATTGTAAGGCTGGAAATTTGATCCACAAGAGAGACATACTAAGCGCGAATCATACCACTAGACCACCCGGGCAGTTGATGTGAAATCCTTCAGGATATGCCTATATAAGGGAGATTTTGTGTGGCACCATATATAAGCGAAGTATTAACAGCTCTGTATATACCACCCGTGAGTCGTCTGGAGGATGTCCTGCGAGGATCTTCACCCCCGATGGCTTCTAGCATGTTGTTCCAACTTCCAATTCTTCATAATTCCAGATTCCAGTGCCCGAGTGTGCTGGTAACTTCTGTATTGATTTAACGCCATCATGGGACTTTTGGCTCAGACGAGATTTATTGAACATCTCATATGAGCAATGAGGACAGTTTCCTCGGGTATCAAAATTTTATACTTCCATCACAAAATCAAAACATGTTATCACTATGCCGTCGGTAAGTCTCCACATCCACGCTTGTTGTCACATCAATGCGATCAATGCGATCCGTGTGATTGTCGTGATAGGACCGGTCGCCACTCTTGGACGATGCTGACGCATACCAGTTGGATAGCTTATGCGTGTCGTCTTCGTTGGTGTCCTTACGACCGCCTTTCCGAGTGATGAATCGTATGAAGGGTCCGAGAGAGGGGAGGCAAGCTTGATATTTTGTTAGTATTATAATACTTATACAGGTGGAGAATGTAAGCTTACCAGAGACAATGCCAATGTTAGTCTCCACAGCAGTCCATGTGGAGGGACCAATAAATACCCATGTTACATCGACGGACGGCGTTTTGTATGAGTCCAACATGACCACTAACCGAAAGATTGATATGATGCAAATGCTGTGCTGATTAGCATACTGAAGCTCGCCCGTGATAGAAAGGATAATACATACAATCCCCCCACTGCAAAAGCTCCACATAGAGCGATCTTTTGAGGGGTGTTTTGCTGGATCTTCCAGACATACGGTAGGGGCAAGATCAACAGAGCCCAGTCGGTGATAATATTCGGGACTGCGTTGCCGATGAAGAAGTCGTTGATGTTCACACCACACTTGGCAGTGATGGAGTAATCCCACAGTCCTTGGATAGGTATACATTGGAAGAGTGTTGTGAGGATCTGTGGAATACTAATTAGTCGAAGGATTCATAGGAAGCTGGGAATAAGCAGGGCTTTGGGTCCTTACCACACCAAGTCCCCAGCCTGTGACCAAGCATGCAATGATACAGATCGGGATGCGAATGTTGGTTCTATTAAAGATGCGCCAGAAGAATAGCAGGATGGAGTATTTGGTGCAACACAGAGCTAGTGTGTAGAGGATCTCGCAGACGAATAGATTGAGATAGAAGTGTGAGACGCCCGTCTGTCCTAAGGGATAGATATGGAGGCCGACACCTCGATGAACCCAGATCATCATGTCGATATAATTGCCCGTGGCAAATGCCTAATTGAGAAGCAGAGTTAGTCATTTGTCAAGGAAAGAAAAAATATTCCTATAAGCTATAGAAATCATTGAATGCAGTGCGGGGGATGGGGAAATTCCTACCAATGCGACACACATCATATAGTCATCCCACCATAAGTTAGTTTTGGAGACCTTTAGTCGACACAGCAATCGCAGTATAACCACAACCACAGCTAGACCATAAGTAGCTGAATATTTTGCGTACAGCTCGGTTTGATGTGACTCGTTAAGATCTATGCCAGGCGGAGGGGTGAGATCCATGATGATAGTGACAGACCGAGAAACAGACTGAGGATGGAGGGGCGATTATCATCAGTAGAGTAAATAAATTTATGACCGGAGTAGCGCACTGATAATATATCCTGTATGTCTATCTGTCCTTGGAATTGGCGACCGCCATGGGGAGTATTTAATTTCCGACCCCAAACACTATTATACTATCCTTGTCCACTATTATTATACTATCCTTGTCGGTAGATGTGGGTTTCAGCCAGGCCCAACTAAACTGGAAAATGCATTGGCATTGAACGAACCCCTGTAGGGGGGAAATGAGACGTTAAGATGCTCGGTTACTTTGGTGTTATCTACATACTTGTCAGGGTCTAGTGTAAGTGGTATATTAGGGTGTTATCCGCTGTTTATTGGATTCCTTCCTGCCACACCCAACATATCACACAATGACCACTATTCTATTTGTTCCTGGTGCCTGGATCACTCCGGCCTTCTACCAGCCATTCATCCATGCCCTCTCTCACGCTAGCTATGACGTTCAATACGCGGGTTACCCCTCGCTAGACCCCGAGGAACCACTCACTGCCACCTGCCAGGTTGACAGCGATGCTGTTACTGACATCCTCCAGTCCCTCGTAGAGGACGAAGGCAGAGATGTTGTGGTGTTTATGCACTCCTACGGCGGTATGCCCGGCTCTGCGGCGGCTAGCGGGCTTTCCAAAGTGCAGCGGGCGCAAGAGGGCAAAACAGGTGGCGTTATTGGATTATTGTATCTGGGCGCCTTCGTTGTGCCCGAAGGCCACAGTTGTGCCGGTCTTCAGGGCGGAGCTCTGCCCCCCTGGATCTTACTCGATCAGGTAAGAGGACAATTCCGCATTTACCATTTAAAGACAATAGAATTACTAACATATTGCAGCCCGAACCAAATGTCAATATTGTAGATGACCCGGTTAAAAACTTTGCTGCGGATGTCAATCACGGCTTGGTCAAGAAACTGACCAAATCAGTCAAGCCGCATTCGAATATTGCTTTCACCTCGACCCAGCCCCACCCAGCCTGGGCAGACCAGGAGTTCGAAGGGCGCTTGGGCTTTATTGTCACCACTGAGGATGCCGCCGTGCCGAAAGAGGCGCAAACCGGAATGATGGCCGCCACGCAGAAGGCATGGATTGTCAAGGAAATAGCGTCTAGTCACTGTGCCCCATTCATTAATCGTATCAACGAGACAGTGGGACTGATCCGTGAGATTATTGATCAATTTCTTTGAAGGGGAAACTCGAACTTTGACTTTGTGAAGAAATGTTGCAGTTACTGGCGATCAGATCGCCGGCACCACCCGGAATTACCACAGAAATCACGGAGCGGACAAATTCAAGCTTGAAAACCTTTAATGTTTTTTTTATTAGATTGTTCTATGTAAAACAACGCTCAGGACTCTCGCTTAATTACAAAATTAATCCCCATACGATCCTCCGGCATCCACTCCAAATCCTCATTCTGCATCCCCCAATCCTGTAATGCTACCACACTAACATCAATCGTCCACCGTGTCCCCGTCCCCTGCTGAACTATATCCCACATGTGCAGGAATGATTCGCGGTTATGGTAAAACATCATTCCCCAGGGCCGAATATAGGCCCGTGCTCGTTCCCGCCCCTGCTGGAACCCGGCTACTATAGTCCCTGGTTTAGAGAGGCCGACGATCTTCGTACTCGCCGCTATCTGTCCCTCCCAGTCGAACAGATGCAGGAACTGTGACGCCAACACTAGATCCACTCCTCTTAATGCAGTAAAGCGGGAATCCTCTTGAATACTTATTTCTTGAAAATCGGCATGGATGAACGTGGCCTGCATGCGCCCCTCGTCACGAAAGAGATGATAACCCAGCCCCCATAGGTGGGCCTCGATGTCTAGCGCCCACATGTGCTCCGTGGAGACACCGTGTGCAGCCAGGAGCCGTAGATCTTGACCGAGTCCACATCCCAGATCGAGGATGATTGCCTGGGGCTGTTTCGCGGTTTCAAGGATGGTGGGGAATTGAGGAAAGGCTGCAATGCCTGGGAGTAGAAACATCCATAGACCGATACATGGGTATTCTCCCAGCGGCCATGCCTGATCGCGCTATAGGATTTACTTTTTTAGTATATGGCGTCATCGGAGGTCCTGTTGGTGCTTACGATTTGATGTAGGTGGGAAGTCAATTCCTCGTCTGCTATTCCGCTCCATTGGCGGAATACGAACTCGGTGCTTGGTTTCAACCGGGGGCCGATCTCTGGTTGGAACCAAGCTGAGGTATCAATCGTGGACATTGTGAATATAAACGGAAAGATGTGGCGCTGTTCATACTTGTTCTTACGATATATGCCTGGGTAGAATGGACGATTTCGTCATTTGGGTAATTATTTCATAGTGCAATGCATATTCATCTATGTTGTACTCCGTACTCCGTACTCCGTATATACTTTCATAGTATCGATCGATTTTCACCGGCGATCCCATCGGTAATTCGTGGCTGTTGCTAGCGCGCGTCGGATTTCTTTTGCGTACCGTCCCGAGGTCACTATACCGAGGTAAATAGCACATTCTAGATGACCTCCTTTAAATAAAGTTTTGTTAAATTAATTGTAGAAGAAGATAGCCAGGATAATAAACATTGAATGTGTTGAACAATTGAAGATCACATTATTGAGAGAAAGACCCGTTAGCCCGAAATGTACCTCGACTATCTTCCAACCATCTATGCATTCCACATAATGCATTACGGCAATTCACAAAATCCCAATTGGTCTCTATGCCGCTAGTTATAATAATTGTGGGTTCCAATTTTTCCGCCCCCGGTTACATCCCCGTCACAGATTAGCCACCGGCCCGGTGGAGAGGAATTGATTGATCCCCACCACTTCAGACCCATAAACAGCTTGCATGTAGGCAAAGCTCTGCTCCTCTGGTAAATGCAGACCCGCCGTACACTCGCGGACCACAGTGGTCCACAGCCCCCGCTGGAAAGCGCCTCGGACCGCGGCGTCCACACAAATATCCGCAAACAGACCCACAACCACGAGATGCTCGAATCGGGTAACATAGTTTGTAAAATCCTCCCCAAGGAACGGGTCAAAATACGCCTTTTTGTCAAAGACCCGGTCGGCTGTATGCACCTGCACGCAGCTGGCAATCTCCGCTCCCCAACTTCCCTCTTTGCACCACGCCCGCCGGCCCTGCATCTGATTGCGCTGTCGCCATGTCGCTGGTTGGTACTTCTCATCGCCAAGGAATCGCACCCAGGCAATTTCAATTCCCTCGCGACGAGCCCAGTCCACGACGCGCGGCATGTACTCTTTAATTCGTAGCATCACCCGTGGTGTCTTGTATTGCGCCATGAAGTCATTCTGGAAATCCATGACTACCAGACACGACTTGGCCCGGTGGGGCGAATACGAATCGACCCGGTGGGGGGCCGAAGTCGGACCCTCGGCACCAGGATGGTTTGCGCTAACATTTATGGGGAGATTGGGGGCGATCCTTCGCAGGAGAGCATCCACAAAGGGTTCAGTCTTCGTCGTCCCGCCTTGATCGAATGTCCGGATATTCTTCGCACGCAGCTCGTCCAGGGTAATATCCATTTGGCGTTGGACACCCTGGCAACCTCCATAGCGTTCTAACAGAGCTGCCGCCGCGCGAATGGTCGCTGTTGGATTGACTACACCCTTCCCGGTAATGTCGTCTGCGGAGCCATGCGCTGTCTGGTACTCGCTTAGGCCTTTATCCACTCCGGCTGCGAGATAAACGTTCTCCGCACAGGCAGACTCCTGTGCTCCAAAGCCAAACCGATCCAGCAGCATCGTCTGCATGATGTCTGCGTATTCATTTGAGCATATCAACAGCTGATTGCCCTGGACGCCGAATGCTAGGAGATTGCGGTTCATCGTGTCGCCTTGTATGAATTGGATATCCACGCCGTAGGATTTCTTCCACTCCTTTGCCCATGAGTAGAAAAGCCCGTCGAAGAGGTGGAATTTGTACACTAGAGTAACAGTGGGGGGTTCAGAGCCCCAAACCTCGCGGGAACGTGCAAGTGAAAAGGTAAGGATTTGATCAAAGACCTTCTTGCTGAAATATGATGATCGTGAGACTGTCTCCTGGTTTGAGTCCATCTTGTTCAAACCAGAGTAGAATCCCTGAGCCTGATCCCGCACTAGCAGCATCGACGCAGAGGAGCTCAGTTTAAAATGCTCAATTTTCACAGCTTGTAGCCTGTCTCGAACCATATACAGCGCCTGTGCACTGATGGATGTTCGAAATATCGCGCATGCCCCAAGACTAACTACTTGGCGACAGAAGGCTTCATAGTGATCCGCATCCGTGAGGGTCTCGCTACTCACCACATCGGTGTCATTGATGGCCAGGAGCGTTGAGTAGGAATGATAAGTTCGCGGAGAAGTGACGAATCGGATTTCCACATTGTATGGCGCTGCTAGTGCGATAATGACCTTCTCAAATATAGCCAGTAATTCAGGGCCAGTGCCATTTCCCACGGCTAGGGCAACCAGAATAGAGCGCATGATGTGAGTCGGTGAGGACGGGGAAAAGATGGAGGGGACAACTGGGTTATAGTCCCGAATCTCATAGTTCTATCCCTCTGCGGAAAGCCACGTTGTAGCAAGCACTATATGGTGGAGCACCGTGCGACAGGGGGCGAGGAACCCTTCTGATTGATTGGCGTGGGGGCCGGTAGTTCAAGGGTGGGGTGATGAAGAAAGTAAGCAATTGTCTCTGATCATTTTTGGGATAAGGCGGGCGAGTTGCCCCTCCTTTGCCAAACAATCTCTCCGTTTTTCTTGTTAGTTTCCTAATCGGGCCTCCGCCATGTCCTCAACCATTGAGTCAGGCTTTCACCTGGCAGATAGTAAAGGCTACATGCTTGGCCGAGGCCATGCTGCTGCTTGCCGTCTCAATCTCCAATTTTATCTCTGGAAAGATTCACTCAAATTTAACATTCACCCCTCTGTTGAAATTCCCCCCAACCCTGTCATAGCAGACGTCGGCACTGGAACTGCCATATGGCTACTCGACGTAGCTAAGTCAATCCCTACTGCTACTCTTGATGGCTACGACATCGACCTCTCCAACACCCCTCCAGCCCACTGGCTCCCCAAGAGCCTCACCCTGCATAAATGGGACCTCTTTGACCCAGTCCCAGAGCATCTGGTGGGTACATACGACATTGTCCACCTTCGTCTTCTCATCCTAGTTGTGGAAAACAGTGATCCTGTGCCCGTTATCCGGAATGCAGCCCGTCTGCTCAAACCCGGTGGATATATCCAGTGGGACGATCTAAATTACCCAGACACCCATGTGTTGAAAGTTGATCCAGCACTGGAAACTCCGGCATTTGACCGTTTACTCCAATTTGTCTATTCAAATGGCCGCCATGACTGGGTATTGAATTTACCTACACTGCTGGAGCAGAATGGCTTTGAGAGCCCGCAGCTGGACCACTTTCGGGATCGCATGGAACTTGCTACCGCCAATGGGGAGCAGCACTTGCTTACTATGGAGGAGTTTGCACAGTCGTTGGAGAAGGAAAGTGTGGTCGATGCGGAGAATATACGGGCGTTGGTGAAGGAACTTGCCGTAGAGGCGACTCATGGTGTGGCTTTGTCAATGCCCCGGGTCGTAGTTGCTGCGAGAAAGTTGAAGGAGTAGCTAGCTATAGTGATCTTTGCTATTTATATGTAATAGTGTAGTGAACTTTAATTTGTATATATTTATCATCAGCGCGGTAGAAGAAGTCTGGAATTATAATCTATCTTTGGCTATCGATCTCTGTGTGAGAACTATAAAATCGTAGCGTACAGTGTGCTGCAGTATAGGAGCTGCTGAAGCTGCTGAATTGAATTGAGCTACCTAGTTTTCTGTCATGTCATGCACTATATATAACTATATATCAGAGACTGGAGTATCTGAGCATAATGCTCAGATATAGTGGTCTTTTTGGCCTAGTGTGTAACTCGCCAGTCCAGGGGCAGGTTATAAAATTTTATGACATAAAAGTAGCTTACGAATTGCATCAATAGATCTCATAATAGCGGAAAAGCTTTAGTTATGTGGTGCTTCTCATCAAAAGCCCGAATTTTTGGAATATCTCAAACACAGCCAGGCTCCCCCTGTTGGAAGAGGCGTGATCAAGGGTGCGTTTGCAACTGATTAAGAAAGAAGTGTACTAGCCGAGACTCTGTAACTCCTTCTATAGCACGCTCATAGTATGGAATCTGGATCCGACCTGACTAAAATAATACAAAAATTCAGTTCCGCAAGGCTCGGGTGAAGCAGACCCATCACCGGTTTTATGAGCGCACTCAGAGCCAGCCTTCCTGCACGCGAAACTACAGATTAGCCAGTCAAGAAAGATCTGTGTGTAAATCTAATTGAGGCTCTCCAGATCACATATCACCCCGTATATAGATAGCTGCACCTTTCATCTTTTGTAGTTCTTACAACTACCACTTCTTCAATACAATTCATACTTTTACACAATTTGATGATCTATTGCACACAGCAGATCTTATCAAAATTTAGTGAGGGTATTGAGATCATCAAAAACTAGGATGCACGTCATTTTGAAAGCTCAATGCGTGAGGCTCTTGGCTTCGAATTTAAGTTCTCATAAAGGATCTAAAACAATGGCCGGATATGATTGAATGTATGTTATGAACCATTAAGTTCATACTTGAGGGAGTAGATCACCAGATATAAAAGCATCGAAGTCAGTGCTGATGAGGGGTATTCCCGACAACCATTCAGATCCCTTTTGTGTCTATTCCAAAAATACATAATCTTAACCATGATAAGCCAGAAAGGACTAGCTCTATTCAAATCCCACAAGCTAGGGCGGGTGTCATAGCCAATCAGGCCATCAAGAGCTAATGTGGAGGCAACTAGCCGCAAAGACGGCCCCGGGGGCCAGCCTCTTAAAGAAGGCTCTTGCTAACTTCTCTTTGTATTCTCTATGTCTTGAGACCTAAGCTGTCTGTCTTTATTCGCCTTGATCCGCCTATTAACTGTGATTATGATGCAAAGGAGTATAGTATATTCGATTTAACGCATTGTTCCCACGGACCGACAGTGTGCATTAGCGTCCTGCACTAGACAGGGTTCATGATAAATACCCCAAATGCTCTCTAGTTTTACGCCGATCAAAGAGGTCACGCTCATTACATAGCAGGGGTTGTTTAATCCTGGTTAATCGAAAAATTGCGTCCGCCCCCTTTCTGCGACCTCACATTTTCAACTCCACGAAATTTGCCTTACTACCACAACTCCCCCTGGAAATCAGCCGCCGCCTGCCCCAAACAGATTATTCTAATTGATGCTCCTAGGTGCAGCATGGCAGGAAATTTTACATTTCCAACAGAAGACGAAAATCGTTTTATAGTGGCAGATCTGGTAAATGTAACCTGGGATGTTGTCGCTCCTCGGATTTCGCTTTACCAGACGTGTGGCAGTAACAACCGCATGCTAGAAGGTGAGCCTGTTTATTTGACTTTTCTTCTTGCTTTTTACAGATAACCTGACTATTACTTTTAGAGAGAAAAACCAACAAGTATAGCTACGTATGGACAGCGACTCGCAAAGACTACCTAGAGTCTGGCTGTAGCTTCATGCTCCAGCCGTTCACTACCGAGGGCGAGTCATATGGCAACAATATTACGAGTACTCTATTTGGGGTATCGAAGAGATACACAGATGATCCACCACCGGTATCGTACAATTTCATCGAACCATCACCATCCACGTCTACAAGCGCCACGAAAGCAACTTCCACCTCTCTCGCTACCTCGGCTAGTGTCGAATCTATACCACACTCAACTCCTACAACAACTCCTGAGTCGGGCCATGGCATGTCGAAGACGACTAAAATTGGAATCGGCCTTGGTGTTCCTTTAGGTGTATTGTTGGTAGCTGCTGTTATATGCGCGTTCATCTTCTATCGGCGGAAATCTCGCCAGAAAGAAACTCCGGAGTTGCCTGTTACAAATCAACCAATCGATGAACTGTCTCCGCTTCCTATGATTTGGTATAAAGAGCCTCATCATACGCGTCTGTCACAGACGGAGACATTGGCTTCTTCCTCGACGAAACTGTCAAATGATAATCAAAGATCGGAAGGAACAGACAGACGATTAAGTGAATTAATGTCTACTGAACGAGTGGAGATAGGCTGATTTTAGTACTGGCTTTCAATCATCGAAGTAAAGGAGATGGTACTCTCAAGGCCTTGACCCGCCCGACTCACCTTGGTTTTATAAGCTACCTAGGCTTTCAAGGTCCATGCATAGCTAAGAGTAGCTTAAATTTATAAGTCCCTGGATCCACGGAATCCTGTTTCTGTAAATTGTTTCCTGTACTGACCGCTTTTGGGCATGAATATGCCGATATTCACTGCGAAAGAACACTGTAAAGATTTTGTTGGGATCCTTGCAGTTAACCCGGGGGCCGGGGGAAGGGGTGATCCTATCCCATGTGGACGTTCCAGGCTCAAAAACAAAAATTCACAACTACAGAACACAGATGACGATCAGTGAGCAAAAGGCAAGGTCTGAGCACTAAAAAAGAAGAGGGAAGGCTAAGAAGTAGAGGAAATCGAGTAGGTCTATGAAAATAGTCCCTTTCTATTCCCCCAAGTGGGTCTCAGTTCACCTATGTTAAGAGACTTGCGAGTCATGCGAGTCATGCGCTGTCTCAACATGCATTCTCAGCCACAACATGCTTGCCGCTATCCCCCGCGCGGCCCGCGTTCGCTCATTTTCTTATCTCTTTGTCCCGTCGGAATCCGCTTTAGATACTAACAGCCAATGATAAAGATAGTACAGCTATATTTGGTTCTCACTACTGCATCTAGGAATAATTATCCTGTACCCTCGCACAGGAACCTATCAAATCCGAGGAGCTAAGGCGTAATAACCCCTCTTTTTGTGACATCTCGATGCAAACACAGCCTTGTAGCCGTCAACTAGCATGCCTTTCAGTGCCTATCGTTGGTTTCCGTTCTCAGGCATCCTCATTCCATGCACTTTAGCGCTGTCCAGTTTTATATTCCCAGGGCTGCGCCACGTCATTGTGGCAGAGTAGCCTGAAAAGCCTACTATCGGGATGCTTGCAAGGCTCCGAGCCAAAGAAATGACAGACATGGGTGTCCTGCTCAACTGGCTATAAAGCCATCGAAGGAAAGCCATTATAATCCAACACATCACAATCTGGTGCCTCTATTCCCCAATACATTCATAATGTCTTCTCGACGTCGCTACGCCGTAGATCCATCCTACCCCCCTCTATCCGAAATCATCGAGCTCGAACCGGAGAAAGAGCCATGGTGTGCCGGCTACGCCCCTTCAAAGGGTCGTCGGTGTCATGCCCGCACAAATGCACACGGCCGCAGATCAGCAACTGCCATTCTCAATGAGGGCACTAAAGAACTTCGAGCCGGTCGCAGCGTCACTTCACTGCTGAAGGAGTTAGCTCCTCACGTCCTATGCACAAGGTTCCACCAAAACCAAGCCTCGGATCTCGTCTCTCGCTGGAAAAGAGACGTCCGCGCATATCGGGATTCACAGGACGCTTATATACCACCTGCAAGGTCGACGAGGCGATCATCCCGAAGTGTCTATCTAGACTCCATTGAATCGGACTCGGAGGAGACAATTGACTTCCTTCAACAAAGACTTCGTTACCTACAAGAAGAGGTTCGCCGTCTCGAAGTCGCTCGATATGGCTCTCCAATTTCTGCACCTCCTCGTACTCGTCGTGTGGACAGAAGCACAAGCGCAGTCAGTTCCGGCAATGTGGAGCCTGCGCCACGCAGAAGTACTCCCCGAGAAAGTCTCGCCGAGGAAACAGTGAGAAGACGCCCACTTCAACCTATCAATGAGTCCGAGATCAATGTACCTCGACCGGCGCAAGCCCAAGTCAGTACTCAAACAAGAGAAGTTCCTGTTTCGAGCTCAAGACCAGCGACTCCACCAGCTACCGCCCCTGCCTCCAGCAGCACCGGAAATCCACAAATTCAGGATGAAGCTCCACAAGCCATTCGCCGCCAAGTGGAAGGAGAATGTGGGATCTGCTTGGAAAATTTGCATATCTCGCAAGAAGAGGTGGACACGAACGAGGAACAGGAGATTGAGCATAGCGGCGACAATGACGACGATAGTGATGACCATAACAACCCTGTACACGATGACCCTGAACACGATGACCCTGAACATAATGACCCTCAACACGATGAATCTGAGCACAATGACCCTCAACACGATGACCCTGAGCACAATGACCCTCAACACGATGACCCTGAGCACAATGACCCTCAACACGACACGATGACCCTGAGCACAATGACCCTCAACACGATGATCTTGAGCACACTGACCATCAACTCGATGATCCTGAGCACAATGACCCTCAACACGATGACCCTGAGCACAATGACCCTCAACACGATGTCCTTCAACCCAATGACCCTGAGCACAATGACCCTGAGCACAATGACCCCGAGCACAATGTCGCTGAACATGTTGTCCCTGAACCCAATGACCCTGGGCATAATGATGACCATGAACACAATGACCGCAACCACCGCCACGACCATAATTACCATGACCGCCATAACCGCTATGATCGCTATGACCGCCATCACTACCATGACACACGCCACCACCATAACCACAATCACAACCGTGACCACCATGACCACCATAGAGATGGTGATAAATCCAATGAACAAGAAGAAGAGGCCGAAGATGAGAAAGAACCCCGGGATGAAGAAGTGGTTTGGTGCAAGGCGCGTTGTGGAGTCAACTTCCATAAAAGCTGTATTGGCGAATGGCTAGAAAATGCTCGCTATCCCACATGTCCAACGTGTAGGAGTAATTGGGAACACTGAATGCGTTTGCGGAAGTTTTATTAATATTATGACACTGAAGACACATATATTATGGTTGAAATCAACATTCTTATATCTTGAATACTCTCTAGTCAACGTTCTTCCCAGGAAGTTAATCGTTTAGTTCAGCTAGCTCCACAATAAAGTCATATAAAGTGCGATGCAGTGGTATTTATTGACATGGCATGGTTTATGATGATAATGCAACCCATTCCAAAAGCCTAGGTTGCCATACGACCAGTCTCCATGCCAATACCAAAACTACAACCCATTTACCCCTACTTGTAGAGGTAGAAGTAGCAAACGCCAACATCATCTCCAAACCTCTTAGTATCCATGGCGCCAATAACGAGGTCGTCATTAACATAGCGGAAGTGGTCAATGATAGCGTGGTCGTTGTAGATCATAGCGGTTGACACAAGACCACGGTAACGCATCTCACGGAGCTGGATTGTGTCAGAACCCGCTTCATCCCCCAAAAAATTGGGGTAACTTACGATAGCATGGCCCCAGTTCTCATCGCATTCACGCTTCCCATCCTTTGACACAACAATAGGGTCGACGTCCTCAGTGGAGTGGAAGTTCTTTCCAAGCCAGTCCATCTCCGTGAGACGGTCACGGCCGGGATGACCGGTGTTAAAGACCCCACCCTTCCATTCACCGTGGAGGAAATCGAGGGGAAGAGCTGGGAGCTTGTCGAAAGCAGTCTCGATCTCGGATTCAGTCACTTTCCTGTCATTGGCAACGATAGCAGCGACTTCATCCTGGACGGAGCTAGAATGTAAAGATAAGTACAACGCTCAATTGGTAAGAATATATATGCTGATATATACCTTGCAGACATGGTGTAAATATATTCTGAAGAGTATAGAAGATAGAGTGTAGAAGATATACTGAGTAAATCTTGAGATAGCCCCAATGAAGAGGGATGTCTCCCGTAATTTGTAGTCAAGGAGCCTACATTGATTCTGTCTACAACATCGATCTGTGAGGTTGGACAGCATCGATGCTATGTACATATGTAACAAACATGTTGGACGACATTGAACATCAGGTCAAGTTGATTGGGTGATAATGCTGGTGTTGGTTTCACGAGCCACGCGGAAGCCTCAAAGTGGCAAAATCAGATGACATAACCCGATTAGATAACCTTAAAATATGCGGGCTATTCCCGATTAGGCTAAGTTACTTGAACTATAGAAATGTTCATATCATTGAGAGTTTTGTAGTCAGATGTTCTATCGAGAGGTTCAAAACCCGATTGTTACTGGATACATTTCCCAATGCACCTTGATTACACAACAGCTGGTGATCAAAGCGAAGGATTACCGGCTGTCGGCAGTCACACTCTACAAAGTTGAACTCCCCTTGAACAAAAAGAGAACCCTGACAATAGTTCGATGTGATTACAGAAAGTATTGAGAGTTTGATCTACATCGATTGATCAACAAGATTATTGAAAGGCCAGATCGAAAGGTGATAAACGCTGAGGACTGGATGGAACTTACTGCATGCCATACTCCAATGACGTAGCATTTTTACAAAACTTGACTTTTCTAAGTTACACTGTTCCCAGTGCTGCAGCCCGCGACAAAAGACCTGGTACTGAGACTTGCTTGGTGCTGCAGATACAAAATATTTGCTCCCTCACACACAAAGCAACCCCTCAAAGTGAACCCGCTGCTAGCAAGAACCCACCGTCCACAACAATTGTTTGTCCGTTGAGATATTGATTTGAGACAGTGAATAGTACAGCACCTGCCATATCCTCATCTTTTCCTGGGCGTCTGGCTGGAACCTTGCCTTCGTATTTTTCTTTCGGGATCGTGCTCTTTTGCTTTTCATCGCTGTCCTTAGCCGTCATTTCCGATGGGAAAACTCCCGGCGCGATATTGTTGACACGAATCTTGGCGTTTGAGGAAATGATTTCATGGGCTAACATTTTAGTAAGATGGACGGCAGCTGCTTTACTAGCGCTGTAGGCGAAATGGTGCTGAGCAGATTTGACAAGTCCTGAAACCGATGAGATATTGACCACAGTGCTAGACCAGCCGAATGTTTCTTCTGATGCTTTACAGAGTAAGGGTAGGAAAGCGGCGGTCATGAAGAATAGCTGGCTGACATTGGTTCGCATCACGTCTTCCCATTCTTCGACCGTGCTTTGATTCTTGAACAGCTCTTTCTGCACTGCTTGGGGGTCTTCTTGCTCTGTGTTTTGAGTCGGCGAGCGAATGCCAGCATTATTGACCAAAATATGCAGTTTGCCCCCCTCCTTTGAGGAGATCTCGTCGACTAGCTTCTGGATCGAATCCTTCGAGGTTATATCGGCGGCGATCGGGATAATTGAGCCTGGAATATCTTTTGAATATAACTCTGCAACACGGTCTAGTTTCTCTTTTGTGCGACTTGTGATGTAGACCTTGGCACCATTGACAGCAAGAGCTTGAGTGACCATCAAACCGATACCTGACCCTCCACCAGTCACGAGAGCGACTAAGCAGTTCATTAGCAACGCCAGTCAAGATAAAACCAGATCAAACAATGCTAGTGACACACCTCTATCCTTCACGTTGAACAAATTTTCAAGCTTGAAGCTGTTGTTGCTTTCTTGAGCAGACATTTTTCTAACTTATTTTGCACGCTTTAATAAGAACTGTACGGTTTTTTGTTAAAAGATCGTTGATAATGACTCCTATGAACTCAATGAAGAGCATTTTTATGTCGTGTATAGCCACATAAGATACGTCATCTGTACTTCAGCCTTCATTTCGGGTTGACTGATCTAGATCGATGTAATAAGCGCCACACATTGATCTCAAGGTTACTCCTGCATGACTTAGGCCATAGTGTTGAAGGCAAGTGGCGTAGTTCCTAAACGAACAAGAACTCGCTGGTCAATTGTCTCTGAAAACGTGTTTCCCTTCATTTTTCTCAGTCATCCTATCCAACACGGTCCATTTCATAACCGGAATATAAACGAGGTTCATCTCACATGTCAGGCGCCAGATATATATACGGAATGGTGAATGTTGGTCTCCATTGTAGTTCTAATAATGTCATTTTGTCATCGGGGAAGGGTGCTTAAGAGTTTCGCGATAGTTGGCATTTGTAGATACAGTTTACAATGTGCGAAGTCAGGTTCAATGATCATGTGGGTGTATTGGAAGGACCTAGCATGTGATTTGAATGTGCCTACGGTTAGTCCGGGATATTCACGACCACACGAAGGTCACAATAACCCACTGTATTGTTGAGTCCTTGCATAGAGAGTCAGATTTGGCTCGCCTAAAGATATCTCACATATGTGAATACTCTTATATTCCTTTATACAAGCATACAATATGATAATCGCTGTGGAAGCTTGAAATTTGACCCTAGTGCGTAGATTTATTTACCTAGTGACGTACACAAATTGACTGTTTCTCACAAGAGCTGGTAGCTTGCAAGTCACGATAATAATATGAACCCGATAGCACGATCACCCACTCTATTCCTCTGGATTCTCCGGATGCTGGCGGGCTGCATGACCTCCTCTTCGGCCTGCTTCCCTAGCTCTCTCCTCTCCAGGCTGGAACTTGCCACTTGAAGCGTGACCACCCTTCGAGGCAATGTTCCTCTGTAGATGTGTTAGCCATGGTGGTGTGTTATATATCAACGCTTTGCGTACCTGTTTCTCACGATCCATTGAATAGAATCCACTGTGATGGCTGGACTGTCCACCTTTCCGAGCAATATTCTCGACCTCTTCGTGGGGTCGATTGGCAAAATTTCCAGGGTTAGGGTTGTCGGTCATTTTTAGGATATGTTCAGTGATGAAAGAGTATGTACTATGTGATCGAATAAATCATTGTACTGTAGGGACGATTCACTGCGTTCTTATGTGCGATGCTAACCACGACCTATTTCGCCTCACTTAGCCTTGATGTCGATTTGACGTCTTCGCGAAAATTCTAATGAAGTAATGATGATCTCCTGACAAAAGCCACATGGAAATATCAATGGCAAGTCTGTCGATCTAGTGTTTTCGAGAATTGAGCGGCACTTCCCGTAGTGGGACAACCACGCCACTAATTTATATTCAATTTGTACTGGAACTTTCCAATGCGGGGGAGGCATTGATTGACCATGGCATAGCTATGTCGCCACCACAGCATAGCCACATCTGACAGCAGAAAGAACAATCTATCAATATCGGTATGCCTGTTCACGCAAGCAAGCCTAGTACCAGGGACAGATAGTACTTGTTTCACCCTTCTAGAAAGCTTCGCTAGCTTGCTGGTTCCAGGGGTTTATCGAACCTCACTAGAATGGCTTGTCCAGTTTCCACTCGCACGTATGACCATTGTCTGGGGTATGAAGTGAATATGGACAATAGAGATGCGTTATGCATTTGTGTAGCCAATCCAGGATAGTATAAACAACAAATCCAAGATCATTTTTGATCACCAACTTGAACAAAGAAGTTATACGTAAAAATCTAGTGCAATCAGCTAAAAACCGGGTTCTATCCTATAGCAGCCAAATTTGTCAAAAGTTCTCAGAATGCGACCTCTCAATATCATTGCATCTCACTCGAAAGGCTGATATCAATACTGCCGGTTGTTCTATCTAGAGCTACATCCTACGGGATCTCATAGGCACGCATTTATATAGCTTTGATGATCTTTGTTCAATTTCATCCTATTGACAAGCAAAGCAGTTCGAGTTTTGGTGTCCCGTAAAGACCGAATAAACGCACGATTGCGAATCATATTGCTTCTGCCGGCAATTCATCCTCACCTGGCCCCTCATTGTACCTGTTCGCAGTTCGAGGCTTTGCATGGCGAAGGCGCTCTCCTCTCATGATGTTGGACTTATTGATCGCCTCCCTCTCGTCCTCCGCTGTATTTTGTTAGACTAATTGTAATATTGGACAAGGAACATAACCTGAACTTACCAAGTTGCTGGTCAGAATTGGAGTATGGAGGCTGGACGGGATCTTCAAACGACTCATTGTCTGTCTGGACAGGAACCTGATTTTGCAAGGCTGGCGCTGTTTCTCTGACATATGAGTTATCTTCGAAATCACCGGTCACAGGAGAGTCATCGTTTTGTCTCTCATATTCATCTTCTGCGACTCTTTCGGCGGGGTTCGACATTTTGAGTTGAGTGGAGTTGTAAATTCGAGTGAGTTGTATACAATGTTTCAAAGTAAAAGTTTGAGTATAGATACAATTGGACGTGATCCTAGAGCTGTTGGCTAGATTCGTCATAAAATAGTCAAATCTTGCCCACGCTATAAATTGTATAATCTTCTTGACGCATGAGATGCGTAATTCGAAGCCGCCACCACATAACGTGATGGCCAGTTAGTCAAGATATTGGTCCAGAACAAAGCTCAACGCATTAAATCACATGAAAAGAGCGATCGAGCAATACGAGAAAAAGAAATTCTCTTAGATATCATGATACCAATGTGCCCCCTATGCCAAATTCAGGTGCTGGCTTAGTTTACTCTAGGAAAATAGGAGGCTTGAGGTATCTTTCACTATTTCTAGCCGTGTTTGACAGCAATATCTGTTAGCGTTGGTTAACACATCATTATCACGTCGTCGGTAAACCAATCTCCTGGGGCGATACTTACAACCATATGACATACATACACTGTCATAAAGCTCTTGAAATAAGCAGCCTAATCAATTTATAGGTAAATTACTATCTTCTGTGATTTTCATACACCGATTACTAGTGACGGAGCTGATCCTACAGCCCTAACGACTCTTACGGATAGCAAGAAGAATAATAATAATAATAACCTTGGCCAGTGATATTAATAAAAGACGACTCTAAGGAAGGCTCATAAGAAGAAGTATTCAAAGAAATCAAGAGAAGGAGGAAGGAGATCCGTAAGCTATATAGTGTGGTTCCCGCCATTATCAGATACTTTGTAAATTCTCTCCAATATGAGGCTTCTATAAATTAGCGTATCATATCCACGGGTATTATATAGCCAATAATGGCTAGGCCATATATATACTCGAGTCACAGGTAATGCATAAGTAATTAATATGAGAATTAGCAAAATGATACCCAAATTCTCGCCTCAGTTCTCAATTTTTGGCCTAAAGTCCAGTTTAGCCTTGGCGTTTCAAATGAAAGAGATTTGATCCAAGATCCAGTATTACATGGATCATGAACTCGTAGTTTGCATCGTTGGACTTGCACTCTTCATATATATATCGAGGGATTGGCATGCAAGCAATCATCTGAACACTGTCCGGACATCGACTTCAAAATGTTGTTATATATCAAGCCAGAGGGTAACTTTACACAAATAGGAATACAAAGCAACTGCCAAGACAATCTATAGCTGGAATCTTTGTATACGCTAACTTAATTTCTCGACATCCTTGCACCTCCGGTGCTTAGTCCGAGTAACAAAGACAAGTAACAAACCAACGAGTTCAATGGCTTTCTTCTTCCTTTCATTCTTTTCCATTTATATTTCCCTTGTATATAAAAGTAGTTCCTTGTTTACTCGAGCGAGTAATCCGGCCTCCAAAGGTATATATAATCCTCGAGATCACCGCACTACATCCAACTCACCAAACACCAGTCTACTCAATCTTCCACCTATTTGTCAACTGAATCGCATCAGACTAGTTTTATATTGATTTCATTTTGTTAAAAATAACTGCCACAACCTTATACCCACAATAATAGGTGACCCATCGTTATCTATTATCATCTCACTAATCTATCTATTATACCGCAGCCATGTCAGGCCGCAGTCTGTCTGATCAGTTCCGCGAGGAGCATGCTAATTTCTGGACCCTCATGGAGCAGATCATCGATGGCCTTAGGAACAACTACCCAGCAAACCAAGATGAGATCATTGGCAGGATGGGCCAGCTCAATCTCCAGCTCTCAACTCTTCGACGAGTCGGAGACATGATGGGATTGAGTTACCCACCAACTGACATCGTCCGTGATGCTCCTCCCCAGTACTTCAGCGCCCGCGCCCAACGCCATCAGAATTACTTCGGTACTGAGTTCGGGTACTCATGCTGGTATACCCAAGCCCAGATAGGCTACACCATTGCAGACCTTCTCAACGGGAGGGACCACACCCGCGTAGCTGACCTGCTAGAGCAACTGCTAGTCAGCTGGCAATTGACAGAGATGAGAGTCTTCCCCCGACAACTCCCCACGCGCAACCCAGTCGAGCAGCCAGTCAATATCGTGCATATTGATGGCCCGCCATACTATACACCAGGCGGTCCTGGACCACGCATCAAGACAGCAAGGACTATTGGGCCTGTCCGCACACACCCACATATCCGTCTTCCCGCCCCGACTGATACTGCTCACGGTATAGCACGGCAAACGCGCCATCGCGCTGCGCCATATCCTGGACGGGGTGTTCGTCGGACACGTCCTGGAAATACTAGACTAACCCCCCCGATGCCTCGTGCGGCCCTGGCACTTCCTAATACTATTATGCAGAATGGTGATGCTTCCCATCTTCCAAGGCCGACTCTACCCCCTGTTCAATCCCTATTCACTCCATATGCCCTCCCTGGTGGAGTTACTCTTCCTGGTGCACCGCCTGCCTCTGTGCCACCCCCAAGTGGTATGCAGCACCCGTTCCCTATGCCAGCCCCAAATACTGAGGCGACTATGTCTGTTTTGAATGCCAATATCAGGGACACTTTGCTAGGAGACCAGTCCCGTCAGAACCCCGGTTCTGGCAATTAACGACCAACGTCGGCGGAATAGCGGGCAACGGAGCTCGTTTGAGTTCCTCAATTTAGGGCCCAAATCATCACTTTGCATGATTTGGTATTGATTATCGATGAGTTCAAAGATCCCGGTAGGCTTACGCTGATTTTTGTTTGATAGATTCTTATATTCCCTTCTGTTTGATAGACTATGTTTTGCTCCCTCTTATTTGAAAATAATGACATCTGACAGGTGATATTAAATGAGACTGCTTCATGCATGTAAGAACTTATTTCCCGGTAGGTTTAGTTGCCATAGTCCTCAGTATATGACCCCCGAATAACTTTCATCGTAGTTTGTAACTAAATAATCGACCGCTTGCTACCTTATTGTACCTCGATTCGACCAGAAAGCGACTGTCATACATAAAATTGTAGCTTCCAATATAAGGTAAGTTTTCTAGTGTAGAGCCAAGATCGATGGGGCAATAAGGGGCTATTTGGGATATTCTAGCTATTAGCCAATATGGCGTTGTTGCTGCCTGGACTGTATCTTAATTCTGATATCTGTCCAGTATTTGCCCACCAATGATAAGTGGCGAAATATTCACGGGCTGGAGGATTTAGGACAAAGACAAAGAACTTTTGTACGCTGTAGTACGCTGTTTCGGCTATGGGCTAGGAGGATTCTTTCAACAGGGGCTTGACGGTTTTGCATTTTCTTATTCAGGTAACAGTAACGGCTACGTGTCTGAAGTAGATAATTGTATAATATATGTTCACAAAGTGGCATGGTAGCAAGAGGATGGAGGTCAGCTGTACCATCTGCTATATGCTATACATATACTACACGAATTCTACATAATATCTACTCTATAATGTACTATATAAGATACTATGGCACTATATAGTGGCACCATACCCCGTCTATCTCGCCACATTCTTGTGAAGCTGTCAATAAGCCAACCAATCAGAGACCAGAATGAATCAGGCCATCATTTCTTGGCGATCGGCCGATCCTCCGCGCATTTCGAGGCCAGCTTGTCCACTTTGCAGACCCTGACATTCTTTTGTTTATCTTGAGATTGTTTCTTTTTTTACCCTTTCTAAACCATCACGGCATAAATCTTACTTCCCCCCACCGAACGGACCCTTCCGTTCAATCCCTGGCCTTTGCGCCACCTTGCACATACAACAACCCGCGTCTCTGCGCGTTCTATCTACATATACAATCGGAAGCCAAGATGCGGTCTGCAGCGAGGCTGCTCTATGCAGCGGTGTTTGCACTTGCTGGCTTGAGTCATGCCGGCGAACACAATCCTTCACTAGATCCAACCAAGTGTGCTGTAAGTCTTTGTCAAGGATACCGGGTACTCAATACAGATGACTGACAGTCTATTTCGCTCCAGCTCGAACCTTCTGCCATGGTATCAGATGCGTGTGTCTCATATGGCGAGATTAACGGCATGAATGACCTGATTTTCACAACTCTCAACTCCCTTACACAAGAAACCGATTTCTTCTCCTACTACCGCCTCAACCTGTTCAACAAAGAGTGCCCCTTCTGGAATGATGCAAATAGCATGTGTGGCAACATCGCGTGTGCTGTAAATACCATTGACTCAGAGGAGGATATTCCCTTGACATGGCGCGCGGAAGAACTCAGCAAACTAGAGGGCCCCAAGGCGAATCACCCACCCCGCAGAATCCAAGCAGAGCGTCCGAAAGAACGCCCCCTCCAAGGAGAGTTGGGTGAAGACGTTGGTGAGAGTTGTGTGGTGGAATACGACGACGAATGTGACGAACGAGACTACTGTATCCCCGAGGACGAGGGTTCCGCCGGGAAGGGAGACTATGTGAGCTTGGTGGACAACCCAGAGCGGTATACGGGATACTCCGGAGCAGGCGCAAACCAAGTGTGGAATGCGATCTACAACGAAAACTGCTTCTTGAAGCCTGTGTCTGATGAGCTGGACGAGCAGTCGCTGAACGTCCCATTGGGCGGCCTCCAGGCGGCCTCTGATTTCCGAAACGTGCTCCACAAGGAGTCGAAGAGAACAGAAGGCTTGCCTCTAGACAACGAGTGCTTAGAGAAGCGGGTGTTTCACCGGCTGCTGAGCGGCATGCATGCTTCCATCTCGACACATCTGTGCTGGGATTACCTCAACCAAACCACCGGCCTGTGGCACCCCAACGTGCAATGCTTCAAGGAGCGACTCCTCGACCACCCGGAGCGCATCTCGAACATGTACTTCAACTACGCACTTGTCTCGCGCGCCGTGGCAAAACTCCGCAAGCACCTGAACGGGTACACATTCTGTACCAGCGACCCAGCGCAAGACCGCGAGACTAAGAAGCGCGTCAACAAGCTAACAGCTACTTTGACCGAACTCCCCCAAATCTTCGACGAAAATATCATGTTCCAAGACCCCAATACCATCACCCTGAAAGAGGACTTCCGCAACCGCTTCCGCAACGTCAGTCGCCTGATGGACTGTGTTGGATGCGACAAGTGCCGCCTCTGGGGCAAACTCCAGGTAAACGGGTACGGAACCGCGCTCAAGGTGTTGTTTGAGTACGACGAAACCAAGAACGGCGAGAACCCGCCCCTGCGCCGCACCGAGCTGGTCGCCCTCATCAATACTCTCGGCCGCATTTCGCACAGTATCGCTGCTTCGCGCAGTATGCAGCGAGCCCTGCTGACCGGCACCACCCACATGTTCCCTGTGCACGGCGCCGTGCCCTCCTCTCACCACGCCAACGCCCTCGGCAATAACAGACGCGTGTTCAAGGACGGAAATAATAACTTCTACTACGAAGGCGATGAAGACGAGGCCCAGTACGTCTACGGCCGAGGCGAAGCCCCAGAGCGATACCCCTGGGAGCGCAAACCTCCCAACCCAGACGACGGCCTCTGGGAGGATTTCAAGTCTGAGTGGGATATGATCTGGGGTATGGTTGGACATATCTGGCGGTCTTGGATGGATATCCCACATACATTGTAAGTTTATTGGATTTGTTCTATTTCGACAGAGACTGACTCCTGCAGGTTCCAAATCGGCACGTCGGAATTCATCCGATTGTACAACTACTGGCTCGGTTTGCCGGTGCCTCCACGCATGTGGAAGCTGAAGACGCCGCAGCCGCGTGCACATACTCAACCTGCGGCTTATGCTAATCGTGACGAGTTATGAATTCCCTGTATTTCATTGCATTGGTATCTGTACATATATGGCGCTATGATATGGCGTTGATAGACTCTGGATTTGTTTTTGATTTTCGGAGTTGGTGAATATATACTTGTTCACGCTTTTTTCACGTTCGATTTTACTGTAGGGTGTCTTTACATGTTATTCTCGGTGTGACTTTATAGGTTCTATCACAGAAGTTATGGAGCTCCGTCTGATTAGCTGAAGCTGTGTCTAGGGAAACTAGGCCGAGTTTACACATTAGGGTGACCTGCGCCACAAACCACGCTTAGCCAAGACCTTTTCGGTAACCAATCATATCATATTATATATAAGCGGTCAACTTTTGATTGGCAGTTTACCCGAAGACGGTTACCCCATCATTTCGGTCCTTCCCTCTTCCTCTTTTATTCAGTTAAATGAAACATACGGTTTCTTGCCGTCAAATCGACACGAATTTTCTACTATCGCTCGAAGGATCTAGCTATACTACCCTGTCTGAAATTTCGCGGATTCTGAAGTGATATCGTCGTGATATCATATTGTCTGTGCATCGAATCTGAAGGATTTGTCTCCACAATCCCTCTGGCTAAGCGATAATCAACCTCCCGCTCCGAATGGTACACTTGATGATGTGTGGGTCTCGTGAGATATTGCAGAGTATTCCATATCCAAATAAGGAGGTTTATACTCGAGATATCGAGAACAGGGTTTGATAGGGAATTGGTAGCGTATACGGGCTTAGGGTTGAGTTCAAGTTCTGCTGAGACAGAGTCAGTAGAAGATAGTACCTGGGTCCAAACACGGGGGTACCAAAGCCAAGCAAATAATATCCAATACGTTTGACCCTTTAATCTCCAAAACAATTGTCTTCACCATTAGCCTAAACCGGCAAGAAACTGGAATATCTATCCATGCTTTTGACCCGACGATGTTTTGTAGTCACTGACTTGTGTACTTGTCGGATCTTCGGCATGTTCGACAGATATAGGCTGGGCCATGATGATTGGTACATATTTGTTGCCCGTGTCCTGCACCATGTGCGCTTCTGGACATTGCTACTTTGTATATAGACAGCCAAGAAAGCATGATCCTCTCGCTCTATATCGAAACCACTTTCCTAATTCTTGATGGCGGCAATTAGAACGACATATAAGTACCGGAACCCCCTGTCATACTGATCTTTCGCATCCTAGTTGGAACCGCAGTCAGTCTAGAGTGTCCAGCGACATGTTCCGTCCTTCGATGCTACTTTCCATTGGAACATGGGCAGCTGTTGTCCTCCAAGCAACCGCTGTCCCCCATGGCCCATCCTACTACAACAAGCTCGCCCGAGACAACAATGACCCCTGTGGCCCAGTCTCACAGTACACTGAAAACCGAAGCCCCGAGAAATGGAACCAGGCCAACACCGATGACTGGCTTAATCAATGGTGGACTGTGAATGCCGACAAACGCACGACTCACCAAGATGGATTCACTGGTGCTTTTGGCGAGTACGCACTAGGCCAGCCTGGCTGGTCGTGCCAGAACAACGGCAACGACGCCAACTGTGAAGTGCAGGTTCGCAATAATCCCGAGCTTAACGGCCTAGGAAGTGACGCTAACTTCGAAGTGCAGCCTTGCGGTAACCCCAAGCTTAATAGCCTAGGCAATAACACCGAGAAGGCGTACTATGTTCTACAGGCGATCAATAACCTACACGGGTTCTTCCTCGGCCTGGACCAGTCGTTCAATATCGCTGCTATTGTCGCAGCCCTGGATAACGATGAGATCGTGTATAATTTCTGGCATGATGAGAATAACTGGGATGCTTTGGCCTTCAAGGAGCTCCTGAATGCAATCGCTGTTGTGTTTGCTGTTGCTGCTGTCGGGATAAGTGCGCCTGCTATGGCGCCATTCGTATCTGCTAGTGCGCCTGCCGCTGCGGCAGGATTCTCAACTTTGCTTAGCGGTGGAACGTCCGCAGGCATCTTAGCTACTGGCCCAAAGTGAGTAACCTTCCCCCCACCAACTCCCCCTTTCTGTCCTCTACCCGGATAAGAGATATTTAACATATATCCATACATTACAATTACTATTACTAATCCCTCTATATGTAGAGATACGAGTGGTGTGACACAGGCTAAGCTCGGCCATTTTATGGCAGAGACAGTGAAGAGAGTCGCAGGTTCATTCATTACTACCAACGACGAGCTGATGGCCGGTCATAGCCATGAAACCGAAACCGGACCTATCGATATCCGTTCCTATCTCCAGGGCGGAGCGTGGGTTAACTACGGGGGATTGAAGAAGACCGACGCACATGATAAAATGACCACTATTTTACAGTCGTTAATGATCAACTCGCTATGGCGTTCGCAGCGTGTGTTTATCATGGGCGGTGGCGCCTGCGGTGATGGCCAGGACGTCGGCCAAGGTACCAACGCTAACGATAACGTTTTCTGTGATGAAGAGAATCGTGCATGGTACCTATACTACTGGCAGAAGGATAAGAATATTATGAAAGAGTCGGCAAAACCTGTTGGATGGATTTCTCGACCCTGGGGATCCGATCGTATGGGCGGAGAACCTATATTAGAGCAGGAAGGCGGCGCCGGGCCATTCTGGAAGAATATCCTTCCAGTGGTATGTGACAACTGATACGTATAGAATATATCGTATACTAACATTTTCTACCCTCTAGGACGCTATCAAATCCTCTCTCAAGTCCTACCAAGTCGCCGGCTACAACTACGACTCGACAGCCTTTAGCACTCGTATGGCCGATATCTTCGCTGCTGGAAGTAACGCTTGGAACGAAGGTGCAAGCATGGAGGGTGTCTGGACTATCCCCGTGTGTGATATTAGTGCAACTATCAACAACCCCGACTATTCATACGAAATGAAGGAGTATATCCTCCAGCCGTATGGGTTCGACAGGATTCCAAAATGGTGTGGACCGATTTGTGGAATGGACAAGAAGAAGACGGCGGAATTCTACAAAGCGGCCAACTTCATAAATGACATGGAGAAGCCTTTCCTGCGGGGTTGTACTATCGATCAGGACAGACCTAATTTTGTTGAAAGCGGTCATTATTGGGATTGGACTACAGATGAGGAGTTTCCATTATGAGGCAGAAATGGTCTTGATATCACGCATGGTCAGTCTGACTAAGTGGTAGAGAGATCCATATCCCTGGTCCATTGTTGGTGAGATGGCGAGATGCACATCTCGTTCAGCCTGGATTTCGAAGCTATATTCTGGATCATTGTATTTAGTTGGAAGCACATTACTTGAATTTCAATAAACATCTCGATTCATTGCTCTGATATTCACTCTTTTCCTGGTATCAAATTTGAGAATGTTCCGCTCGGTAATCCTACCGCGTTTTTGCACTGTGAAGTACAACGTTCACTGTTTCCTCCATTTGTGTTAGCCAAAGACTCACATCATCTTAGACTTCCTTGCGGTTGTCAGCTCACCCGACTTCTAATGTAATACTCGGATATTTTGTATAGGCCGGTGTGTGTTGGTGTCCACGAGCAACCTGGAGATTTTGCCTTCCCTGAAGTACCTCTCACTTTCATTGCACCCATAAGTTCGAGCATATATCCGTTATATGTGCGTATCCAAGCATGGAACACGTCAATTTCCTCTTTTTCTTGGTCGATATAACCACCCATGAAGCTGGATTTAACGCTGTCGGATTCCATGTATGGTGGCTTGGCGAGGAAACGAGATGAATCCGGGATTGGCGATAGTCTCATCCTTCTAGCAATCCCCGCAATTCTACCACATCTTCACAATGCGTCTTCGTTGGGATCTCTGTGGCAGATCTGATCGCGTATCGCGTATCCCAAAGATACCATCTCGACTGGGACATGGGAAGTAAGTTCGAGCCATTTTTTGAAAGCGGCCCTGAAGACCGTGTTCATCGCCATCTCTGGAAATCTAGTCAGTACTGCATGTATTATGGATAGATAGAAAGGGATTATCCAACTCACTGCGAGAATCCATGTCCATGCCACAACTATGGTAGGTCCTTTGCAAAGATCAAAATGTTGTATCCTGTCTTTGGGCAACATTATCGAATTATTTTCCCCAAGCGCCCAACACCACCATACGTCTGTGGGTGTTAGGTGGTGTTGGGCGCTATTCGTTGAGATGAGAAGAGGAAGGAGAGAAACCAGCTGGATGGAGGGAGTTGTACTAGGAAGGTATATAGTCTATATACATGTCACGGGTTATCCAGGGACCAGTAAGAAGTGAGAAAGAATAAAAATCTCTATACAAAAACATGTTTATTACACTTTTAATTCTAATTATTCAAAGAAAAATATCTTTGATCTACTTTACTCTTTATCTTACTATGTAGATTACCTCGGTCGCCCCTCAGGTACATTTGCCACCGAAGAGATTTCTCGAGGAGAGGGCAGAATCAAAACACGAAAGGGCGAACAAGTCAAACAAGTCAAATAGGTCGAACAGGTTGAATAGGAGAAGATAGAATGTGATAATCAAATATTAAGACTAGATCTCAGATAACTAGTCCTAGACTTATTACCTAGGCAAGAGTACCCCGTATTTGCTCGGCAAACCCCGACCTCGGCATCTCCACTCCCGGCCACATGCGTCCTTTTCTTCCCTCTTTCATCCCTCTGACCCTCTTCGGCCTCACGAATCTATCTCAATATAACGTATCTAGATGCGATTCCATTAATATCTAACTCCATGGCGACGCCTTCGCCACCAAAACCGTGGGAGAGAGCAGCTGGTGAGTGTCTTCGATTGCCGATATCCAACAGCGCAACGCAACCCTGAATGTCATCTAACTCTCTTCTTCTCTGTAGGAAACGCGTTATCGACAGCACCTATCGCCAGTAGCCCTGCTGCCTCGACCGCGATGACTTCTACAACCAACCCCGCAGTCTCAACATCCACCGCCCCCGACCTCCCCTCCCGTCCTAGCACTCTCAACTCTGTAGTCAACAACACCGCCTCCAACTACTCACCATATGGAGCCTCGCGCCTTGGAACAGGCGCGTATGGATCTACCTACGGTGGAATGGGTGGAATGGGTGCGATGGGATCACCCTACTCCCGCTTCGGCACCATGGGCGGTATGGGCTCCATGTACGGCGGCGGTTATGGAGGCTACGGAGGTGGAATGATGGGCGGCATGGGCATGGGAGGCATGGGAGGAATGTACGGCGGCATGCCGGGACAAGATCCTAATGATCCGAACAGCTTGACGAACTCGTTTGGGCAAAGCACCCAGGCCACTTTCCACATGATTGAGAGTATCGTTGGGGCATTTGGAGGCTTTGCTCAAATGCTCGAGAGCACATACATGGCTACCCACAGTTCATTCTTTGGTTGGTTTTGACCCACAAAAAATATACGGACACTCGCTGACTCACTTTTATAGCAATGGTCTCGGTCGCAGAACAATTTGGAAACCTGCGCAACACCCTCGGCTCAGCCTTGGGCATTTTCACCCTCATTCGATGGTTCCGCACATTGATCGCTAAGATCACAGGACGTCCTCCGCCAGCTGATGCCACTTCCTTGACTCCCGCTGCTTTTGCAGCTTTCATGGGCGGCCGTGCCGCAACCACACTCCCCGATGGCTCACCAGCTCCCGCCAAGCCATCCAAGAAACCCTTCTTCATGTTCCTGATTGCCCTCTTCGGCCTACCCTACCTGATGGGCAAGCTCATCAGGACCATGGCCCGATCACAGGAGGAAGAGGCGAAGCGCCGCATGCAACTCATCGGCCCCAACGGCGAGCCAGGCTCAGCAGCGCTCGACCCGGCCAAGCTGGACTTCTGCCGTCTTCTATACGACTACACACCCGAGACCCAGGAGAGCAACGGCATCGACCTGGCCGTGAAAAAGGGTGACATCGTCGCCGTCCTCAGCAAGTCTGATCCTATGGGCAATGCCTCCGAGTGGTGGCGCTGCCGTGCCCGCGACGGCCGCGTCGGATATCTCCCCGGTCCGTACCTGGAGACTATCCAGCGCCGGCCCAATCAGCAGGCTATCACAGCAGGCAGCGAGCCTGCTACTCGCACCACTACAATGAAGGGCGACCCGGCAGCCGAAGGTCGCACACAGAGCTTGTCATCTCTAGGCAAGCCTGAGCTTAACAGCAAGATTGGCGATATTTCGCCTGAAAGCTTCCAGAAGAGCACATTCTACTCATGAGCAATGAGTGCATACGGCATATAGACTTTGCCGATGCTAGTTCTCCTTTTGTCTTTGTCTTTGTTAGACTGGAGCAGGCTATGGTTTTCTGTGACGTTATCCGACCAAAAGCTCCCATTGAGCTTGCTCATCCTTATATATCCCCCGAGCGTGTCTTGGATCTTTCGATCCTCCTTACGACCTTCAGCTATACAGGCAGCAGCCTAGCCATCCCAGCTGTATCCCCTCGTGATCTCAACCCCAGTATCACCCGGGTATCTCTCTTTCTCTTTTCATTTCAACTTTCTTCGGATCTCATTTTAGCGACACCCCAATTTATGTATTTAGTACTTAGTGCAATGCCTTTCAAAAGTACCCCCTATCAAAGTACTTTCAATACTCCCCACAGTGGGCTACCCGTCCCGCTCCCGACTCCCCACTGATACTCGACACATCGAACATCACTTTGAGTATTCCGTTAACACATATACTCTATAACATAATTTGTATATCTTCAACACGCAAAGCGTAAATACAGAGTAAGGAGTAAAAATCCCATGCACATACCCGCGCACGTCATCTCGCTTAAACGATCCCCCCTGCTCACGCACGTCCCTAAGTTCGAGTCTGGCAACGCCTACTTCCGGCTCCCTGCAGATTGGCCCGGACTCGCCGACTTTTGCTTTTGTGTTTAGGAGGCGAACTTGGCTGTTGGGCGTTTTGACTGATGGTTTTGTTTTCGCCACGAGTATGTTTATAATTATGTTTATTCTATAGTACGGAGTATACGGGTATAATGTATAATCTTGTTAAATATAAATATAAATGTAAATGCAAGTATAGCATGAGCACGTAAGGAGCCAGGCTGCCTGGTGGCACACTCATGTACCTACCCTAATCTTATGCACTGTACTTTCTAAGTTTACCGCGGAGTATAATCTGCTAAACGGTTGAATGGTGTGTTTTCATTTCAAGTATTTCATTTCGATTCCCCTTGTGTCACCTACTTCCATGTACCTTGATAGATAGGTATACGATGTAGAGTAGTAGTTACGACGCACGTGCTTATTGCAATGTATACATGGGAATCCCGGCGACGGGGACGTGGGATGGTACGGTTTTGGGTATGAATTGGTCGGGTAACAGGGGTTGAAGATATGAGGGTTGTACCGTAGCTTGATGTCGTGTCCGTGAGACATAGTGATATCGGTCGAGCGGAGACGTGGCCGTGCTACCCAGAAAGCAGAGATATACAGAAATTCAATGCCATAGATCGCCAATCTAGAAGCCGAACGCCCTTGCTATGATGGGCTTGGAAGGTGGTGAATGTAAAGATATACATAAAACGAGGGCTGAACGCTATGGGGAGGAAATAGGAAATAGGAAATAGGGAATAGGGAAATAGGGAAAGCTGGAAATCAGGGAAATAGGGAAACCAGGGGAAATCAAAACATGAATAGAAGCAAGCAGAAAGATGAGAAGATAAAAAGAGAAAGAAAGAAAATAAAAAACAAATCACATCCCCAATCCCTCATGATGAGGAATCTCCTGATTAGGATCCTGATCTCTAGCCCACTTCGACATCGACTGCGTAAGCGTATAATCCAAATCCTGCAATCTAGTCTGGAACGACTCCACGGTATTCCAATCCGGCGGATGAGTATCTTCTTCACCCGGTGCATCCTCCAGATCCCTCGGCGCGGGTCCAGGGTGAGCATGGGTGTGAGAAGGCGCATGGGAACTGTGTACACCCTGTACACTCTGCACTGGCACCGGCACATGGGCATGACTGTGTACCGGGTGCGGATGGTGTGGATGGGAGAGATGATTTCCTATTGACTGATGATAGGACTGGATATGGCGCTGGGAATGCATAGACATGGACATAGCGGGTGTTTCGTCCAGTTCCAGATCGGGGAGGTTTTCGAGGTGGTTGGGGTCTAGGAAATATCTTCCATCAATATCATTTATAGGCACACTCACCGGAACGGCCGTGGATTTACCGTATGAGCCGAGTGGGTAGGGTGGCATTTCTCGGGTTGGTGATTGCATGTCTGGGAGTGGTGAGATGGGGGTTGTGACGCTGTGTTCGTCTGTTGGTTCCGGTGTGTAGCAGGTCATGTCGGATGGTGTTTCTATAGTTGTTAGGGATGGGTTTAGGGAGTTTGATAGTCAGTAGTTCTATCTGATAACTTACGAGGCTCAGGGCTTTGAGGCTCTGTTTCTGGTTCTTTGCCTCGATTGGTATCCCATGATGTTCCATAACGACGAACGAAACGGGCAATGCGTTTTGGGTCAACGTTTTGTCCATTTACGCGAAAGGCTGTTTGTTTTCCTTGAGCGGCGCGCTTCTGTTGCTTTCGTAGCATCAGATGGACTTCTTTTGCTTTGATGTTCTTTCGAACATGCCATGCCGCCAGACGGTCTTTGTATTGTTTTTCTCTGGTTGAGTTAGAGGGCTATATAGAATGGAAGAAGTAGGATAGTAGTACGATGCAAAGAACTTATAATCCCTTTCCATGATACGTTTGACATCTCGTAGTTTCAACTGATCATTTCGATACAGTTGTTCGATGATTTCTCGATATTCATGCCAATCATCCGATCGGCGGGGTCGAAAGACATTGGGTTGAGGAGTTGAATATTCCATGATTGAGTTATGATTATAAAAAAGGAATGCAAATCATAAGTAAAAAAGTAAAAAGCAAGAATTAATAAGTCCAAACGATAAATAATATAAAAATCAAAAGAAAATAATCCATAAAAAAATCAAAAAGAGGCAAGAGATGGGGGCCAAGCGAATCTCTTCTTTTCTCGGCGACGTGCACGCGGAGAGACAACCCCCTGCTTCCCCGGACGAATGAAACTAAAGAGGGGTCCATAAGCAACTTGTCACGGATCGACGTGTAGAGGAGAATATCTCCGTTGGATCTTTTTTTGTATTTTTTTTATTTTCGAATTTATTGCTTTTTGGAGGTACTTTTGTTCTTTTACGCATTGGCCTTTGGATGCATTTTCCGTTGCCTCTTTTTTTTATTAGTATTAACAGCATACAGTATAAGCTCCGTAGTATACAGTATGTTGTATATTCCATAGCACATTATTCCAATAGTGTATACTCAATGTGTATACAGATAACTATATCAATATCCTGCAGATCAAATAAAACCGGGAGCGGCCCGAATCTTCCTTGACAGCTCTTTGTTTGCCTCCGCTAAAAAAATCCTTTAAAATCCCAGCTCTCTGGATCAGTATAAGCCACGTATTGTTTTTTTTTTATATTTCATAACATATAATATATTATATTCAAAGATATATAATAGATCTATATGACACCTGCCTCGTGCTAGATCTCAACAGTCAAAGCAAGGAGGACCGTTAAACCCGTTACGCTTTGACATGACAAAGTCTTGAAAAAACGTACGATGCAAGGTCCGTGCTACTGTTACGGGTCTTCCTAGCGATCCGACCTCGTATTGACGATGTAAGGAGATATACACTCTACCCTCTTATTATCTTTATAAATATCCTACTCTTATATACAACGGTATTCCCCGTCTGCAGCTATAGTCCATATTTCAAGGGCTAGAACTCTTAAGAGCTGGGTACCGAGGTATGTATACTAGTTTAATATTAATGATTTACACCTATTTTGTCTTTCGGGGAGCAAGAATCCTGGTCCCCGATAGGGATGGTATCTTTTATATCCGAAAAGTACATAAGGGGGTTGAACAGTTCCAAGCATTTGAAAAAGCAAAAATAAAAAACATAAAAAATACTTCTCTCTCCTTATGTTATAAAAGCTCTACTCAAATTGCGGGGTGTACCTTTTCCTCTTTCCAATATATATATATATAAAAAAGAAAACCGAAGTGGAGGGAACACAACGGCCATCCCGCGTGGAGCTCAGCCGCTTCGAAACGGAGATATCTGCCGCCGACATCCCCATAGGTCCACAGACCATCGTTCACCGGCTCGGATCGTATGCAGGTACTAGGATGTAGCGCGCAGACTGGACTGGACGCATATCACATCTTTCTCTTTATGAATCAGGTGTAAAAACTGTCTGTTCTCAGCCCACGCGCCAGTCCTGCACTCAGCCGACATATGTCAGGGGATTGGTTGGACCCCTCGTCAATCTAGGAGGATTGTGATAAGCCAATGAGATCAAGGGGACTCGGGCTCGAAACGTCTAGCACGTCATGGCCATCCCCCTATAATCTACATGCAGGCTTATCAAAAGTACAAGTGATGCGCTGTGCAGGTCGCTTTCCATCCTGCGCGATTTTTTTGACAGGCATTTGAATCCTGTACAGCCTCAACTTTTTGCTTTTTCTTTCTTTCTTTTTTTTTTAAATAAGAATCCCAGTCTTTGCTGCGGTTTCATTTATTATTCAGAATCGTTGTCTGTCGGGCTTGATCCGCGGCTGCTACGGCCGCAGCCGCAACCGCAGCTGAATTCGACCCCGTGCTGGCCAGATTGCTGGCATGCGCAAGGAGAAACTTGCAGCAGGTGAGCGTGTACTTGCAGGCTCGTGTCCATGTCTCATCATTCTGGTTGAAGCCCAACTTGATACTAGAATCGCCAATACGATCTCGCTTGATCTCATAGGGTAATTTCAACCCCGGTGCGGTGGCGCCGGTCTGGCCGCGGCGGGGGGAAATAACGGGCGCCGGGGTCCTTTCAACAAACTTGCCCAGCTGCCGGAGACATTCAAGAAACGCCACCATCCCGGAGTCAAAGCGACGGTGAAGCCAATTCAAATTGAGCAGTTGATCCCCGGATGAAAATAGGTCTAGTTCGATAACTTTAGGTGTAGCGCCCTCCACAGGCTGACCGGATGGCTGCGTAGGATATTCAAGCTTGTCAATTCGTGAGTTAGATCCCAGCGGCCTGAGACGATACCCTTGGAATTGGAATCCCAGTTTGTCAGCCATTGTAGCCAGAAGTAGCGCTGTCTGTCCCCATGCCGCATTTATTTCAGGCCAGTCAACCGAAGGATTGGCCAGCCGACCCAGTCGTAGTCCATTGATTGTACCGAAATATCCATCGTGACCAATGCAGAACGCGTCATTGTAGACATTTGTTCGTTGTAGTCTCTCAAGCTGTTGCGAGTCATGATCATAACGCATATTGAGCGCATCCCGTTCGTTTTGAAACTCGGTTAGCGTCAAGGCAAAAGCATTGCGAGACCGCCAAAAGCTCTCCTCGTCCGCGTCTAGATGTCGAGACTCAATTTCTAAGCTGGAAATTTCCGCATCTAGAGCAGCTTTTTCTTTCTCGAACTCCTGCAGCTCTGCGAATGCAGCCCGCTCCGCTTGAAGGCTGTCATCCAACGATTTCTGGGCTGCCTGCAGCTCCTCTCCGGTCGGGATTGACCCATTTAGGTTCCTAAGAAACGAGATATATGCATCTCGCTCCTTCGTAGATCCAGCCAAGCGTTTCTGCAATCCTTCGACAAGTAGCTCGGTGCACTCCACGCAAATCGGATGATCGATATCGGAGCGCGCCGAGACGATCTCAAACAGTCGTGTTGTCTTCTCCACTTGATCAACAAATGACCCATCCTCCTGGCCACGTTGGGCTTGTGTATTTCGCTTGCTTCGGGCACTCTCACTGGCTGGTGGCGGCGTGACTTGAGACTCCGTCAGCATCACAAATGACATATTGCCGCTCTCGGCTCGGGGTATGGTCGGAGGGTTGGGCTGGCCTGCACGCGGGGCAGGGATAGACCGTCTGTAAACCGGCTGCGTAGCATGTCTAGAGGACTGGTCATACTTGTCGCGATGTTCGGGTGGATATGACGCTCGAGAGGAAACAGCTCCATCCGACAGCGTCTTCCCTGTAGAGTCTAGACCTTGATTAGCGCGAACTAGAATGATCGTTTTTAAACTTACTGGATAACAAGTCAAAGGCAGCTGGGTTTAGTGACTCTATTGAGCCATCCAGTTTCAACGGCGTGCGACACTTCTGGCAATACATGGTGGTTCTAATTCATGACGGGAGTGGGGAGTGGAAGTCGGGGAGCTCCATGGGAGCTTCGGGCGAACGTCATTTTAGTTTGTTTTGCCCTTTGCCGCATATTTGCTCGCGCCTGCGTCTACGCATATCACATTTTCAATCGGAAATAGGTTGCTAGATTTAATTATGTGTTCCTTTACTACACGCTCGACGTTCAATCACTTCTAAGGCTCGCGTCGCGCCTATCGATTCTTATCCGTCATGAACGACCCGGACGGCAGCATGGACCACTCCATGCAGGAAAATATTGAACGACCAGCGAAGAGACCTTGTCTATCATATACCCCCGACGACGAAGAGGTTCCTGAAGAATTTGATCTTCCCGCCGCACGCGCAAAGAATGACTCCCGACTGAAGTCTCTCTTCGAAGGAATTTTCGCGAAATATAGCCAGGATTTCACGGGCGTTGGTGATGAGATTGACCTGCAGACCGGGGACATAGTGGTAGACAATGGACATCTCCTGGGAATGCGGGGTGAGCACGATGGTGGTGAGCCGCGATCATGGCTCTCCCAAGCTGAGATGGAGAGGCAGGACGATGCAGACGATGACAACACGAAGGGAGATGAAGATGAGTTCTTTTCTATGGCGTCCTCTCCTAGTGGTCGTTCTCCAGATCCTCCACGCGAAGAGTCCCCATCGAAACAGCTACAGACAGACATGGATACATCTTTGGATTTCGTGTTTACTTTTAAAGCATCTGGAACTACAGGACTCAGTCCTACGACAAAGGAGGAGCATGTCTCTCTTCCAACCAACCCTATCCCAGCTTCCAAACCACAAGATCCACTCTGGGCAATCCCGGACTTGCCACCATCCTTTTCAACACCAAAAACTGAGACCAGAAAGTCAAATGTGAGCTTCACTCCACCGGTCAGGTCTTCGTCCCCGCCAGGGAGCGGCTCCGTCTGGGCGCTGCGTAGACCGCGAAAACCACGCTCTGAAACAAAACCTAAGGCTACGCCGAGTAAGCGTCGCCCAGCTGCGAAACGCAAATGCCATTCCAGCCCTGTGACGCGTGACTGGTCTTTTGCCGCAGTTCCAGATGGAAATGAGTCGGATGACCCCTTGCAGGACTATGACCCATCGCCGTCACCGTCGAAAATTAAAATTATCCGCGGGAAGCGACGCATTCCGACGAAGGAGAATGATGGACCATCTACCCCTTCGAAGCGGCCATCTGCTTTCATCGGACTTGGGGGTATAGCTGATGATTCAGCTAATGATCCAGTCGACGAAACAGTCGACGACCAAGACTATAACCAAGAAGTGGTGTGTGAAACGGAAGATCAACCCGATGAAATACCTGATGCACAACTTGAAGAAGGGGGTCATGATTCAACCAATCAGATAGACGAAGTGCCTGAAGTATACCCCGAAGAGAGAAGCTACGAACCGAGCCACCAAGACGATAGAGTGCCCGAAGAACAAAAACAACCACAAGAAACCCACGGGCCAAGTGAGCAAGAAAATGAAGCAGCTGGGTCAGAACACAAAACCGAAGAGCCATTTGATCATATGGTACAAGCCAATTTCACCCCCAAGCCCACGGCCATCACCCAGGCCCTGTCATCGCCCATGGAAAACACCCCAAGCAAAAGAAGGCCCGTAACACCCGATGAAGCAAAGTTGATCGTCTGCATGATGCACAAGCAAGAAAAGAAGGCTAGTGATGTGATGCACATGTTGCCAGGTCGCGAGTACCAGACAGTTTGGCATTGGTTCTACAACCACTGGACCCGCCGACTAGCAAATCCGCCCCCACTTTCCGCCGCTTGGACGCAGCCGGAACTGGTAGATCTGTCCCGACTGAGCACCCAATCAGATCTTACCTGGGGTCAGATACAAGGTCGGTTCAAGGGCCGATCGAGACATGAGGTTGAGTTTGAGCTGCTGCGGGCTTTTGTTGGTGAGGGATTTACATCTGCAACGATCGGGAGCATTGAGGAAGAGGCAGGTCCGGAAGAGGAGTCGGAAACTGAGAGTGATAGTACGGTGGACACGGAGATCAAGGATGAACCAGACTCTGACGCAGATTTGGAGGATACAAAAGACGAGGGAGATAGCAATCCTGCGTCCGAAGACGCTCAGAAAGAAGCCGAGCAGTTCGGCATCCAAGAAGCTACCAAGACAACCGACAGTAAGGTGTCTACTCCCAACGGTTTCTTAGGCATTTTTATAAACTCATAATCATGTGTGCAACCATATACTAATATGGACCAGTGATCGACGATCGATGAATCTACATCCATATCCATAACCATGACTACCGTATCACATTCAATTAATTTATTTATTGAAAGTCTTCGTCCCGTGCATTCATAACATCCTCAAGCTTAGTATCAACGGCCCCACCAACATCACCTGCCTTAGCCCAGAATCGAGACAGATGTCGTGAGCCGGAGTCCGAAAGGACTGTAACAATCCGATGACCAGGACCAAGCTTCCTTGCTGTCTTGACGGCGGCGATACCTAGAATGCATTAGTAAAGCACATGTCTTAGAGTGAATAGACTCACAGTTCACTGCACTGCTACTCCCGACAAAGATCCCATCTTTCTCCACAAGCCACCTAGCCATAGCCAAAGCCTGGGCATCAGTAACACGCACCGCATCATCAATCATCTCCTTCCCAGCCTCGAAATTCGCCGTAACACGGTTAATACCAATTCCCTCAACAATAGTATCAACCTGACGACGTCGCCGCGTCCCCTCCCTCTCCTTGACATCAAACATAACACCGTAGACCACTCGATTAAAAAGCCCACTCCCCTGCGGATCGGCCAAGACAACCGTAAGTCTAGGCAGCAAGGGCTTCAAGAACCTCGCCACCCCAGAAATAGTCCCGCCCGTGCCAGCGCCCGCTACAAACGCATCAATGCGGCCCCCACATTGGGCGTACAGCTCTGGACCGGTCCCTTCGTAGTGGGCGCGCCAGTTAGCCTCGTTCTCGAATTGGTCGGCGAAAAAGCCACGGCCACGGGTCATGCGCTCGTTTGCCGCGGGGAGATCGGACTGGTCTTCCGCGGACGAGGTAATACCCGATGAGGCCGTGTGCGTCTTTGCCAGTGCTCGTGCGCGATTGACGAAGTTGTCTTTCTCCACTATGGGAGCTGGCGGAACTCGGTCCACGATTGCCCCGAGTTTTAGAAGCAGGTTGGATTTTTCAATTGCCTGGTCCGAGGGCAGGCAGCTGGGCTTGTGCATTAGTGGGTTTTGTTATTGGGTGGGAAAGTCGGAGGTGGCGTATGCCTACATGTGTGCTAGGTAGCCCTTTGCACGGGCTAGTGTTGCTAGTGAAATGCCGGTTGATCCCGACGTTCCTTCGTAGATTGTGTCGCCTGAATAAGGTGTTAGGATCCCTTGTTCTTCGGCCTGGTTGGGTGTTAGTGTTGGTATTGTAGGGTGTTTTTTTTTGTCAGTCATACTATCTCAATCATGCTTAGTGCAACTCGGTCTTTTGAACTCTGGCCTGCGCCATTCAAAAACTGCAGGCATTGTTAGCTTGTTTTTCAAGTGCTATACGAAGTACCAAGGCTACGTGCCTCTGCTTTGCCCAGGATCTCGCATCCCGTCTCGTCTGATAGTGACTTGATTCGGAATAGAGGGGTGTTTCCAATGCAGCCTTCAATGCCTTCCACAATAGCGGGCGGGCCAGCTCGGGCGATTAGCCCATTTGTTGGCGATATTGGTTCTGTCACATTATCCTCGTGTTTGGGACGGGAAATTTCTTGATATGCGAGTGCCAGACAGACACCTGCCACGAAGGCTGTACCTATATACGCCGTTGAATGATCTGGCATCTTCTAATGCCGTTTTATGCCTTGGAGTTTGGGGTTATGCGCATAGACGGGAAACGTGAAGCTCGGACCATCAGGCTTGTTGGTGGAAGATAGGGGTCAGCTTGTATTTCGTCGATGAAAAGGAAGATTGGAAGCTAATCCAAAGGCTTTTCTTGGTATTTAAATTGCGTTTGGCTTCAAGATCCTTGTAATTTCCCCAATGACGAAGAAATTGAGGTTGATGACAATTGAATATTTGCCTAAGGCACGATTTTCTGCCTGAGGCCACAACGGCTATCCGGAAACATCGTTCTTCTTCCCCGGGACAACCTTGAGCTTAGCTCTGCAATCACAATGGACTCACCAGTCCTTACCCAGCTGTTCCGACAGCTCTTCCGCCATCCAGCATGTCGATCATTAAGGCGGTCACCTCCCATACTTGCTCGACCACAGTCCCGATCATTTCTCACGCGGCGCACACCTGTCAACGTGAAGCGCAAACCGCACGATGATATCCAGCTGTGGACGAAACGAGGGGACTACCCTAAAAACATTGATGAGGAGTACAAGAAGTATCCGACGGTGACAGCGAAAGAGCTACGCAACCGCCGCGAACGGCCGCGACAGGTCAAGATGCTGACACGCGAGTTCATCGACGGTGAGTTCGGCGGCTAAGTGAAGAGAGACTACTTCTGACAATGCGATTTTAGACAGCCTCTACAACCCACATTACGGATACTTCTCCAAACACGCGACCATTTTCAGCCCCGGAGAGCCATTCGACTTCAACAACATCGAAGACGGGCCCGCCTTCCACAAACTCCTTGGTGAACGGTACACAGAGTTCGAAGACAAGCTTGACGCGACTAACCCAGATATCGCGCGGCAATTGTGGCATACACCAACAGAGCTTTTCCGACCATACTATGGCGAGACGATTGCGCGGTATTTGGTGTCAAACTACAAGCTGACCCTATACCCGTACCACGACCTGATCATCTATGAAATGGGCGCAGGAAACGGCACAATGATGTTGAACATTCTCGATTTCATCCGTGATACCGATTACGAGGTGTACCAGCGTACCAAGTTCAAGATCATTGAGATCTCGCCCGCGCTAGCAGATCTCCAGTACAAGAATTTGACCGACAAGCTCACTGCCAAGGGACACCGGGACCACGTCGAGATTGTAAATCGGTCTATCTTTGACTGGGACACATACGTTCATTCCCCGTGTTTCTTCCTTGCTCTGGAGGTTTTCGATAACTTCGCTCACGACACCATCCGCTACCAGCAAGGCACCGAAATGCCACAGCAGGGCGGTGTGCTGATCGATGCTGACGGCGAGTTCCACGAGTATTACAACAACCAGCTAGACCCAGTCGCAGCTCGCTTTTTGCGCGTGCGCCAAGCTGCGGCCCGTCGTCCTTTCCCGAGTCCACTGGGCCCACCACTTCTCCGCGGCCTCCGCTCCGCCGCCCCCTTCCAGAAGGAATACACCCTGCCGGAGTACATCCCTACTCGACTGATGCAGTTCTTTGATGTTCTGAATCAATACTTCCCAGCCCACCGTCTCGTCTCTAGTGACTTCAGTTCCTTGCCAGATGCCGTGCCCGGGATCAACGCGCCGGTCGTGCAGACTCGGTATCAGCGGCAGACTGTGCCAGTGTCGACTCCTTTTGTATGTGGATACTTTCTACGATGGATCTTGAATCCAGCTAATTGTTTACAGGTCCACCAAGGCTACTTCGATATCTTCTTCCCGACGGACTTCAATGTCGTCGAGGATATGTATCGTGCTGTTACGGGGAAGCTGACGCAGGTCACGAGCCATGAAGAGTTTGTGAACCGTTGGGCTTACATTGAGGATACTGAGACGCGGAACGGGGAGAATCCGCTGCTGACTTGGTATAAGAATGCTAGCATGTTGATGACTGTGTAGATAGAGATCTCGATGTCAATAATATTTAACCATGCCTTGTGTGTTTTACCACACAGACTCATACTTCGTGGGAATGTGTTCATGCTTTCTGGGATAGTGATATAACCCGACAAAAAATAACGCCCAACTCAAATGCCTGGTGAAAGTCTGAGTCCCATTCCCCATTCTCACATTAGAGGCTCCAGACATTGAATCGCTATTCCGACGCCGCGTTAGAGCCGTGATACATGTAGATTGTGATATATGAGGGTGCCTCTCACAAACAGCGAGGCTTCGGACTCAAAAGATTGAGATGCGAAACTTGATATCGCACTGTAGACTCCTAAATTCATGGCAAAAAGCCGCTTATGGGAGTGTGATGGTCATTTCATCATCTCCAGACATTCGTCTGCGATGTAATTAGGAAAAGCCAGGGGAGGCCCCAGAACTGAGGAACGCTGAAATACTGTAACATCCAGACTTCCATCCTAGTTATGAGGAATCCGAAAAACGCTATCAGCAAGATCAGTCATCTCCTTGATCCCAAGCCCCCTAAGAGAATTGAGTATCTGATCGACAGTACTCTCCGAAAGCCCCTCCTTATCCCGAGAGTAGATATCAATACCAGCAGGCGTGAAGATCGTTTTAGCAAAGTACGTGACAATCCACTTCTCATCATCGCCCCCGAACCCAAGACACTCCCAATGCGAACTCGCAATAATCAGCCAGCCTTTGCCACGCCAATCCCATGCGCCGGGATTCCCTGGCGTTGGGGTGTCGATGCCATGGACAGATTTGATTTTCTCAGAGTCAATGCCTTGATATTGGACCAGGTCATCTAGCTTTTGGACCCCGGCTGAATCTGCGGGGAGGAGCTTGTAGGTGATGTTGACGTTGCGCTTGTTTTTCCATAGCGGGAGGGTGGAGTGGGTTACGTGCCATGTGCCGATTATGAAGTCGTTTGGTGGGGCACAGTTGTGTCCAGCGGTAGAATGGACTTTTGGGGGTTTGATGGAGATGGAAGACATGTTTTTTGTGTGATTTGGGACTGCGAGGGTGTACGGGTGACGAAGTTCGGGCGTCGATCGCTATCTGAATCGGGTTATCGTGATCGACACAACCCTAATTGATGGACAACAAAGTGTTCATGAATATGAATTTAGATACCATATATGTGCGAATATATTTGCGCTGTAGGACTCATTAGAAAAACTTGCAAATAGCGTGATGTCCCAAGGTTGAAGAATATTAACACCCCTCAAATGATCTCTGGAATTGGAAGATAGTACATAGTATATATAGAAGACGACTACGGCTTTAAACCGATAATTTCGAAGCGATTGTGCGACAGTGTGGTTCTCCTTACTAAGTTACACAATTGACTCATCATAGGAAAGTAAATTCATTCAAGCTAGGTGAGTAGTGAGAGCACAAAACAATACACCGATGTACCATCCTCCTACACTGCGATTGTGTTCTTTCCTTTCAATTCATTCTTCCATAACACTGGCAAGAATTCCGGCATTTCGACATGTTAAAGTCTGCCATGGCGAGGCCAGGGTGGAGTGATCCCGACAGAGTTATTCTGTACGAATGTGGGCTGTGGGAAGGGGGTTTGACCAAACACAGGCTGGCCGGGGATGGGCGGAGGGAATACAGGTCGGGCAAACTCAGGTTGGCGGGCAGGTTGGGAGAATGCAGAGCGGATGAAGGTTGGTTCGTCAAACTCAGTCTTAACAGGAGTGGGCCCGTAGCCGGGGATGATAGGGCGTGGTTCTGTCGGAATTCGTTGCACTCTGTCCAGTAACGGTGTGTCTGGTTGCATCACTCTGCCCAGTAACGGCGCGTCCGGAGCAATTGGAGGAGGAGGGCCAGCGAGGATGTTTGTCGTTATATTGACATTGTTCATTATGATTTGCGAGTCCACAGGTCTTCCTGCCTTCTTATGGAACCCCTCAAGGGCGACCTCGAGTTGGGAGAGAATGGCCGCGTTAATGGAGGTGCTACTCACTGCCATTCCAGGGTTGGCCACAGGGAGAATGATGTTGACATTTTCGACAGTCGTGCGCATGCCGTAAAGTGACTTTACCCATTCGTGGTGCGGGACAAGCAGGGGGCAGTGTCGCCACGAGTGACCAGTCTCTGCACATTTCCGGCAGAAGGCAGTGCATTCTCGACTGTGTCTTCTATCATAGCGATGGCAGAGAGGGATGCATGGGCCTGAGTTAATTTCAACCCGCAGTACTGACAAAACAGGGCTGGCTTTCATTGTGACCACGGATGGATAAAGAGAGAACCAGGGATGAATAAATAAAAGAGAAAGTAACGACGGGCCCTGGTGTTGACTTTAACACGAGGAAGGGACAACCGTCACATGATACTTAGCTCAAACTGGAAGGCACCCATTGTTGGAAAGAACAGGACAATGAAATATAAAAGAACTCCTCATCGGTGAGACAAACTCAATGGCTTGCTCGGATGTCACCAGAGGATGTTGTTTGTTTCATTTTTGATATGGATACAATCTGAATTATGCTGATGTATGACGGAGCTGGGCAGGAAACCCAGCTCTCTGGTGCTTTATAAAGACCTGTTGAGTTATTTATCGGAAAGCCTCCACTGAGCATCAGCTCTTCATTTGGGTGCTGTCACCTCATGCTGCTATACAAATCCGAAAGAGCCTACAACTAGGTGTAGGGCTAGGATCATTTCGTTTACTAGAAAGACTGCTAGAAAGACTACTAGAAAGAGTACTGGAAAGGCTACTAGAAAGACTCCTGGAAAGGCTATTGGAAAGGCTACTGGAAAGACTGCTGAAAAGACCTCGGGAGGTATTGTACGTACATACTCCGTAGGTATATAAATCACTTCTCCTCCTCATCCTTTCTTCTTCCTACAGCTGCGATTTTGTTTATTATCGCCTCATTGGGCGGTCCGAGCAAAAATGCCTCATTCGCTTCTCTTACTTCGTCCACGTTCCTTGGAACTACCTAACGCCGAAGGGTATAATTCAGCTCTGTGGCCTACGAACTGGACAAGCATACATCGTCATCATGCAAAGGATGAATGGAACAGTGTCTGACACCAAGATAGGGATCAACACATTGATAAACGAGATATGAAGTTACGTGCTTGATGATGGGCTTTCGTGTTGGACCAATGGTTGAGATCGCAACTATTTTGCAAATAGCCTTTTAGATGTATTATTTAACAAATGCCATTACGATAATTGCTCTATTGCAGCGGCAACTCATCTATGTCTAGCGAGATATTCACTCGGCGATAGCATAATATATGTTTTGCACTCCTAGGTAATGCCGAGTGGGATGCGGGAAGAGAAAAGAGAAATAAGCAAGAATTGTAATGCGTCATATAGAATGAATGGCTTTTCTCTAAGGGTGAAATCAAGCCTTCTTCTTGATAAGCACACCCTGGATCCTAGGCAGCAGACTAAACGGTTCTTCAGGTTCTTCGATTTCGTGTGGATTTTCCCACTCCCCGCTATTGAGAATGTCCGTCAATACATTCCGGGTCAAATGACATCCGATAAATGTACTCCAGGTAGGATTCCAGCAAGCTAAATGTTTCTTTATGTTAGCCAGTCTACACTTCTGTCCAGAGGTAAACATACCTTGCGCTATAGTTGTCAGATGGTTTCTACTCCACCCATGTTCCCAGAATATAAACTTGCCTCCAGGCTTGAGGAGCTTCCACACCTCTTTCATCACGTTCTTTGGATCATTAACAGCACACAGGACCTGGATACATAATACAGAATCCAAACTCCCCTCCGTGATCCCCTCTTCTCTCAGAATATCGCTGTCTTCAATGCCACAGGATATAAGCTTATACTTATCCCGCAGACCATGCTTTTGTACGTTGGCATCTATATCATCTTTGAAGTAGCGATTGGGCTCGATACCATATATATGTTCGACACGAGAGGTGTCATAACGATGAATCTGATTACCCGGCCCGGGGCCGAGCTCAAGAATAATGCCATCAGCAGCTTGCAAAAGTGAAGGAACAATGGTTGTGTCTTCATAGGCGATAAAATTGCTGGCTATATATACTTGTCAGTCTACTCTGGATATGGGTTTGGGAAGGGGGGATATATGTAGGTCAGAAGGGTTATGTTACATGTTATATTGAAAAGTCTTGCTGAAGCGGCATCTCGAATTTGTTGTGGGCGGCCAAGAGCTGCGAAACCATGTCGACGAATGGCTTGTGTCAAAGCTTCCCAGTGCACTATGAAGAAGAGATGGTTAGTAGGTTTATGGAAATGAGATAAGTGACACCATTTGAAGACCTACGGCAAATAGAGAACCATATCAGGCCCCATGGACGAAGAATGGAAGCAAGGCGGCCAGGTTTTGGGGGCATGGCTATTTTCGTGGGACTTTGAATGATATCGAGACTGATTTGAAAAAGACAAAAACAAGGTATGAGGGCGGGCCAAGACTTCTATAGAAGTGATATGAAATATGTGTACAAAATATGTGTTGGGGGGAAAACAGAAGTGGAGTGTTGATAGACGAGCCTTACAGTCAGCAGTTCATACTATAGCTCTAGCTGGTTAGATAGCCTACAGTCTTAAAATAGACCCCTTCAGATTTTGAGGGGCAAGGAGGCTTGTTTGCGCCCCGATGATCTGCTAAGGAGAGCCTATGGCGCAATCCCAATTTTCACTTATTACAAAGGTATAGCGAACTTTTCTATAAACAGTGAAAAGGTATTGTATTGAATATCCGAACACGCGTACAAGATGATGTGCTATTGCTATGGAAATAGGGCACAAAATTTAGAGCGAAGGGCTCAGCGTGCTTGCAGCCTTTGTGATAAACTCAACCTACTGTCCTTGGAGCACTGTGATAAGATTTATATCCGTTGGAGAAGACTTTGAACTTGCCCAAGTTCAGCGAACCCCCAGTGCCCGTGGAAATTGACACGGCCTCAGCGATGTATACTACCGGCGCGTTGTCTACTGATTCCCTTTTTTTGCTCCGAGTACTGGCGCTCAACCCCGGAGTCCTGAAGACGTCCCTCTCCGGGGAATTTGGGTGATCCACCCAGACTGGCTAGAACGGCTTTGTTGTTGGCCGTCATATCATCCAGTATCGCTATTTCATCCCCAGAAAACCATTTAGGAATGATCCACACTCTAAATGGGATTAAAGCGATTATCAACACGGGGAAACCTAGAGACGGAAACTTGTTAGTCATTTCAGTGAGAACAGACGAGAGGAAAGAGAGTACCAATAGCAGCGATTGTCTCGGAGATGGCGACGCAGGCCGCAACTCCAATGAGCTGACACGCAATCCACAGCAGGATCTTGCGGTTCTGCACTCTCAGAAGAGGTTCATCGCGTTGCACGAAACGGTCCTCGAGCATTAAGTAAATCACTTTCTGCGTGATACCGCTAGACCCAATAGAGCCCCATCCCACAATGAAAAATACGCCTGCGAACACTGCAGCAGGCATAGTGTGAAGAACGATTAGGAGAGGGCCTGTCATAGTGCCAATAATAGCCAGCCCCATGACGAAATGTGATACGCGTTGTTCTACCACTGCAGTGGCCTTGACTATCGCACGGCGGATCTCGGCCCCTTCTCCTTCCTCAGTTGGCACGATGTGGACATCCGTTTCATATACTGTCAGTGAATCTGTGTGTACGGGTGCCTGGAGCCGGTTATTAACAGTTTCGGAACACAACCAAAGACTCGGTTGGTTTTTCATACCTGTGGAACTAATCCATTAGGGAAAGGAAGGCCAATGATACCCGAAATAAAAGTAGTGCACCCGAGAAGAAAAAAGTCCCAATGGAACCCAGCAGGCTTCTTTAGTGGGAATTGTCGCGCTTGTGCCGTTAGGCTACTGACGTTCTAGGTTCAAAGTTAGCGCCATAGCTAGGAGTAAGACTCCCTTCCTCGTGTAGGGCCTCATACATGATCATAATAGAAGAGCAACATGATCAGAAACCCAAACGGCAGCGCCACGAAAATCCATTTAGCGTCCAGTTCCCAAAAGTGAATCAGCCAGCCTCGCGGTTGTGTCGGGTAAAAGGCCTTGCTGATAGGGACACGGGATATATCCACAGCTTTGAGAGGGCCAGGAATGTGCGAGAATCCCACCCAGAAAACCGTTCCGATCTAGAGAAGAAAAGAAAGACCGTAAGTGACTCCGAATGATGGTCTTGCTTGATTAGATTTCACGTACCACGTATGCATAGTCCGTCAGCAACCCCCGAAAAGCAGGTGTCCAGACAGTACTCGACCCAACGGTCTCCAGACTGTAGATTGTTAAGAAGTAAAGTATTGCGATCAAGCAACTCATAAACCCAGCAGTATATCCCTTGCTAGTGAACTCGCTGATCAGTTCCTCCTCACCCTTGCCTGGTCTGCGAGTTAGTTATTGTTCTTGTTGGAAAGGTCGTTTTTCGGAAGCAAAACTGACTAATGTAGATGGTTCCGACATAAAAGCCGAATGTTTCGCTGGAGAAATCCGTGGCATAGCGCATGTAGTCACACATGTTGCACAAAGCAACAATCCAGTGGAATATAGCGCCCCAGATACCTACCCAGCACATGAATTGGGGGTATACAGAGGGGTCGTAGATATTCATAATGTCGTATATGGTGTAGTTGAACAAAGAAATCAACCCGGTAATACCGACGATGGTAAGAGGTTGCACTGCAAGGATGCTGAATACCATTGCCGCTAGGGCTGATGAGAAGAGCGCTTCGTTAATGCCATAGAAGTGCCCAGTTCTCCGATGCATATCCAGGGTATATGCTATGGCCGGGAGCATACTAGAGAATATGTATTAGACTTGAGTTTGGTCGCGTTCTAGGGTAACCCACTTCACGAAGTACATGCGAATGATACTGGCCACAGTTCTATATGTCCATGCATCACGGATATCACTCCAGTAATAGGGAAGACGTCTCTTGATATCGTGATACATTCCCCTTCCGATTCGAAGGATACGCATGCTCTTCCACCCTGGTTGGCGAGACCTTCTCCGGGTTGTTAGCCAAAATGGTCCCCGTCGATACTCTGGTCACCCTCATGAATGGGTTATGCTAGATACTGGGCCAGCATTGCCACTTAAAAGCACATACGACCATCTGACATTGCCAAACGGCTTTAATTATCAGTTCATGGATGACTGCGTGAATGATCATAATGTGTTCGGAGATGACCCTCGACGCGGGATGGGAATTGATCCTGATTTCTGTCAACTGTGCAAGGAAAAGCAGACAGATGATGTGACCTCCAATCACTGTTCTTGTTTCTCGGCTTTGTTTGGTGGTGTTCGTTATCCCCCTCCTGTCCAGTTGTATAACACAGCTGGGAAGAATAACGGGGTGATTGCCCGCTGCGTATGTTGCAAATATCCCGTTTAATTTCTACCAACCGCCCTTAATACACCACTAACGTTTGGAAGGACTTCGAGCGAGGCACAGCTATTGCAGAGTTTGTCGGTCTCGTCACTCAAGGGATCGAAGGTGTGGATGTGATGATGGGTGGAACCCCAGAACGATCATACCAGGTCTTTCAAGGCCAAATGGGTAACTTTACTCGCTTCATAAATCACTCGTGTCGCCCAAATAGCCAGTTTCAGAAATTCTACTGGCGTGGAATAGAACGCATACTCGTGGTCTCTCGCGGAGTGACCGCCGGAAGTGAAATTACGGTCGATTATTCGGATTCCTACTGGTGGAAGCTGAAGAAGAACTGTTTATGTGGAGAGACTAGCTGTCGTTTTGCCCATCAGGCAGAGACATAAGCGACGGGAAAACTCATGTAACAGCAAGCAGTATGGATGATATCCCAACAGTTTATTATATGGGTAGCATGAAGAAAAGACATAAAACTTTGAGATTTGGCTCCCATATATCTTTTGTACAACCTGAAGTTTTTGATAGAAAGTGCGGAGTCAACAAGCAGTTCATTTAAAGAACGCACTAGTCTATAATTGGATGACCACGTGATGTGAATGGTCAGATTAAATTGCCGGAGTTGGAGGGCGGTCTCACAACGGCGGTAAAGTGGATTACTTCTCGCCAAGACCGCATTAAAACCGACTATTTTGCCACGAACATGTGATTTCGAATGGCATACTAAAGTGTGTATATTAGTTAGTCGATGTCCATACAAACTGTTGAAAAAGGGGGGTGTGTTAGTCGAATATTCGTTAGGTTGATATCATCCATAAGTCGAGAGCGATTACATGCTTATACAGGGCAGATTTGAGAGAAAATGCGTTCATGAAAAATATATGTGAGGAGTTTTTTCCTCATGGCATGTAGATCCATCCCATCTAAGCAGCCAAATGATAAGTAGATACAATGCAAGGCCTTACCAGCCAACCCAGAAATCTGAAAGATATATCCCATACCTTTGCAACGAAAAACAACCTAGAATTCGAACTCCTTACGGAAGATGTTCACGTCCATACCGGCGACAACCTGGTCAGCCAAGTCACGACGACCCATCTGGCTGAATACACGACGCAGCGTGTCGTACAGATTTGTGCTCTGATTCTGGCTGATGTGCAGCATACGCTCGAGACGCTCGTCGTCCAGTCCATCCGGATGCACTCCGTCGCTGATAATCTCACGTGCGCGCTCGCGGCCCTCCTGTTCTACGACGCGGTGCATGGATAGCGCGCCTAGAAGGTGTTGTGCAGCTTCTGGGTAGCAGCCGATGTTGATGCAGGATACTCCTAGGTTGTAGCGGGCGCGCACGAAATTGGGGTTGATGTTGAGGGCTTGCTCGTAGGCTTCGATTGCTTCTTCGGAGCGGCCGGAGTTGGCGAGAGTCGCGCCGAGTCGGTTCCAGAGGAGATGTAGCTGCTCCTGTTGGTTGGTGCTACCGGATTCAGTGGAAGCTAGGGCAGCGGAGAAACAGTCGACGGCCTTCTCGTATTCCTCGGCGCAGTAGAAAAGAACACCCAGTCCGACTTGTACGTCGGGGTCCATTTGGGCTCCTGAGGGGGAGAGCTGGGCTGCTTGGATGAAGAGTTCTGTTACGCGGTCGTGGAGGAGTTGTCGGTCTGTGAAGCCGAGATCTGAGTCGCCGGATACTTCCTTGGGGTCAATGATGGTTGGGTACTTGTGCGACAGCCAACGCTCGAGTGTGCGGTAGGCGGTTGAGTCGTAGCCCTCGTTTGTGTACGAAACAGCCAGACCCATCAATGCATCTAAATTCCCGGGGTCGACCTTCAGTGCTTGCTCCAATGCACGGATAGCGGGCAATTCCTTTTCGTTCTGCGCCTGCGCAGAGCCCAGCATCGTCCAAGCCTGCACATGCTGCGGGTCCTTTTGAACCGCAGCCTCGAAAGCCAACGCTGCCAGTGACAGATTACCGCCATCACGCATAATCTTCATTCCCTCCTCGAATGGATTGCCTACAGCCTGGTAGACATTATCCTCCTCGAACATATAGTCGCCGAGTTGGGGATCCCGGAAGCGAGAGTTAAGACTATCAAAGCCATCCCAGTCACCGAGATCACCAACATGCACGTTATCGGTGACTTCAAAGTTATCTTCCTCGGCAAGTTTCCTGCTCGTTGCGGTCTCAGCCTGAACCCGTTGCCATACAGACTCAAACGCGTCATTGGAGGGCACTGACCTGTCCAAATCATTCAGTTCCGCCTCGATGGCCGCATTAGCCTCTTCATCCGTCCGGGCCTCGTTGCCAACCGTCGCAGTCTCCATCTCAGCAAACTGCGCCTCCCAGTTCTCATCGTCGAGCTCCACCATTCGCCCTTTCCCTTTATCCTGTGTCTGCCCTTCCATAGGTCCCTGGTGCATCCCCATATGTCCACCCATCATAGGGTTCATCATCCCCATACCACCCATAGCTCCCATATACCCACCGCCCATAGCCATCGGTCGCTGGTACCCCGACATCATAGGCGAAGCGCTAACGGCAGCAGGGCTCGACGTCTGCGGCATGCCCATGCGATTCTGCTGTTGGAAGCGGGCAAATTCAGCAGGGCTAAATCCAGATCCGTTGTTCATCTGGCCCGGGAAAGCGGCTTCCATACGCGCTTGCTCGCCCGAGTCGAACTCCCCGGCCCATCCTGGCGATCCTGTGCGGGCGGGCTGCGTCTGGAAATTATCCAGCTCGCGGCGCATATGCTCCATTGCGAATGGCTGTGGTGAGGGTCCGTTTAGTTGTTGTCCTGGTTGTTGCATAAATTCATCCATCATCTGATAAATTTCCCGGCGCTGAGATTAGTTGCTGTTTTCCTTTGCGGGGTTGTGGCCTGTATGGCTCACCTGGTCCTGTCCGCCCATCATATTGTGTGAGCGCATCCCTTCTTGCATGCCTGGTCCCCGGCCTACTAGCCGGTCGCGCTGTAGTGATTTATCATCCTGGACGTGCTTCGTGAATTGTGTGAGAGGGTTCCCCGCCGTTGAGCATTCTGCGCCACCGAGGAACGACATGGTGGAATGTGACGGTTAAAAGTGAGGTGATGAGTTAAATTGCTAATGCAAAGTAAAAATTCGAAGAGAAAGGCAATGTAAAGGTGAAGGTGCCTTTTTCCCCCGGATATCTTGACGTGGGGTTCGAGAGCTTTCCGCCTCTGTCAGCCGAGGTTCCCCGACGGCAATTTGGAGTCACGAGATTCACAAGGAACAAGGTACATCAACATATGTCAAAATTTATTATTTGAGATTGGATTGTTCATTTTATCATTTTATTGCTATATTGCTATCTACACGAAGTGGCGTTTGCTAAAACGCCGATTGGGGTCAACCCCTGATATATATTCAAAGCCAAGTCCCCAAGTTCACTAAAACAATGTTAGTATGCCGGTCGCGAATATTGAGAGAAAAATACTGACCATGAACTGCTTTCACTTGAGTGTAGGCAGAAAGTGCATATTCACCCAATTCTCTCCCAATACCGCTCTGCTTGTATCCACCGAACGGAATAGCAAAGTGAGAGTCTTGCGAGCTGTTAATCTGTTGAGGGTTAGCACATGTGATAAATAATTATATCCGCGACTACGACTACATACCCAAACCATGCCAGCCTGAATAGCGGAAGCAACCTTATGAGCACGGGTAATGTTCTCCGTGAATAGAGCAGCACCGAGTCCATACTCAGTATCATTAGCCTTCTCAACCGCGTCCTTCTGGTCCTTGAAAGACTGGATAACGACAAAAGGACCAAAGACCTCCTCTCGCACGGGGGTCATATCGCGATTAGTGTCTTTAAAGATAATGGGCTTGACGAAGTAACCCTTGGCATCCGGGGAGGGTTGATCTTCTCCAAGAACAAGCTGTGCGCCTTCACGCTTGGCAGTCTCAAGATACCCCAGAATACGACTCTTCTGTGCAGCAGACACCTGAGGTCCGTGGTTCACTTTGGGGTCGAATTGGCTGCCAACAACGGAGTTCTCAATGGTGTACTGCTTGAATTTCTCGACGAAAGTCTCATAGATGCTCTCCTGCACATAGATGCGCGAGGTAGATGTGCAAATCTGACCCATATTGCTCATAATGCCGACGTGTGACCATTTCACTGCCTGATCGAGGTTGGCGTCCTCGAAGACGAGCAAGGGGCTCTTGCCGCCTGTCTCGAGGGTAATCGTCTTCAGGTTTGAAGCGGCCGCTTTCATAATGGCTTTTCCGGTGTTGGTGCTGCCGGTAAAGGCGATCTTATCCACGCCTAGGTGAGATGCCATAGCGGCGCCGGCAGTGGCACCGGGGCCGTTGACAACGTTGACCACTCCAGCGGGGAAGCCAGCCTCCTTGATCAAAGAAGCGAGGTAGAGAATTGAGAGAGGGGTTTGTTCGGCAGCTTTGATGACAACGGTATTGCCACACGCGAGAGCAGGTCCAAGTTTCCATGCCGCCATCTACTTAAAATTAGCGTTGAGCTAACAGCTGGAGTTTACGGCTGTTTTATAACATACCATAACAGGATAATTCCAAGGAATAATCTGTCCACACACTCCAATAGGCTCGTGTC